TCGACATTCGCGTCCGGACAATAGCTTCAACTACCCATAAATGTTCTTTTTAATTAAAAAGAGAGAACTAGCACATATTTGCGCTATGTTCTAGGGTCTTACTATTCTCCGCGCTAGCCTTCGGCTGCATTACCCCTCGATATAAAGAGCCTCAGCTCAAGGCAAGCATTATCTACTGCAATTCACACCAGAGTCTTCTAAGCAGTTTCATCGCAAAAGCGCTGAGAACTTTGTTGTTTTGCGGCGTAAGTTGAACCTCTGACCCGCTTAACCGAGTACTTACACAGATTCTTCTCAAGCGGCATTAAGTGACGATGCTGCTTGTCAACACCAACCGCTTTTGCTGATCTTCAGAATCATCATAGAAGACGCTGCAGAATCACGGCGGCACTGTAGTTGTTTCTTCCACGCAGCCAGCCGCCCCGCCGGCAGTAATGTCGACTAGTTTTCGGATTTTCCGTTGCAAAACCTTGTGCTGGTTATGCTCGCAAATGAAGCTGCACAAACGTCCCTTATAAATTGAAGCAGATCCCACGAACCACTATTGAGTCAGATGCCACAAAGCCGCCCGCTCGCCGCGTGAACTGGCCGGAAGGGTTCATCACAAGACCACAACTCTTGCCTCCCCCACCAATCACGAGGCTCTTTCAGTACGAGTACCGAAACGCTCGTTCCGTACCTTCACCCTCGTCCTCGTCCTCGTCCTCCTCTCCTTCCGCCCGCTGCACGCCCCTCGCTTTCATCCTGTTCTTCCGCACATACCACGCCCCCAACGCCACCCACAGCCCCAGCTCCACCACCGCAACCACCACATACGTCCACGACCCGTCGAACAACCCGATCAGCTGGCCGAGCCCCGCATTTAGCAAGATCAGGCTTAGCGCATATCCGGCGAATGACGCGCACAGAGTTGCCAGTCGGCGGTCCGCGTTGGGCGTGTTGACGCAGATGAGGGTCCAGATGACTGCGTTTCCCAGCAAAGCATTAGTATAGAGGAATGGCAAGTAAGAGAGGGTGTACCGGCTTTGATAAGGGGATGGGGGGGAGAAGGGGGAAAGAGAGGGGTTGCACTTACGGGGTTGAATGAGGGTTCCGAGATTGGAGAGGGCGAAGAGAAGGAATGCTAGAGGGCGGTTGCTGATAAGGTAATAAAAGAACCAGGATGGCGTGTAGTGCCTAAGCGTGACGAATGTACTGGTAGCGAAGAGAATGAGGAAGAGGATGGCGATGGCGACTGCGGATGCTGGGGTCAGTTCTTCTCTCTTTCTCCGGGACAGACTTTTCTCGGTGGGGAAGAGAAAGAGGAGGGAGGAGGTGGAGGTCTTACTAAGTGGGACTCGCAGTCTGGAAAGTATGATGCATGCAAAGGCGACAACGCATATGTTGATCAAGGCAGCTGAGGTAACCGGCATAAGAGAAAAGAGGTTGAGCATCTTGTTCAGCGCTGAGAGCAAGAACATCAGCCATAGCTGAATATCCTTGAAGATTTTGACAGCCTGTAGTGGTAAGTATGTGCCGCTTGGATCGGGGATGTAGGGGTACTCTGTACATTCTTGATTTTCCATCTCATTACTGGCGCTCGGAGGGAGGAATGCACCTGCGCAACAGAGGACGCAGCAAATCCAAACCTTTCGTACGCAGGTAGCCAACGAACTTGATTTGGCGTACCGACATAGTGGAAGGCATATGTAGCAAGGAGAACACAGACAACGGGAAGCGGGCTCGAAATCGGTGCCATGTCGGGATCGACGTCACGATACAGCAACCTGTGCACAGGGATCATATACAACAGGTGCCGGCCTGACGTCCAGACGAGGATCCTGATGAGCAATTCACGCGGTGTGTACCACGAGCACGTAATGACGACGAAGGCCAGGAATATGACGCCGTCAACAGCACCTTCGACAGCGAACAACGCTAAGGCGTAGCCTAGATGGTGTGGCGGGATAATGATGAACAAATTCGCCGCGCCTGCACATTACAGCTTAGAGGAGATTTAATGAAGAGTAGGGTAACCGAACAAACCTTTCAGCCAGATTGGAACAGAAATTGCTTGGCCGATATGCGCACGACGCAAAAGGAAGTATGCGGGAACTTGCGCCAAGATAAACGAAGCGTTGTAAAGGATATTCATTGGGCGCTGGAAATTCAAATATGCAAGAGAGGGCATGCCATACACAAACTATCAAGCCATCAGTATTTGGTGCAGACACAATTGCTTCTCCTTCTACTTACCCACATAAAGGGTAGAAGAATAAAGTCGACTTTTCTGATACGACTGCGCTCCGAAGTCTGATCTCTCGTTGTGGAATTGGGACCATGAGAAGACCTCCGCTCTGTCTCTATCTGATTTGGCCTTCCGGTATTGTTTTGCATATTAGAAAGCCTCAGAAATGATAAACGGACACTTGAGACGCGCTCCATCCGATCAAGTACCATGCTGTCGACTTTAATAGCCGCTTCACGACAGAACGTGTTGGTATGCCAGTCGTAGGAGCACAGCACCGCCGTCTTTAGGTTGTCGTCATTCCCGCATATGAACGCTGCTACAGGTGGTCTCTCGGCGCCGAACCTGTACACGGTCATGGTATATGTATCAACCAATGTGAATACCAGGCCACTTTCAGTCTGCCCAGAGGCACTTTCCTGAGCCGAGGGTGATTGTGCAACGTCGTCGCTGTATTGCTCCCTGGAAGAAGAAGCCACCTCGGCCAGGCGTCCATGATTAAAGCCGAAGAGGTGGCTTTCGATCGTCCTAATATCGACGTGGCCTTCAACTCCCACAAGCCGCGGACGCAGATCCTGAGCATCCCCATCAGGTGGAGCGACGGCTAGCCATGTTGCACCAAGACCAACAAATGCTGTAAGGCACATCAAGAGTCCTCCAACACCGCAAAGGATGTAAAAGCGTATCTCGAAATGTTCTCGCGGGATCCACCCAGCAATGAAGAGGATGTAGAGAGCGCAGATAACCACAACTGGGATGATGCTGAGCAAGACTGCCAGAATCCGGCCCCTTTTTCCGGCCACTGCCTGAGAGGCAGCCGGATCAAGACATGTCCAGTCTATCGTGGCGCCAGGTATTCCCGAGAGGTGCAAGACGCGTTCATCGGCACCTTGAGCATTCTGCAAAGTATCCAAGAGGTACTGGAGATCCGTTGATGAAGAATGGTCTCTGGTGCGCTCGGTGCCCACACCATCTCCTCCTTGGCCGGCTCGCTGGTCAGGGTCTTCCTCGGACTTCGTGGCCACCGGATCATAGTTGGCATTGCGTTTATGAGGCTTGAGTGCACGCGTGGATATTTGGAAAATACCCAGCTATTGACATCAGTCGAACGATTCATCAATAACTCAGAGTCGATTGCTTACCAATGGGAGCAACAACGGCAGCGATATCAACCATCTCGCGAGAACCAGACCGATGGTATTAGCACTGTATTTGCATTCCGAACCACCATCCTTCAAGGCTGGAGACCAGATCCAATAGCTCAGTCTCACGAAAAGAGGGGTCTGGTTTTGAGGCTTGCCGATACGTGTCCATGATCTCTGCTCGGATGGAGGCTGGCCGTTTTCGAAGCTCTGCACAAGCAAGGGAACGAGCTTCCCGTCGCTGGGTCTTAGAAAGCGGTCGTACTTTGTAGGTACATCGACTGCCTGCAAGAGTGCCTCGGAGGCGTCGGGTATTGGAACGTTGTCGTCAGCCATAACGGAGGTTGAGGCGGCAGACAACCTTGAAAACTCGCAGAACTGTCGCTTTGGAAAACGCGGGGATGGGTGATGTTTGTATGATCGTGGAGGATGAAAGGTCACGCGGGTGAGATGGGGCTTAGGCTGAAGGAATGGTTGCCTAATCCAATCAGCAGAATCCCGGTTCCACAGAACCCCAGTCCATCATCGTCACTGCATCCTTTGTATACGAGCTAAGCCTCGTAACTTCATCCATCGTACGGTGGCAACGAAGTGATCCTCCGAAGCCAGTGATTGAAATCGTGCTTGTGTAGACGCCAAGCTGCACGACTCCGATCGGCTTCTCGAATGTGGAATCTCGACAAAGCACCCCACATTCACTCGGGTGCGTGTTTCCAGTGGATCAACAATGCCAAATGTGGAGCCTCTCTTCCGCTTTCTCAGCATGCCATTTTTCAAGCTGATATTTAGCAACAATGCAGCAATGCTACTGAGTTTCATCACTTTAGATTAATGGTGATAGTCTTGTGTGAGTTCATGTATCAATGCTTTTCCGCATTGTCAGAAAATGGTGACTTGCTGCCAGCGCCTTCTCCGGATCAAGGCCGGGAGTCGGGAAGCGGAAGCGCGGTGGTATTCCAAAGCACGAAGAAACACAAGAGTGCCACACCCTATAGGGCATTCTTTACAGTGTGTCATCAGGCACTACTGGAAGATCTGCCAGAGTGTTTGTGGGAGAGGCTATTCTTATATATCGGTGTCTCGCTGTTCTGGACACGCGCGAGGTACGTGGCACATGGGAGGACGGGACCTGGTGATCAAGTACCCAGTGATTTTCTTGTGACGCCATCTGTGAAGAAAATGTAATAGGGATTGAAACCAGAAGCGGCCATGGTGGTGATGCTAATTAAATTGGGAACCTTCACCTAAGAAAAGAATAAGCCTTGGATAAGACGTCCAATAGCGATGCTTAGGCCGGCAATGGTACAAATGTTGTGCAATGTATCTGTAAGAATGTGCTCACTTACTGCATATATCGGTTGTTTTTGCTCAAAGGGAGCAGCACACATCCCAAAGTGATTGAGGCACTATGTCTCTTTGATGGTGAAAAGAATCAATAGATGGTAAGAGGCCCGTGCTGTGTAGACATAAAGAGAAAGTCTAGGCGAAGCTCTCTTTTGTTTTCAATTTGATTGAAACACGCGGGTCAAAAGTTGAGTCCAAATAGGAATGAGCAAGCTGGGCATCGCGTGAGGGAGTTCGTGTTCAAAGCGGCGAAATACGGGGTCGGTTGTAGTTGTAGTCGAGAGATTAAATTGGCCGGGACACCGTCTTCAGAATAGCATGCTATCAGGGATGCAGGCCATTGGTGGGAGAACTCCCGGTGGGTTCGGGTGCCGGTGGGAGCATGGGCTTTGTGGGGAAATAGTGGCGATGATCTCCAAACAGGCGGGAGAGATGGCGGCTGCAGGCCCGATCAGGCAGGCCAACGGCAAACACCACCGGTGATCCGCAACCCACCTCACGCTTCAATTTCAGGTCCCTTATCCATGACGCAGGAGAGCGGAACTAGACCTTCCGAGCAGAGGTATTTAATATGAGCGTCAGTCCGCGGTCGATTCAAGGAGCTAGCGGACTTCATCGTTGCCCACCATGGCGTTACGTGATGGCCTGGTCGCCTTAACCTCCCTGCTTTCCATTGTCGCCGCGCAGACGACCATCTCCACCGACAACTTCCAGGCCGTTCTCGCAGCCGACTCCCAGGTCCTGAGTTCCCTCAAGCCGACTTCACAGGACTCGTTCGACTTTTCTCCCGCCGACGTCTTCTCATCCAGGAATGGAGATGGGAATTACCACACCGGCGACATCACCTTCCGGTACCGCAGTGGGACTTCTGGCAGCTGGCAGACGGGCAACAGCGCCGCCCAACGCGCCCCCGTCACTGAAACCCCCAGCAATGGAGCACTCGCATCAGCAAACCTGGGTCCGTCCTTGGCCGACTCAGGCGCCAGCCTGAACGTGACGCGGAGATGGATCGACGTGGACGGCGACCTCGGCCTCGAATTCACCCTCACCAACGTCGCGACCGACAGCGTAGAGATCGGAAGCCTCGGCATGCCCGTCGAGTTCAACAACATCTTCACCGGCCGCACCGAGACGGATACGCGTGACAAGTGCGTCCTGCTCGACCCGTACATCGGCCTCCACGCCGGCTACGTCCAGGCAACCCGCCTCACCGGCACCGGCCCGAACCTCGTCGTCACGCCCCTGACCGCTGACACCAAGTTCGAAGCGTGGCGATTCCTCCCGGAGACCAGCACGGAGCCGCTCTACTACCAGTCGCAGACGTACGAAGGCAACTACGAATGGCAAGTGCTGACCAAGGCCTGGGCCGAGAACGAATGGAGCGGCGTCGACCCCTGGAACGAGCCGACGTCGGCCACGCTGGAGCCAGGCACCAACATCACCGTCGGCCTGCGCTTCTCGCTGGCCGCCTCGGCCCCGGAGATCGAAGAGACGGTGAAGTCGTCGGGCACGCCGCTCGCCGTCGGCATCCCGGGCTACATTCTGCCCACCGACGTCGTGGGCCGGCTCTTCCTGCACACCAGCGACAGCGTCGAGTCCATCACGAGCACCCCCTCCGGCGCCTTCACCTTCAGCTCACCCCGCGCCCTCGACGGCGGCGTCGTCGAGTACCAGCTCACGCCGGCGTCCAGCGCCTGGGGCCGCGTGCGCGTCAACATCCGCTACACGAGCGGTAAGACGCAGGCGGTGCACTACCGCATCACCAAGCCCGCGCCGCAAGCCGTCGCCGACCTGGGCAGCTTCCTGACCACCGAGCAGTGGTTCGCCGACCAGTCCGACCCCTTCGGCCGCGCCAACTCCATCATCACCTACGACCGCGAGGCCAACGCGCCCGTCCTCCAGGACAACCGCGCCTGGATCGCCGGCCTCAGCGACGAGGGCGGCGCCGGCGCCTGGCTCGCCGCCGCCCTGAAGCAGGCCGTCCAGCCCGCAGCCGCCGAGGTCGCCAAGCTCGAGACCTTCGTCGCCGACGTCGTCTGGGGCACGCTGCAAGTCTCAACTCCCGGGGATACCCAATACGCCGTCCGCAAGAGCGTCTTCTACTACGACCCGGCGGCGCTGCCCGACTACGAGTACAGCACCGACATCGGCTGGAACACGTGGTCGGCCTGGAACAAGGAGGCGGCGTACGCGACTGACCGCGCTTACGACTACGTGCACGTCGCGGGGCTGTACTGGGGCCTGTACCGCGCCGGCAGGGCGGCGCCCGACGCGCTGACGCGCAACTTGACCGCCCAGGACTACCTCCTGCGCGCGCAGGAGACGGTCGCGTCGATGATGCGGACGGGGGCTGGGGGCGGCCACAGCGTGAGTTACTGGGACGTCGGCCTGATGGGCGAGACGGTGTTCGGACACATCCTGGAGGACCTCAAGGCCGAGGGGCTGGCGGAGCAGGCGGGTGCGCTGGAGGCCGACATGAAGACGCGGGCGGAGCTGTGGGCGACGCAGGAGGATCCGTTCGGGTCCGAGATGGCCTGGGATAGCACCGGCCAGGAGGGCGTGTACTACTGGACGAAGTGGGTGTTCCCTCCTCTTTTTTCTTTCTTGACCTTGGCGTATGCGTGGGAGCCGTTTGTGAGCCAAAAAGACTGACTGAGATGCCTGCAGGTACTTTGGCGACACCGCCTCCGCCGACAAGACCATCAACTCCATCGTCGGCTACATGCCCACCGTCGCCCACTGGGGCTGGAACGGCAACGCCCGTCGGTACTGGGACTTCATGTAAGCCTCTTCCTCCTCCTACCACACCCCCTTCTCCCCTCAATCACCCAAACCCCCCAGCTAACCCGCCGCCTCTCCTCAACAGCTACGGCGGCAAACTCCAACGCCTAGAACGCCAAATCCACCACTACGGCTCAGGCCTCAACTCCCTCCCTCTCCTCTCCCACTACCGCTCCTCCCCGGCAGCCAGCGACTCCTCATCCTTCTACCTCCTCCGCGTCGGCCATGCCGGCAACCAAGCCGCCCTCTCCAACATCGACGCCGACGGCTTCGCCGCCGCGGCTTTCCACTCGTGGCCCGACACGCTGCGCTGGGACGCGTACAGCGGCGACTACGGGCCCAACTTCCTCGGCCACGCCCTCGGCGGCGCGACGTTCCTGGCGCAGCGCCACGCCGTCTACGGCTGGACGGCGTTTGGTGGGAATCTCGTCGCTGAGGGCGAGGGAGACGCCGAGACGGTGACGGTGACGCCGAAGGATTCGGGGCGGAGGAGGGTGTACGTCGCGCCGTTGGGCGTGTACGTGCAGGTGGATGCGGGTGTGGTGGAGGAGTTTAGGTATAGTCCTGCGGCGAAGAAGCTGGTGGTGGGTGTCAAGGGGGATGGTGGATATGGTGAGGTGGCGAGTAAGGCGATTTTGACGTTGGAGCAGAATGCGGAAGTGGAGGGGGTGGGCGCGGTGAATGTCACGACTGAGGGGTTGGAGAGAGCGAAGGGTGGGTGGGTGCTGGATCTGAGCGATGGGGAGGTGCATGAGGTGGAGTTTGGGGTTGCGGGTTGAAAGGCACGTGTCGGAATGTTGACGTGAGATGAAATTGAGATGTTAACCTTGTATTCGTTAAAGGTGCCCACAAATTTGACCCCCTGGTGATAAATACGTTGGTAGTGACAAATACGTTGTTGGCGGCGGTAAATCTATTGGGTGGTGGTGGTAGTGGTGGTGGTGGTAAATTCGTTAGTAGTAAATTCGTTAGTAGTAAATTCGTTAGTGGTGGTAAATGTGTTTTTAGTTGGTGATTGGTCTTAGTAATTTTGTTAGTAGTGCTCTTAGACAGGGCTTAAGACCTCTAAAATTCAGGCGTGAAAAAGGCAGGTAAGTGAATTTCGAGGGGGGAATCAAAATCTGGATTTAGGGGAGTCAAATTCTCAAAATGAAGGAATCAAATTTGTGGAAGCCTTCGTTAAACTTGGTCGTTACGCTCAATGCTGAGCTATGTGCCGTGCTGACAGGAAAGAAAAGAGCCTCCGACTGGAAGAACCCTCAAACCGGACCAAATAAAGGAAAGAGAACCTTTTCGCTCACTGCAGCGCGGCCTGCACAAACAGGCTCAAGCAGATCAAGGTGCCCACACCCCACACGCCCGACCTCGCAAAGCTCTTCTTCCGGTCCGTCGTGTTGAGATACAGGGCGTTGTAGACGAGGCGCAAGGCAACGAAGGACCACGCACTCACGCCCACGGTGGTTTCGGGCACGCCCGCCCACTCAGCGCAGAGCACGGCCAGGCCGAAGAAGGTCAGGTTCTCGAGACCATTGCGGTGCGCGGCCTCGGCACGCTCGTAGCGCGCGAGCACGTCGGCCGGTATCGATTTCTGCAGCGTTGCGGACCATGCGGAACCTTTGGAGTTGGCATTGTCCCACTTGTTGTTGTTGGCGCTCTTGATGAGGCCGACCGCATGGCCGTGCGGGTACAGCGCGGTGAGCCACATGGCGGGAATCGAGAGGAGGGCGTAGTGAGGCATGGTGGTGTTGAGTTTTTTCTTTTCTTTTCTTTTTTTGGCTGGATGTTGCGGGCGCGAGGAATGCAGGATTTAGGGCTCAATTGCGCGTGTTAATGAGCTGCCTGAGGTTTTGTTGAGATGGGGCTGAGTTGGGTCAGGTGGCTGGAGGGCCGTGGCGGAAAATTGGATTGTCTCTGTTGTCGAGGCGGAGCGCGTGAGACGGAGGGAAATGGAAGTTGCGGACGACGGTGGGAGCCTGGAGGAGGTTACAGAGTGGGGCTGGCTTGTGCACGGACTAGTCAGCAGCGCTAATCCCTGTAAGGCAAGCGAGGTTGCGGTGGATGCAGGAAGGGTCTGAGCCTGTCGGCGGCGGGCAACACCCGCGTGGCTTGATGGCCGCTGACCAATCTGCGCCCGCTCATTCCATCCTCTCGCCTGTCAATGGCTTTGTGGCCCCGCATCCCTTGATCGCATGCGTATGAGGTAAGTAAGCAATATATTCAGCTGAAAGCCAGCACCACCAGCGAATCCTGACCGCCTCAGACAGTCAAACAGCCCAACGGCCCTATGCAGCGCGCGTGGCTAATCATGTGTCTGCCTTACACATCATGCATCCCTACAGCCTGCCTATCCAAGAACATCAGGGCTGCAAAACATGGGTGCCGCCTTCCAGACGCAAACAGCTGTCGTGATTCGGATCCGGCACCCAATCCTAGCCCCCAGTAAGGGTTTTGTACTACATCAACGTGCAATAATATTCAACTTCCGCGCAGCCTGTCAGCACCAGTGCCAGATCGCCTCAAATCCCCGTATCCTTCCAGGTCAGCCGCGCCGGGAGCTCCAGCTCTTGCGTCAGTTCCAAGAGGCGGTGCATATTGCTTCTTCCAAGAGCATGTGAAAACCCCTCTGTTTCTGCGTATAAAGGCTGACATGCATGCTCCAATGTTGCTCTCCAGTTGCTCAAGATGGCTTCCAGCGACGTGAAAAAGAGCCGCGCCGAGGGAGTCTCGAGCCTGCTGAATATCGCAGGCAAAGCTGCCGATGATCTGCACAGCCAGACCGGCCGTGTCATCCCCAACCTTAACCTTGTCCGCAATTTTGGTCAGACCCTGCTGGCAAATGGCATTGTTGACGACCGCAAGTACCTCGTAAGTTCGGTTGCAAAGAGCCATTTGTATTTTTTCTCACTGTAATCGTACAGTACGAAGGCATCATCCAGTTGGCGGCATCACTTCCCAATGACTCCGGCCTTCGAGATGATCTGAGTGGTCAATTCATCAAAACGCTCTGGAACGGGCTCGAACATCCACCCATTTCGTATCTCGGAGAGCAATTCAAATACAGGGCTGCAGATGGGAGCTATAACGTGAGTCACCACAACTACACCACACGTACCTGCAGACTAACCACAATCCAGAACATCATGTACCCGCAGCTGGGTGCTGCTGGCAGCCATTATGCTCGCAGCGTAGTTGGACAGGAGCTGCGCTCCGCGATTCTGCCTGAACCGGGTGTGATCTTCGACAGTCTGGCCCCCACCCCCTTCTTGCCTAACCGATGCTGACACCTTCACAGCTCTCCTAAGCCGAGATGGACTTGCGCGGGAACATCCCACAAAGATTTCCTCTCATTTGTTCTACTTTGCCACCATCATCATCCATGACATCTTTCGCACCAATGACAGAGATGACACGAAGCTTGTCAGCTCGTCGTACCTCGATCTTGGTCCGCTTTACGGTCACGATCAGGAGATGCAAAACACTGTGCGATCTTTCCAAGATGGCTTGCTGAAGAAGGATGCATTCGCCGAGCGCCGCCTCCTTGGTCAGCCTCCCGGCGTTTGCGCTCTCATGATCGCCTTCAACCGGTTTCACAACTATGTCGTCAAGGAACTTGCGACCATCAATGAGAACGGACGCTTCACGATGCCGACTGCCGATAGTTCCGGGTACGAGGATGCGTTACGCAAGCGTGACAATGACTTGTTCCAAACGGGACGACTGTAAGATAGCCTCGTCATATGCTCCATAAAGTATGCTGACAATGTCTCAGTATCACTTGCGGCCTATACGTCAACATCATCCTCAACGACTATCTGCGCACCATCCTCAACCTCAATGACAATGACATTGAGTCCAATTGGAGGCTGGATCCCCGCGAGGCATTCAAAAATGTCTTCGACTCCGAGGGTACGCCCAAGGGTATCGGCAACCAGGTCAGCGCCGAGTTCAACTTCATCTACCGATGGCATTGCGCCACCAGTAACGAGGATGAAGCTTGGCTCAACGACTTCATGATAAAGATTTTCGGAAAGGACGTTGACCCCAGTAAGTTGCTCATCTCCGCAATGCAATGTGTCAGTGTTGCAGTGCTCCGATTCTCCAGGACTTGGCGAGAAACATCACACAAAAATTTCAAGAGCTTCTACTGATCACCTGTCAGGTACACTCGACACTGCTGACTTCCGGGCTGGTTTGTATAAATGGTTCCAGCAAACGGTCCCCAAGGATCCAGGCCAATGGACCTTTGGCGATTTGACCAGGGGCGAGGATGGAAGCTTCCAGGATGTCGACCTGGTTCAACTGCTCAAGGCCGGAACGGACAATGTCGCCGGTGCCTATGGTGCTCGAAACATTCCGCCCGCGCTTAAGGCGATTGAGATTCTCGGAATCGAACAAGGCCGCAGATGGGGTCTTGCATCTCTGAATGAGTTCCGTGAATTCTTCAACCTGAAGCCTTTCTCCACATTCAAGGAGATCAACAGTCAACCTGGCATTGCTGAGGCTCGTAAGTGTCTTCCAATTCTAGCAGCACAGATAGAATGACAGCTGACACAAAACACAGTCGAAGCATTGTACGGCGAGCCGAAGAACGTAGAACTCTATCCAGGACTCATGGCGGAAGAGGCCAAGAAACCGTTCTCTCCAGGGTCTGGCTTGTGTCCAGGTTTCACAATCTCTGAGGCTATCCTCTCAGATGCGGTGGCGCTCGTGCGTGGAGACAGATTCTATTCTGTCGAGTACGGACCACAGAGTCTGACCAGCTTCGGGTAAGTTCATACTGAATTACGCGCTTTGAACAAGACTGACAAAACACTCAATCAAGCTTCAAGGAGGCTGCCTCGGATTTCGATGTTGCAGGCGGCGGTGTGATGTACAAGCTGCTCATGAGAGCTTTCCCTGGCTGGTATCGCGCTAATAGCGCATATGCTCTCTACCCATTCAACACTCCCGAAAGGACGAGGGCAGTCTTCGCTAAAAAGCCGCCTCACAACATCGAGCTGAACTACGATCCGCCCATGTTTGTCGGGCCTCCGGTTCCAGTCATCACGTGGAAGGGCGTCGTCGATGTTCTTCACGATCAACAGCGCTTCAAAGTCCCATGTAAGAGCGCTTTTCAATTGGACACGCGTTCTCACTAAGCTGACATATATCACCAGGGGGCGAGCACACTTACCAGCTCACCGGGCATGATTACATGCTTTCTGGTGACAAGCCTTCCAACACTGAGCAGCGGAAGGAGGTCCAAGAAGCTATGTACAGGCCTGCTGATACTCTCGTAGAAGTGCGAAAGTTCTACGAAACCGTCACTCAGGACTTGATCCGCAAGAACAAGCGCAAGATGGGTAATGTCTACCAAATCGACATCGTCAAGGAGTGAGTTCTTTCCGATAATGCTCATTCCCCATTACTAACGCCTTTGAAGCATTGGAAACCTTGCGCATGCCATCTTCACTGCCAAATACTTCGACATCCCTCTCCGCGACGACAAATCCACCAACACCAAGAGCGGTTACACGGCCAAGGAAATGTACGATGTGCTCGCCCACCTGTTTGAGTACGTCTTCCTGGATCTGGACACTGCCAAGTCGTACAAGCACCGGGTCGTCGCCACACGCGATACGGCGCAGCTGGCCGAGGTGATGCGCAAGGCTGTAGAGAGCGCGAACAGGTCGCCTGGCTTGTTCCAGATGATTATGGACTTCCTCACGCCGACGAGCGGACCACCACTGCCTGGTTTCGGTAAAGAGCTTGTGTCCCGACTCCTCGAGCGTGGCAAGTCGGTCGAAGAGATTGTCTGGGAGCTTATCCCTACGCAGGCAGCAGCAGCAGCGACGCAAGGCCAAGCGGTAAAGACTCTTCCCCGCTGCATGAAGGAATACAGTTCACTGACCACTTTGTCTCGCAGTGGGCCCAACTGATCGACGTCTACATGTCAGACGAGTACAAGCACCACTGGCCCGCAATCGTTGAGCTCGCCAAGTCCGACTCGCCCGACGCCTTCGAGAAGCTCAAGAAATACGCCTTGGAAGGGTGAGTCTCCCGGCCTTTCCTCATACTTTGTCTCACCCTAAACTCCCCCCAACCCAACCACACTCGACAGACGGGTTCGAACTTACACACTGTACACGTTACGGTTACCACCCGACCTCAACTACCACCCTACCCTAACTTACCCTAACCAACCACCCCGACCGGCTCGCACTTACACATATTACACTTATCGATACTAACCACCCCCTTTCCACCCGCAGTTTCCGCCTCTTCCCCGCGGCCTCAGGCGTCCTCCGCGTCAACCCCAGCGCCACCACCATCCCCTCACCCGACCCTTCCTCCTCCCCCAACTCGTCGACCATCCCTCTCCCCGCCAACTCCCAAATCTTCCTCGACTTCATCACCGCCTCCCTCGACCTGGCCAAGTTCCCTGACCCGACGTCCATCCGACTCGACCGCCCCGAAGAGTCCTACATCCACCACGGGTGGGGCCCGCACGCGTGCCTGGGCCGCCCCATCGTCACGACGGCCGGCGCCGCCATGCTGCGCGTCTTCGCGCGCGAGTGTCCCAACGTGCGTCGTGCTCCCGGCGCGCAGGGGCAGATGCAGCGGAAGTTGTTTAACGGCGCGTTTCCGGTGTTCTTGGCCGAGGATGGCGGTAGTTGGGAGAGTTTCCCCGTGCAGAAGAAGGTCGTGTTTGATGTGGAGGTGCCGAATGTTGCGAATGGGCATGTGGGGAGGAGGAATGGGGCGCCGGTTGGTAATGGACAGGTTGATGGGGTGAGGGGTTGAGAGAGGGAGAGAGAGAGAGAGAGAGAGGTAATGGGCTGCTAGGGCTTTTTTCGGGTTTGGTTTGGTTTGGTGTCTTCATCCCTACGTATTATCACTTCATTGCTCCCCTCTTGTTTCTCTTTGGATAACATTGTATTGCAAATTGTATACGCTCATTCTTCGGTCGTGGCCTCATGAATAGTCGTACAGATCTGTGAGTACCTAAGTGTCTGTCTGCCCTCGCCCATCTTCCGGCGGCGCCCTCTTGATCAAGAGTACCCGCGAACACTTCCACAGTCCTGCCACTCCTCAAACCCGTCTCTCAATCGTGCTACTCAATCCACCTTTTCAAATCTCAATCTCCTCCTCCCGCCTCCTCACCATCAACTTCGCCTCCGGGTTCACAAACTTCTCGTGAGCGAAGCGCCTGATGTCGGGCACGGGCGACTGGCCCTCGGGCAGGCGCCAGTCGTACTTCATGAGCATGAAGATGAGCAGCACCTTGATCTCGTTTGCGGCGAAGAAGCGGCCCGGGCAGGCGTGCTGGCCATGGCCGAAGCCGAGGTGCTCGGCGCTCGTCGTCGCCAGCTGCCACCGGTTCTCCTGCCCGGGCCGCGCGCGCATCTCCATGAAGCGGCGGCCGTTGAAGACGTGCGGGTCGGGGAACACGGACGGGTCCATGGCCGTGTCGGTGCTGACGAAGAGCATGGCGTCTTTGGGGATGACGGTGCCGTCGGAGAGGGTGATGGTTTGTTTGGCGCGGCGGGTTATGGTTGCTTTGATTGAAGTCAGTTCTTCCGTACTCGGGCCAATGACGATACCAACGCATGGTTCTTCGAAAAGACGTACCTCTGACCTCGTGCTGCAGCCGCTGCGACTCCTTGACAAAGCTATCCATCAACCTCAACTTCTGCAACGCCGCCTTCTTCCACCCCGTCTCGCCCAACACCTCCACAATCTCCTCCCGCAACGGCTGCACGTACTCCGGATACGCGCACAAATTCAACATACAAATCGTCGTCAATTCCGTCGTCGTAAACGTCGCCGCCACCGCAAACGCCAGCTGGCCATACGCGATATCGAACGGCCTACCCCTCGCACTCTCATCCAACCACCCCACCGCATCCGCCACCTTAGCGACGCCCTTCTCGCCGCGTTCGCGAGCGAGGCGGTTCCGCTCGCGGCGCGCGGCGACGATGGGGTGCACGATGCGGCGCGCAGCGGCCGACTCCGCGCGAACGCGCCGGCACGACGGCAGGAACCAGTGCACCCAGGGACGGAGGAGGGGCGACCACTTGCGCAGCTCGCGCGCCGCGTTGAGCGAGTCGACCGTGTAGCGCTTGGTGATGGTCAGCCACTCGTCGTTGCGGCACGCGTCGGGCCCGATGAAGACGCGCTGCGAGACGCGTGCGACTAGGTCCATGACGGTTTGCTTGATGCGGACTTCTTTCCATTCTGGTGGAGTGGGTGGGGTCAGCTCTCATCTGTTGAAAGGGGTGGTGGGAAAGGGAAGGAGGATGAGAAGAGGAGGGAGTACGAGTAAAGCATACCTTCGCTTTCCCCTAGAGCCTCGCTGCAGACTTCATGAGCTTCCGAGGCAAGTTCTTCGGTGACGAAATCTAAAAAGGCCCAGTAAGTCGGGATATAAAGAACATTTCAGGATCAAAGACTGTATTTACTCACTCAATGACTGCGTGAGCCTGATCCGGATGGCCTCCTGAAAGATATCTCTCTCCTTCAGGATTCTAAACGCTTCGAAGCCCGGATAGTCCCCAAAGAACTCCTGCAATGAAGAAACGAAGATCCTGGTAAGTCACGTTGCGCCATTAAGTTCCTCTCGAGGAGTCTTGCCTCACCCTGTTGACTGCATCTGTAAAGCTCAGATGCGGATCATTCCTTATCTCATCCACGTATTTGTTCGGTACGATAATCCTAGGCCCGATGGCTGTAACGACCTGGAAGAAACCTTTGAACTGAGGGACTCGTCACATGGCAGGTGCCATTTTAGTGTTAGCTGTTTTTTTTTTTTCCCCTCAAGTGTTCCCAAGCAAGATACCTCGCCATTGATTCATAGAGAAAATGGATGGGTGGCGCATAGTGATGATGACGTACCTGTTTGAGTCCCTTTTCGATGAGCCTGTGCCCGTCTACGTTCCACTCCGCCTGCGCCTCCGCGTAGGTGTACTTTGAGTCCTCGTTTGCCCTCACGAGCGGGAAGCCAGAGTACAGGGCATTTCGTCCAACCAGCGCGTAAACCAGACCGAAGGCGAAGACGGCGACCGCGATGATCAAGCTCTGGACTACGGTAGTCGAGGTATAAAACTCGCTCCGTCCGTTGCTAGTGAAAGTATAAGTGAAGGTTGAGAAGGCTTCCTTCAGCGCCATTTTTCTGCCTGGGTAGTGAGAAGGAAGATAAATGCGAAGTGACTAATGGCAAAGAAGCCGTATGTCCTTATCATATATGCGTCCGCTCTTGTTTCTCACCTCATGTCATAGGCTAAACACGGGAACCTTGGAAAAGACCGATCCTCCAGGATGATCGATGCGCTCTTCCCCCTCCAACGTCAGAAGCGTCAGCAAACCCCGCCTGCACATCACCAGCACCATGTGCCATCCGTTTCACCGGTATGCTGGCGCCGCTCCCAGGTAAGCCCGACAATATAGAAGTAGAAGGTGGCGGTCAGTCAAAATAGCCTAGTGTTAATATCCCTCTGTCCCACACGCACCTCGTCCGCAGTACATCGACGCACACAGTGTCGATCTCGGAAACGCTTCAGCCCTTTCCTACCTAGCTACCGTGCTCCTATTGGTTCTGGCCGGGCCTTTTTCATTAAAGTGCTCCTGTACAGTGTCGGCTTCGTACGAAGTAGTCGGTGGCCGAAATCACCGTTCTCCGATCAAAAACAAAAAAAAAAAAAACAATGCGCGGGGAAGGTCCCAGCTGGGAGCTGTGGAGATAATCAAAATAAGATAACCGCGGTTAAACGGAAGTGTTTGTCAGAGCGGCCCGATTTAGCGTACGCTTGGAAAGGGAACCGGGAACGGCCACTGGAGCGGGAGGGCGTAGGGTTACTTTTTTGCCCTGAGGGGGCTTATGCGTTAGATCCTTTTAGTGTGGAGGGGAGTCAAACTGCCGCTATTGGATCTCCCCTACCCCACGTTGTGCCGCACCGTTCATCCAACTATGATGGTAGTCAACCACATTGATGCTTTTATCATGACCACGTATCAACAACTCTGCTTGAACCCCAGTGCTTCCGATTTGATCCAGCTCTCTGAGATCGACGTGCGTGATAAACGGATTGCGGAGTAGCTCCTACTACTGTAAGCTTAACCAAAGGTCCCTGTACTTGCCAAGAGCTTTAAGCCTTTGGTTGCTCGCGCCGAACCCTGTCTTGCCACCAATGACCTTCGCTTCCGGTGGGGCCGAAAGCTTCAAACTCCTGTTTCTGTGGAAACAATAGGCGAAATACCCTTATATGGATATGATTATACGTACTTTAAACGATACCTGCTCCGACACCGACCCCAAAAAGCAATCCCATGCGACCCATGCAACCTACGATTTCCCTCAGCGTGCAATGCATATCTTGTCCCAATCCACTTCCCGTATTCTTTATCAACTGCGTCCTTCCATTACCTCGTCATCATCTCAAGCCCACAACGTCCAGTCCCTCCAACGCCTTCCCACAATCCCCACAGTATCCCTCCCACCACTCCATCACCGAATCGATACCTCCCTCAGTCTGATTCCTCTTCTTGATCATCTCGCCCACACGCTTACACCTAACATTCTCATCCAACACCCAATTCTCCCACTCCGCCTGCAACACCTCCCGCTCTACCCTATTCACCAACCTCATCGCAACCAGCAAGTCATGCCTGTACGCCGCGAGGTTCTGCCTGGTGCGGTGCAGGCGCGTGCCCGTCGCTCTAGTCGACGGCGTGATGTGAGGCGCGAACGTGCTCACGTAGGGCTGGAAGTCTGACGAGTCCGGATTGTTCAGCAAGCTGAAGAAGGTGTGCTGGCAGCTATTCTGAAGGGCCTCGCTGCTGCTGCCGCCATCCATCTCGTGACCGCTGTTGTGGGCGAGGCCGATGCCAAAATCGGCGGCGATGGTGTCGTTGACGAAGATCTCGTCGATGTCGCGGAGGTAGACGGCCTTGCTCATGACGACGTCCGGGTGCACGCCCATGCGCGCCATGAACTTGCCCGCGTTGCGCTCCTGCCACCACGTCCACGTGTCGCGGTAGCTCCACAGGAGGTTCATGCCGCCGCTGAAGGCGAGGAGCCCCAGGAGCATCGTGTGCGCCGTGAAGATCTTGCCCATGGCCGCAATGACGCCCGTGAGGACCGTGATAGCCGTCGAGATCCAGTTGGCCGCCATGGCGCGGCCGAGGTCGAAGAACATGCTGCCGAGTGTCCTCCTCTGCAATCTGAACCGGCGCTCTTTGACCGGCGTGAGCATCTCTGCGATCTGTACCGTCTGGTTTTGCTGGCCGATGTAGCCGAAAATTTGAACGGCCTTGCGGGTGCGACTTGCTCTGCCGAGTCGGTTGACTTGTTCGGCAATGATATCCATAAGGTCTTGCGCTTCGAGATCCAAGTCCTCAAGCGCCTGGCGTTCAAGCAGGCTCCTGATGAGTTTTGGCTCATTTGTCCACTCCAGCTTGGTGTATACTGCGAGCCTGCAACGTGACTTTGCAACATGGGTGACGACAAACTTGCTAATGAGGACGAAGTCTTTGGAGTTGGGAAGATACCAAGGTGTCTTCTTATCCGCGACGACGTAGCAGAGGTGGTCATTCAACACCTCAATGACCTGGTAGTCGCGAATGACTACTGGAGAATCGGGCGTCTGGCGGTACTCAAATTCGCGTCGTTGGAGACCACCCTCCTGCTGCGTCCATGGACCTTGAGCAATGGTTTGAGGCCAACGCTCACGGAAGAGCATTTGGAATACTGCACTCTTGTCGCCAAACATCACATGGAAAAGCGCCTTGGCGCTGATGTCGAAGTCACGCTCGGTGGCGACTTGCACCATGCCCTGCGGTCTGTATACTACAGGTTGCAATGGCAATTTGAATCTTGTGGGCTTCCGAGTAAGTGAGCTTGTGTTGGCGAAGAGATCCCCGTCAATCCGTAAACCTGATTTGGACAGGGTATCACGGCGCATAGGGCCCTCGATGGGTGTGTCGATGTTAGAGACGTTGTCCCAGCTCTCCATACTAGGACTCTCGCCGCCATTGCCTTCCATCCTCAGAAGAGTCTTGATGATGCCTTCCAAGTTCTCCGGATCATCCGAGTTGCAGTTACGCACGAGGAAGTTCAGACGTCGCTGAAGGAGCTTCAAGGGCTCAAGGAAGACCTTGACCGTCACACGGCTGTAGTCGTCTGCGCGAACTCCTTCCTTCATGTGAATGAACAAGAAGTCACAATCGCGCCCTGGAGCGCCAGTAATTTCATCAACCACGTTGAGGCCGATGCCCGTAACGAGGACGAGACCGAGATGGTTGCTGTAAAAGTAAACACTTGACGATGTGACGTAAACGCGACCAGGGAACTCCTGCTGTTCGTTCGGGTTCCAAGTAGCCCTGAAGACCAGAACAACCTTTTCATCGAGAGGTACGTTGGGGAAAAGCAGGCGGAATTGAGCATCTTGGGGTCTCAGCGCCAGAGGGTACCAGCTTGGGTATTCATCGACAGCGGCAGAGGAAGACGGGCGCGAAGGAAGTTCGAGTTTGGTCAGAGATGCTTCCGGGGTCATGCTAGCGCTGAGGGTCTTTCGGTGCGTCGAAGCTGGCAGCGGCGAAGTTCCGGGAGTGGCAACGTCCTTGGCGATATCAGAGACAGAATCACTAATGTCAGCAGTGGTCACGGAATGCGTAATGGGGCTTGAGGACTGAGAGGCTGAGATTGCCTTGGTGGCTTTGATCTCTCCTCTTTCGAAGCGATTGACATAACCCCAGTTGGTGGATCCCCAGAGATTGGCCAGGAGTCCGGAAGGCATGACACCGTCTTGGCGGCCGACACCGATTCCTCGTTCGCCGCTGATGATCACGGCCGTCTTGCTTAGGTTCGTGGGAGCGGGTGGGTTAGCGAGCGTCGGCGGCGCGAGGGAACTGATGGGCATGGTGGCAGCGCGGGCGTCGGCTGAGAGCATAGGCGAACTAGACGGAGGCGCTACTGGGAGTAAGTTGTGAATATTGTGGCTGACTGAAATAAGACCGGCGATGCCTGTCGAGGGATTTGGCGATGAAGGCATACTACTGAGCTGGGGATTCGCTGTCGTTCTCCTGTGGAGGTCGAGCTTCTGGATAATCCTGGCGGCGTGGTCACGGCTGCTGCTTTCTCCGTCCTTTTCACCCGAGAAATTCCGTTTATTGGTGACGTCGAAGCTGCTACGCGTTGCAAGGTTCCCTATTTCGGGGCTGGAGATCGGGAGGGTGTCTGCGTGCTTGAGTTGGGAAAGTTCGTCACTTCCATGAGGGTTGTGGTCTCCGGTGCGGGCGGCGAATTCGGGGGCTACAGGCGGACTAATGGCAAACGCAGCATCGGCGGACGGGGTGACGCTGGATCCTGTGCTGGCGGGGTCTTCCAAAGCTTTGCGTTTCGCGACTTCGAAGGTAGCAATCCAATCCATCAGTTCGGCCTGGCTTTCAGCTTGCAACATATTCGTCTTGTCTTTCGTCTTCACCTCAAACGCGAACCTGCGTTCCTCCTGGAATGCAGGACGCACGCCACAGAGCAGCACTCCAACCTTCTCCGACTCCTCCACTGCACCTGAACGTGCGCCGTGAACCAACCAACCAAAAATTCCGTTTCTCAGGAAGAACCATCTCCGCACCCAAACCGTCCTCGCAGGCTTGCCCGTAATGGTTCGCTCGAACAGCCAACCTTGCTTCTCCGACCTCTCCGGGCCGGGCTTCGCGGGCGATTGCATGGCGCCGTGCGATCCAATGTACGGTACGGTCGAAATCGTGTAATCGTCCAACTCTCGCGAAGGCCGGACGCCAACCTCGGCGCTGTCCTCAAGCTGCTTCCTGGCAAGGTGGAGCTCTCGCTTGAATACTCTCTCGCTGTTTTCCATTTCCCTGGACCAGCCTCTGACGCGCTCCATCTCAGTGGTGTATTGAGTGTAGACCTTATCCGTCGACTCCCTCAACGTCTTCATCTCCTTCCATCTCTCCGAGAAGACTCTGACCAATAGCTTGTCGAGCGCGGTCCTGATCTGCGGCGCCATGATGCAGAAATCCATGGCGGCCTTGATGTATGCCTTCCTGGCCTCGTGCAGCTGGAAGGCTTCCTCTCGCAGCGACGAGGCCTCCTCCGACTTCTTGCGCCCAGCATAGCGCGCAATCAGGCCGTCGAATTGCTTCTGGGTGGTGTCGAGGGTCCGGCGCAAGTCCTTCAGGGCGCGGAGATCGGTCTGGAGGAATGATCTCAGGGGTTCAAGGATGGTAAAGTCGGTCCTCTTCATGCCCTTGATCGTTGCCTGCCAAAACTCCCTAGACCCCTCACTGTAGCGCTTGACGGCGAGCATGGTGTAGTCGTGGTCCATGACGGCCTCGGAGATGTACGACGGCGGTTCGGAATGCGCGATGAAGGCGTTGACAGTGTTCTCGAGGTTCGAGACCTCCTGGACGAGCTTTCCAGTCGTCTTCACGTAGTTCTCCAGCCATTTCTCGATGATGTCGATCTGTTCGCCAAAGTGGACGGCGGTTGCGCGAAAGGTCGGGCTGTCGAGCGCGGCTTCTTTCAGGATGACGGGACTACGACGCGCGACATTAGCAGTGGTGGGTGGGGGAGGCGTGCGGGAGATAGGTGTACATCAGGCTGAGCGGCTTCCCTATGGGCATCAGCGCCGCTGGGACGGAAGTTTGCTGCTCCTCAGCCATGGCAGCGCATGCAAAATGAATGAATGGAAGGGTTTAGGCGATTGCAAAGAGCTTATCAGAAGAGCATGGCGACGGGTGCGCCTCAATGTTGAGTGGGTGATGGACCACGGGGAGGGGTCCCTGAGGCGGGAGGAGTATTGTGCAGCTCGCGGTGCACGTCACAGGCCCCGAGCGCAGCGACAGATCATTTAGGCCAAGCCAGACCCGAGAACGGAAAGAAATCACACGTCGCGCGCACGCGCTTCAAAATAATCACGCTTTAGACAGTTCCAGAGCGCCTCCTTTCCCGGCGCAATGAAGGGCATCAGCCAACAAAAATAATTCTCCATGTGAGTGCGCTGGGCATAGTGTGCATAGCTCTTGGGCAGTAGCGGCCGGCGCGAAATGCCAGGCGAACCTCCACAGCGGCAACTAGCGCCCAATCAGGCATGGTCCCGACCTGTTGGCCCGAGTGCGCGGGTTGTCTCGAACTTTTTTTGAGCCATCGTCCGAAAGCTGCTGCGAACCCAGACAACTCACGTTCAAAATGGCCAAAGACAAGACCCTGGCCGAAGCCGGCCGCCCGGCCAAGCGTGCGAAGCTGCTCGACGACGACGACGCCTCCTCCGTCTCCGGCGGCGAAGAGGTCAGCTTCAAGATCAACGAGGAATTCGCACGCCGCTTCGAGTATAATAAGAAGCGTGAGGAAAAGCAACGCCGTATGTCCCGCTGCGCATTGAATTCGTCATTTACCGCATACTGACGACCGCAGTCGAGGAGAAGTATGGCAAGAACTCCAAGGAAGCCGACGACGACGAAGACTCCTCATCCTCCGAAGACGAAGATGACGACGCCATGCTGGCTACCGAGGCTCTCGATGCCGAAATCTCCGCCACTCTCAATGCCATCCGCAACAAAGACCCGCGAGTCTACGACGCCAACGCCAAATTCTACTCCGACTGGACCCCCGAGAACCTGCCCACGAACGAGAAGAAGGAGAAGCCTATCACTATCCGCGACTACCACCGCCAGAACCTGATGGAGGGCAAGATAACCGGTGATGAGGACGAAGACACGCCCGCAGTCCCGTATGCGCAGGAGCAGGCGGCCTTGAAGAAGGAGCTCGCCAGCGTCGCCAAAGCCGACGAAAGCGATGACGAAGACGAGGACGATTTCCTCGTCGCCAAGGACAAGCCGAAGAAGGATAAGGCCGCCGCCCCTGCTGCTGCCGCAGCTACTTCCACCAAGCCAAAGAAGATCGAGCTTGATGTCGAGAATGCCGATAAGGACCCCGAAAACTTCCTCTCGAACTTCTTGTCCTCCCGTGCTTGGACGCTCGACACCGACAAATTCGCGCCTCTTGAGTCAGAAGATGAGGATGACGACCGTCGCGCTGATGAATTCGAATTCGCGTACAACATGCGCTTCGAAGACCCTGCTACCGCCAACGAGAAGCTACAAACCTTTGCTCGTGACGCCGTGGCTAAGACTTCGGTCCGCAGGGAGGAGAAGAGCGCAAGACAGAAGCAGAGAGATAAGGAGCGGGAGAGGAAGGAGGCACTCAAGCGTGAGAAGGAGGAGGACAAGGCACGTTTGCGGAAGCTTAAGATCGAGGAGATGGAGGAGAAGCTCAATATGATCAAGGAGGCAGCAGGCCTGAGCGGCAAGGAATTCAACCTGGATGACTGGAGGGACGTCCTGGATGCTGATTGGGACGACGACCGATGGGACCAGGAAATGCAGAAGCGCTTCGGCGACGGCTACTACGCTGAGAAAGAAGGGGCTGCTTCCGACTCTGACGATGACGGAGAAGGAAAGAAGAAGAAGAAGAACAAGAAGCCGAAGAAGCCTACCTGGGATGACGACATCGATATCAAGGATATCATTCCCGACTTCGAGGATGACGAGGAAGCGCCCGCTTTCACTCTATCCGGCGACGAAGATGAGGAGGATGGCGGTGTCCAGCTCCCCAACGACAACGCGGAGGGATCGGACGAAGAGACTGTCTCGAAGAAAAAGAAGAAGTCGAAGAAGGATGAGATCGATGCCAAGCGCGCTGCGCGCCGAGAACGCCGCATCATCGAGAGCCTCGTCGACCAGAACATCGACGTAGAGCTCGCGGCTAAGCAGACCGAGAACGCTCCTGCCAGGTTCCGCTACCGTGAGACTTCTCCTACCACCTTCGGTCTCACTGCCCGTGATATCTTGCTCGCGGACGACGCACAACTCAACCAGTTCGCCGGTCTCAAGAAGATGGCTTCTTGGCGTGACCCCGAGAAGAAGAAGAAGGACAAGAAGAAGCTGGGCAAGAAGGCCAGGCTCAGGGAGTGGCGCAAGGAGACGTTCGGTGACGAGGAGGGTCCGAAGTACGGCTTCGGCGACTATGTCAGCAAGAAGTATCGTGATCATGGCCTGCCTATTCAAGCTCCGGCCGATGTGAAGATGAAGGACGCAAGAGATGATGGTGTGGATATCAGAGAAGGAAGCAAAAAGAAGAAGAGAGGAAAGAAGAGGAAGGTCGGCATTGTGGAGGAATAGATTGCAGATACCATTTTTGTTTACAGAAAATTCCTATGGTGGTTTCAGGCTCACGGCCTTGCTTCTTCTACCTGGTATTATGTGACGGCTTTCGGAAGCGGACTGTCCTGTTTTAAGACGTACTTTCCTCGCGTATCACTCTCCTGCCAACCTCCCTGAAAAAGGGTTCTTTTTCCAGATAAATACAACCATGCCACCTGTTGGGTGACATTATTCATTGCACTTCCTTCTGATTGAATGCGCATGATGGAATTCTGGAGACTCAGCTGCCTTTTGCCGGACAGATACAACACTCACTTCCCTCCATACCTAGGTTACCGACTATTTAGTAGATGTGCTAGGATGTGTCACCAACATCTAGATTCAATATTGATCTTCAGCATCAACTTCAGTCGATGCTCATCAATATCACGCAACAACTATCGTATGTCTCTAGCGTAGGGAATCACTGATATGAGTGCACATATGAAAATAAATACCGAGCGCAGTTGAGTAAGGCTCCCAAGCAAGCACAGCGCAGTGTTTCGGGGATATCCAGTAGTCAAGATCTGCGGACACTGTTGTAGCATCGAACTCTGAGAGCGGCCTCTGACAAGCTTTATATATCTATGGCCAAAGAGACGCAAGTATGCAGAGCACGCGCCTCTTGTATATACCCGAGCTAAGTGGCGCGTGGTCCATGCCACGCTTTCTACAGAAGGGATTACATCCGAAGGCTAGCGTTAGTTGATTTTCCGCTCATATCATGGACAGTTGAATCTATCATCCTCAAGAGAGTCTCGATCTAAAAATACTACATACAGTCCCCTCTCGCAGCTGGTGGCTAGCGTGGGTTTGTTTTTCGCTCATGCCATGGGTAGTTAAAGCTCTCGTCCGGACGGAAATGTAGAATTAAAAATTCTACATACACATCCGGACGATAGCTCCAGCTACCTACATATGTTATTTTTCTGAGAAGGAGTTGAGGCATAGTTACGCCTGGGGCCTTGCTATTCTTCATGCTAGCCATCGGCTGCGAGAGGGGACTGTACACGTCCGGACGATGGCTTCAACTGCCCATGTGTTGTTTCACTTTTTTTTTTTTTAGAAAACAAGAAGAAAAAAGCCGGCATAGCTGCCCTCGATTCAAGGATCCTGATATTCGCGCTAGCCTTCGGCTCCAATACCCCTCTGTATGTATCCCAGCGGCTATGGGTGTCAGGAGGACCTGATTTTCGCAGTCCATGTGATGAAAGCCCACCACAGCAAAGTTGACGTGTCCACCTTATCTCTACGGCGCTGTTCCAAGTTTAATCACGTCACACCGTTGGCTCTGAAAGGATCAGTATCCATGCTCTTCGCGCATCCACTCTTACCAAGCACCCAAGCCGCGTTGTTCAGGCGCCGAGGGCAGTTGTTGGGTACGATGGGCCGTCCCACCGGGTTACCGAATAAGGAAAGTAAGCTAGCCCCCAAATAGGATGTCCTTCCGCCGTGCGCAGCCCAACTGCTGGGCAACCACTTTTTGCTGAGTCGTGAGCCGAAACTCAACAGTTGGTATTAAGCCGGAACGCCATACTCCGTAGGCTATCATCCTGACTCAAATGCATGATTTCACATCCACTTCTAGACAATCGCTTCAGCTACCCATGCACGAGCGAAATTTCGGCTTCAGTACTCATCTGTCAGTCAGACTGGCACTGTGAATCTTTAAAAAAAAAACATTTCTGTCATTAGAACTGTCAAGCACAAAAGCAAGAACGGCGAAACAAACACTAGCATCTAAATGTACGTTAGATAATATATTTACTGAACACCATCTCTACCCCCCACAAAGAATCCAAAAAAGACAAAACAACAAAGCAGTCGCCACGCCACGCCATGCTATGCTCCCAATCCTCATGAAGACATAACACATCCCACATAAGCCCGCCCCATCAACCCTCCTCATCCGCTCTCCTCCCCACCAACCTTGACACTGTTGTTGCTGCTCGCCCCACTCCCATTATTGCCAACCTCATCCAAATCGAACACCTCCCGTATCGGCAACACTTCCTTCCCCTTCTTCACCATGCGCCCGCTGGCCGTGGACCCCGGCCCCAACGGGCCGGCCATGAACTCGTCATCCGTATCGCCGAACAAGAAGGCTTTATTCTTGTTACCGCTACCGCCCTCGGAGCCACCGCCACCACCACTAGCGTCTCCGCGCTTGCTGCCCGCGCCGCTCGAAGGCTTGTTGCGGCGGCGCTCGCGCTTCTCGAGGGGCTGGAACGTGCTAAGCGACGAGGCTGCGGCGAAGCTCGAGGCCGGGGTGGTGTCGGGCTCCTGGCCCAACATCCACGAGAAGGACGACGACGTGAGGCTGTGGCGCGGGCGAGACCCGGGTGAGAAGTTGCGGCCAAGAGTCTGGGCCGACGAAGCTGAAGCGGAGCGGCTTGTGTTGCCTTCGGAGGAGCCGCCGGTGGTGGCTGATTGTGGCACAGTAGACGGTGTGGGCTTGCGGCTCGTTGGAGCCGAGGCTGCTTTGGCTGAGTGCGGCGCGGACCGCTCCGTCGTTACACTGGAGTCCCCGGCCTCGCTCGACGGGACTGACGGCTCCTCGCTTACTTCAGTCAACGTCGATTTTGCGGCCGATTCTTCTTCGATGAAAGGGGCAGGGTCATCCGCCGGCAGTGGGATGCTGGAGTCTTCGAGGTACACTTGCATAACCTGTACCTTTGCGATGGCGAGGCTCAGGGACTCTATACTCTGCTTCTCCGAACCTTTTCCATCCAGAGCATCTTTCTGACACTCCCATAACTCAGAGACCGACTCCTCTAGCATCTTTGCTAACGCCTTATTGCGCTCTTCCAGAGCCTCAATCTTGCTCAGCAATTCTGCAGGCTCCGGTCCCTTGTTGGCTTCTCCGGTGATGAGTGACCTGAAATTAGGGGCGTTGCGGCCTGACTGTATTCCCTGAACATTCTTGCGGAAGTCGCCCATTGCATCTCTTATAGTCTTGTTAACGCCCCATTTTTCACCAGTCTTATGAATGCCTCGGGCCGCATCTTGGATTATAGTCTCGATGCTTCCTGACGGCGATGCTCTAGGAAGGGTGTGGAATTTTAAGGGAGAAAGTGATCTCTGAGGAGAGGTCTGTTCCTGGGGTGTCTCTGGTCGTGGCATGGGTCGAGTAGGCGCACGACCTGAGTAGGTCCGGATGATTTGGCTTGCGGTCCCCCAGGTAAGCTTTTCGCTCAACTGAACCGCATCTTGAACAAAGGTCCGCGGAGGATCATCCTTTTTCGGTGCCGGGTACCGTAGCAAAAGCGTGATGGCAGCATTCGCATCAGCCTCGAGCACTGCATTCGGTGTTAGCAAGGAAAAATGGCAGTGGCATAGCAGTGCACCCACACTCCCAACGGACACGAAGAAGCATGGCTACACACACATAGTCCACGATCTCCAAGGAGGGGTCGGCAGCAAAGATGAGATCCCACATTGGGAGGACATCATCGAAGGGGAACTCGCGACCGAAAAGTAACCGCATCCAGCGCCTTCAAACGTCAGCTCCCCGGTCAAAATCAAGGGTAGTAGGACGTACATTAGGAACATCTGAGGTGCAACCTCTATTTCCTTGAGATGATCTGCCAGCTCGGGATCGGCTTTCGGAAGAAGCTTGTCAAATATATGGCGGCACTTGACGAGCATAGGAGAGTCATCAGACTGCTTCGTCTTGGAAGGCTCGTAATAAGCCTTTGCATTCTGCATGACCAGGCCGAACAGGGTGAAAGTGTCGTGCTCGATGAAGTGCGAGTTGCACATGTCGAGCAACAAATCCTTGTGCTGGGTGCGGTTATCCACACCGGCCTCCTTCGGATCCACGGCATCCCTCTCGACGACCCACAGTATGGGGGCAAGCACCTCGTGCATGCCCTGTCTATAGCCCACGTCGGGATTCAGCTTGCAGAATATGAACAAGATGTCGAGCAGCATCTTCTGGGTGTCGGGCTGGCGGAAGTAGGTGTTGTCGGGCATGCAGCGGTCGACATCCTGGAAGATTTCGGCGCGCAGGGCTTCATCTTTGCGCAGAGCAACCCAAGGGGACTTTCACAACTTAGTCAGAGGTCAGACTTGTGTTTGCTATGCGCTACCCCGGCGGTGCGACGCGTGTGTACGTACTTCATCGCTTTCGCTGAGCGGGTCGAGGGCGGATTCGAGCTCATCGGGGTTCTCGATGGCACGCAGGAAGTGGGCGCGGAGCGAGTCGTAGACGGAGCGCGACTCGGCAAGGGTCGAGGGCCATTCTTGGAGGTCGACGTTCTCGAACAAGAGGAATGCCTGCGAGTACGAGCTTAGCCATGGGCGGATCCGGGGTTCGGCAAATCATAGGGCGCGCAGAGAGCCTATTCCGACCTCGATGCTCTCTCCAGCGAGGACTCACCTTCCAGCACGCGGAACGCTGACCGTTCACGAGGGCTGACGGCGCGGAGCCAAGGCCAACGGCGGAACGCAGGTCGGCGAGGCTCTTTGCCTGTTCCAGCAATTCCCAGGAGGCTCTGCGCGAAGTCAGGAGTCAGAAAGCGCCGCAAAGCTCCCGTGGCACCTCTGCTTACCTTGCGTCTCGAGCGGATCTCATGTCGGAGCGGTGACGGGGTTGTTTGTGGAGGAGTCTCGAGTGGCAGATGACGTTGGTTGACCGCCCACCCACGGCCCCTCTCGGCTAAACATGCCCACCCTAAACATCCACCAGCACGCGCTATCACCATCCGCATCGCAGGAACGGCATCACTCTGCGCGCTTGATTTTCTAGAAGATATAGTCAAACGCCCGGGTTCCGGAGGCATACCAGCGGCTCTGCGGCTGCCTCCGTCTCAGGATAACCATCAACATCAGCCCTTTGCACCGAACTTTGGACATCACGAAGACCTCCTTCGTGAGGACAGCTCGCTCAAATGGCGTATACAATTATTCTTTGTTCCTGCCGGGCTACATTGTCTCAACTACCGTCTCCTATTTTTGGGACCAAGGTCTTGTTTAATCCCCTTTGTCTGCACCGCTTTGTTTCCCTCCGCGATTGTATAAAACAATGCTCCTTCTCGTATATGACTGCCTGGTGCGTAACGCTGTTCGTCTGGTAGTACCCACACTCTTTGTATTTCGACGTTGTTTTTCTAATAACCCAGTACTGCTGGCAGTCAGGTGAGTAATGCGTAATGAAGACTAACGATACTTCAATCGAAACGGGGGAGAACAACCTCGAAAAAGTATTCAAGGAAGCAGTAGAGAGCAAGCCTCAGCTTTCAGAAGTGTTCGAGCTCTCATCCGGAACCGCTCCAGACCTCAGCAACCCTATCCACCCGCTGTTCCGTCAGACGAACTTCCCGTCGTTGAGCACTGACGAGTATGAAGGTATGGAACTCGCGCTCCGGTTAGCGTCGCTTTTCATCACCGTGGTGCCGATGCTCGAGTGGTTCGTCAAGGCTGCGTACGACTTCGAAGTCGTCCATCCTACACGCACTAATAAGAAAGTCCTCGAGCAGGTCTGCGAGTACAACCGCGGACACTACGCCGTCGTGTCGGACGCGCTGCTCAGCCTGGCCGATTTCGTCGACTTTGACTTCGACATCTTCCCAGACTTTGTTAGTTGCGGACGCACACAGCTGTACGCCGTTAACAGCAGTAAACGGCGGAAGCAAGCGCCTGAAGCGGTGCACGCCTGGTTCCAGAAGACTCACCAGCAGCGGAGACGAGTGCGGACGAAGCTGCACGCCGACTTCAGGGCATATGCGCGGGACGCCCTCCAAGGCTACTCGCCCGAGGCACGGCTGCGCTACTCGTTCTTCCTTGCCGTCACAATCACGCATGAAGTGTGTCATGCTTTCGGCCTGATGAAGAGCAACGGCGCAGACGAGCCGTACTTCTCTGCCGACGCCCCCGTCTCGGACTGGGGCACTGCATGGGAGATGTGGGCGCTCGGCGGCGAGATCAACCCCTGGCACCCGTCCAGGATGGCGCCCACTGTGACGCTGCTGGCAGCCGACTGGGTTGACAGGCGGCGGCAGAAGGTCAATGGCGGTCTGGCCTCGTCGGTCGTGCCAATGGACTGGATCGCGATGTGGTTCCGCCAGCACTTCTGGGCCGAATTGGAAAGCGGCAGCGACGTGAGGACGCTGCCCCTCTGCGACCTGCGGGTCTGGCAGCAGGCGGACCGCAGGGGGTCTGTGACAAATGGCAAGGTGAGTCTTCTCATGCCCGAGTCTCCTCAGGCAATCTCCCCCAGCCGCGGTAGAAAGAGGAAGGTGAGTGAGGGAGACGACCGAGACTCGGGCTCCGCTTCTCCCGAAATGATAGACGAAGAGAGTTCAAGCCACAAAAAACGGTCTCGCACGAGAAATGGGGAAGCTGTGAGCCCCAAGACGGCGAGGATCGACAATCGGTGAGCGGAGAGGCGCTATATTTAGAGATGAAGTGGTGATTTGCTGTTACATTTCTGTAGGTATCTTCTTGGCCAACCGGCTGGCACCAACAACGGCAGGGCCGTGGTGTGCAGTTCTGAGTGGTCAGTCCATAATGATCTTTTCTTTGTTTGGCATCCTGGGCCAGAACGTCCGCCTTCTTGTTTCATCACATGCAAGCTTCCCGATATTTCCACCAGCGTCCACGCTATAGTGCACGATCACCGTGCCAGCTGTCTGCGGCATCATGAGAACGCCATTGCACTTTCTCTAACGAGTTCTGCGTCCGATAGTTGTGAACCGCTCCCTGCCTCTGTTTCTTCGCACCCACTGCTCCACACTCATCAATGGGGTTACATTGGATGGCCCGGCGTCTCCGAAGGCTAGCGTGAAGAAATTTCTCAACTACCAGTGCTAGGTGGGGAGTTCATTCACCCTTCAAGCCAGCGGCAGTGTTTTGACCATGCGTTCATACCCAAGCAACTGCTCGGCTCCCGATACTCCCTTCAGCTTAGGCTATCTTTGGCAATTTCATCATTTTTGGCCTCAGCTCTTAGTTGCAGCGCCATTCTACGGACGCTAGTCGGTCAGACGAGCAGTTTCCTCGTCCATTGACTGATGGGTTCCGCTTCTATGTTTGGCATGAAGTGCTTCCCAAACACTCCTGATGACTGAACGCGTCATTTCACTGACAAGAATGCAAACCCCAGAGTCGACCGCAATGCCTAGATCGGGGACATGCATGGCGTAAGCACCTTCCCGCGACCACCCTTGCCCTAAGACGCCATGAGTAAGAAAAAAAGCAGACGCACAAGCCAACCAACGACTCTAATCTTCGCAATCACCCGAAATGGCCTCCCACCGACGCGGCAACTGTCGTATTCACGAGCCGTGCCGGTCGCGACCAGCATGGCGGACCCAGACGGTGCGCAAGATGAAAAGGAGGCAGGGGGGTGAGGGCGTGTGATTGCGTGCCACTTGATCGTAGCGAAATCAAACCAACCACAGGGGACCACCATTCCATCCACGCGGAACAGCCCTTAATTTTTTTTTTTGTTCCCGCGAGGAGGCACTGGCCCACTTGCGCCTTTTCTCCTCTCATACACACCAACGTTACACACTGACTCTCGTCCCGCCGCAAGGTGCCGAACGCATGCTAACCCCAGAAAAGACCACACACCCAAGAACGGTAGCACCGTGCCGCGACCCGCGCCGCACTTTTTTCCTCTTCGCACACGCTATGCCAACCTCTGTGATGTGCCCAACTTAACGCGTACGGGAATAGCCTCACCGCTAAAGACGTTATTTCGGCAACCCGTGCCCGCCTACCCCTCTTCCCCGGCATTCCAAGCGTTAGTCGAAGTTACATTGTTCTGTGTTGCCCTTTTTGCCTCTCCTCGGGACTGCCTCGTAGGGAATTCGGCTCCTTCGGAGCGCCGATCCGTCACATCAAGCATATCTAACATTAGCATACACGTGCAGAACGTCACCAATGGCAATATGTTGTGTCCTGCATGAGACGAGAATGATAGGAAGGGCGCGTGGTGTGTATGTGAGAAAAAGCATGAGGTCAGAAAGCTGGGCACGGATTGCGTATGCACGACCAGGTAGGTAAATGGACAACACCATCGTGGCAATTTACAGCCCCAATCCCTGAGAAAGGGAGAGAATAGGGAGAAGGGGAAAGAAAGAACGAGAAGGAGTATTAGATGCGCAGGAGGAATGCGTTCGAGCTCCTCAGGAATTTGCGTATGCATTGGGCCATCCTGGGCCAAGTACTGCTTTGCTTTGCACATTCTGGGCTGCCCCCTTCTGGTGGAAGCCTCCGTCCAGCGCTCCGGGCGTGGGCAATGATCCGTGTGCGCGTGCACAGATGGTGGAGGTTTTGCAAAACAAAGAGCGCGAATGGGCGCGCGCCGCCGAATCCTTCGAGGGACGTTAGATTCGCTTAAGCGGAGAATTTGGGGTCCAAAAGGTAGGTCAGAAGGGGGGGTGTTGATCTCAGACAGGGTGAACAAATGCCTCCCCGTTAATAATTGCAGCCGCGGCGGGCCGGCGTGCGTGCATGGCGGCGCTGGTTGCGCACTTGTGCGTGGGTGGGTGCCGGGAATATGGTTCTCTCGGGCGGGCATTGGACGAGCCGGGATGCCCTTCCCGTCATCAAGATGAGATTTTCTCCATGCATGCGCCTCCACGTTTTTGCAATTCTGCATCACGGCTGCGTCTGTCGGGTAGCAATTGTTTGACCATGAGGCTTTGTGCAGGGAGATCGGCGTGGTGATCAGCTTTGGCTCGCTCCGTCAACCCACTCACGACCCATAACTCGGCAGTCTCCAGATTCGCGTGGCTGCGAGAGCTTTGTGAGATGAGAAAAGATGGGCCCGAGGTGCGTGGGATCACCCTTCCTCTAAGCTTATCGCAGGAAGAAAAACGACGTGTGCGTGACGCTAGGCCACGTTCTCCTCCCTTCGAGATCCACATGCATGCATGCCGCCCGGTTGTCGGTGGGAGGAATTTATTTTTGGATCAAGCCAATGGCGTGCATTGGTGGATCCTTCAACCCCCGTTCTGACTTGTGCAACCGAAGGCCCCATCGTCCGCCTGCACACGCTTTAGCCGTCTGCTGATGTCATGCGAGTGTCGCTACAACTGCCTCCGGCGGGACGAGATACGGCGTACGCGCGGCGCTTCATCGTTAAGCCGGCGCACCATGCTAGCTGCCGCGGCAATTGCGCCTTTGTGTGGGGTTCCTGAAAAACTTGTCTCAGCGCGGTGTTCACTGCGGATGCAGCTGGAATTCAGGCGGTGGCGGGTGGCGAGCTACATTTTAGCTGCCCAGAGATTCTTGCGATTGGAAAGGGGAATATGTGCTACCGAGAAGATACTATATATACGGCGGCAAAAGCATAAAAGGGAAAAATAAGGGTGGGAACACAAATAAAAAAACGAATGCATCCAAGAAGCCATATCTTGGTTTCCGCAAGCGAGGGTATCAATCGCTAAAAACGCTTTCACAAAACTTGTGAATGGGACATAGGAAAATCGTGGGGAAATGGGTAGCGACCGATCTAGAAGTGAAGAAGTCCGAAATGTACCACCAAACCTGACTTTCTCAAGCTCTTGCCGTTGACTTTCGTGATAATAAAACACTTCTTTGCTTTTGTTGTTTTCTTGTTGCCCACTGCGTCATCGTGAGCCTCTTCTCTGCCTCGCTTCCATCCACTGTCTTTCCAACTCGGCGGCTCTGCGTGCAGCCGCCCGACGTTGGTGGCTCTGAGCCTCCCATTGACTCTGGGCGTAGTCGGGGAGCTCTTCGTCGTCCGGTGGCATGCTGTAGTCGTCGTCGTCTTCCTCCAGCGATCTTAATGCTGCGACCAAGTCCGCAGAAGAGCGTGTGACGGCGACGTTTTGGTCCATGGAATAGTTCTGGTCGAAGGGGTATTGCGGGAGAGGTTGGGAACGGGAGTTGGGCTGCTGGGGCGGTGGTGCCCGAGGAGCATAGTATTCTCTGTAGAGAACCTGGCTCAGGGGCCGCGCCTGGCGCACAGGAGAGAATGGATCGAAGCCGCTTGTCGCCTCGGCGAAGCGGTGGAGTTCAGCGTCGCTTTCGAAGGCGGTGCTTGGCCTGCGCTGCTCCTGGGCCGTGCGGTTTGGTGAGCTTTCCCAAGGGGTTCCGGGGTAAGTGCGAGCGGCACGGAGGGGAGAACGGAGAGTCTCGCCGTTGTGAGACGAGGAGCGCGGGCGGTCAAGCGGGGAGAGAGGGTAGAAGTATTCTGGACTGGTGGGATAGTCGCTGGAAACGGTTCGCGCGGGCGGCTGCGCAGTGAAGTTGCGGCCGGAGGGGCGCGAGGGCACCCTCAGCGGCGACGGACGCATGTCGTGGTGAGAGCTCGACGGCATGGTGGAGGGTCCGGAGATGGAGTCGGGGTAGGAAAGTTGCGAGGCTGGGGCAGACCGTGACAGTTCGCGGGCGGGGTGGTAGGAGAAAGGCGACAGCGAGCGGGGTGGGCCGCTGGTTGTATCTTCTGGGCGGCGGCGGATCAGTGCTTCCAGCTTTCGGGGCTTTCTTTTTCTCCTTTCCTCGTCCGATTCGGCGGAGGGAGGGCGCGCGTCGCGGGTGCGTTGCCAATCAGGAACACGGACGTTCGCCCAGCGCGAGGTGGGCGGGTTTTCTAGAGAACGGTGCCAGTCAGGAGCGGAATGGTCGGAGGCGTCGTGTGATTGGCTGGGTCGAGACTGGTCCATGCCGGCGCAGGTGCCGACCTGGGCGAGAAGGGTGGAGGAGGCGAGCAGCAGCTGGGCTGTATAGCTGATATAGTCGGGCCCTGGAGTCACCAGACGGTCTTGGTCGCGGGCAGCGGAGGCCAAAGCGGGAGCGGACGCGGAACAGGGTTGCATCTTGGGACCTGGCGGCGATCAGGATGCTGCAGAGGGCAGGCTAAAACGAGCTAGCACCGAGCGATCACCAGAGAAGCGAGGGCGGAGGCGAGTCACACAAGTGAAATCCGGCAGCGTGGAGCTGGTGGCGAGCAGGCATGATATCTACGGGCTCATGGCGGCAGTAAGGCTGATAGTAGCAACCGCGAGCCGCTGAAAATAGGCGAAGGATGAGCCAACATGCGGCGGTGGTGCAACGCGCCTTGGTGCGGACGTGAGAGTGCAGTGAGCACTGAGGCTGGCGCAACGGGATCGCGCACGTCTCGTTCTCGCATTGCGCGGGCCGAGGGGTTGCTTGCCAGGCCATGTGGGCTTACAGTGGAGCGTGGTGTTCGCCCGTGTAGAAGACGCCAAGCCCGTCAAGCTTGTGCCGCCGATCGCCCCTGCACAGCCTCCGCTCTATTTTTGGCCGCGCCGCCGACGCCTCAGGCAAGCCCAGCCCTCAACACCGCAAGCCAGACCATCTCGTCCGCCCCCGGCCGCCCCGCCCCAGCTGCCACCCTCGCAGGTGACGTCGCCGCCCTCCGCTGCCCAGCTCGCCTCCGACACGCCCTGCCCACCGTGCACGGGAGCCGCGCGCATCGGGCCCGGCGCCGGCCAGCACCACCGACCAGGCCCGCGATCCTTCCGCACCGCGCCAACACGCCGAGCTCCCGCGGCCATTCACGGCTCGCCCGGCGCGCCTCTCCACTGCCAATGCTCGCGTCGCGCCTCGAGAATCCTGCACAATATCCGCCTGTCACGCTGCCAAATCTACGATCTGAGTCGGTGTACAAAGCCGCCGTCTCCCTGTTCCTGAACCCCACACCACCTGTAGCGCTGGCCACCTGATCCACTCTCATCTCAGTTGGCTCCTTCTGCCCTGTGCATGCCTCCCGAGCCCTGAGCCTCGGTTCGGCATCTACCCGTGGCTGCTGTCTCCCGCGGACTTAACGACGCCCTCAGCTGCCGTCGACCGCGCTATTGATGTGCTCCAGCTGTGATCTCAAATGAAGGGTTCCTGCATATCTATTTTAGTGCTGACCACGGCATGTCCGTGAAGGGCAATCGTCCTCGAAACGGCAATCAAACTGGAAGCATTCCTCTCGGGCCCGTCGGTACCGGCGGCCAAGTTAATCGCGACCATTCGGCCGATTCTGCATGGTCTGATCGCACCGTGGCACGTGACGCTTCCGTTTTTCTCTACTGTGTACGTCTGGGGAGCTTGGCTAACCCGCCCTCAACACATCAGCGCACCTCTGAATCCTCTGCCGCGTGGTGCAGGGCTGCTCCTGGTCGGTCTATTTTCGCGCTGACCGCCTAACCTGAACATCCAACTGCAACACCGTACCTCAGCCACGTTGCCGCCCTCATTACATATTAACCGTTGGAGCAAGCAAGCTCCGTGCAGACCTTCTCGTCTCTTTCCGCTTCAGGCGCGCCATCGTGATGTTGCCAACACTGTCCGACGTGCCAACGCATCACCCGGACTGTTGTTTGAGCCTCTCCACCGCCTTATTTTCGAAACTCGATGAAATTCTCTCCGTGTCGAAGGCGCCTGTTCTCTCCATCGGCGCCGGGAGCGGCTTGTTCGAAGCAATTCTTAGTAGCAGAGACCCCTCTCGCACCGTTGAGGGTGTAGAAGTCAACTCATCTGTCAACAAATACCTCCCTGAAGAGTCGACTTTTGTCGTTGGCGGCACGTGGGGCTTGTGCCCTAGAGCAGAGGATATTCCTATTTGGGTCTTCGTTTACCCGCGCGTGCCCGCGCTTGTCAAAAAATACTTCGAGACCTTTGGTCAAGCACGCCTTCAGCTCGCCATATTCCTAGGGCCGAGAGCTGACTGGGCTGATTTTCAAGACTCGTTTATCGTTCCCGGATTCACCTCTGTGGAGATTGTGGAGGATTGTGGGCTCGTCCCATACGAGGTTCTGGCAGTCATCAGGAAGGAATCCGCCGCCAAGTGACCGAAACTCATCAGCGGTCTGTTTCTGCTCGCGATTCACAACGCGTGCCCGTGTCAACCGCTTCTGCCTGCACAACATCATGTGTAGGAGCTGTCGCCGACCTCAGGCATCAAATGCCGTCGGCATCACGTAACGTACATCTTTACAATATTTAAAGCCGTGGTTATTGTCGGCTAGCGCTACTACCACCATCACAGTAGATACAAAGACCGACATATCCGTGCAGACCCTGAGCAAATAATAGCAACCAGAACAACAGTGCATGAACTTGCAGAAATCAGCAACTTCACCCCAAGGACCAGTTTCCGACCCCAGTCTAACAGCATCGAGAACCAATCAGAGCACTCTCAGCCTTAGAGAAGCCAAGGAAATTTGGGAACACGCAATCCTCCTCTTCAGGAATTATGACTGGTCCGAGGCCATCATCCATATCCAACGCCTCCTGCGACGCTCACGGAACACTCCTGGGCTCAATCGCGCTGCCCTATGGGCCAACCTAGGCATCCTGCGTATGCACTTGGGCGAATATTACCTCGCACTCGAAGCCTTCAAAAAGGCCATGGAGAAAGCGGGGGTCAGCGTAGAAAAAGCGACCGATCCCGATGGCACGCGTAAGTCCCTTTCTTTTACCCTATTTGTCATTTGTCTACTGTGGGAGAGTGAGTGAGCGGTCCAGCCAGGGCTGACTAACAGCTCCTTCGATGATGACAATAGCTAAAAACCCTATGCTGACGCTCGACCCTTCATCGACAGCAGCCTTACCCGACGCGGTATCTGCGTCAGCAGCCTCACCAGCAGCAGCGCCAACATGCTCCGCACCGCACAGCCCACATCTGGGGCCGCGGCCGCGGCCCCGGTACCAACCGAGCAGCCACGCGGCAGGAGCAGTAGGAGCAACAACCGCGCATCATTCCTCCTCATCCCTCCTCATAACAGGAGCAGCGCCAGCATTAGCAGCAGACTTGCGCACTGACGCCACGTTGATCAAACGCACCACAGCCGCGCTCGTCAGGCACCATCAGCATCACGAAGGAGCAGCAGGAGGAGGGCCTCGTAATCACCGCAGCGACAACAATCACCTGTCCGGCGGCGGCCGCCGCCGTGACTGGGCCGAGTCTAGTGATAACCGTCAGCATCACCCTCTACGTCGCCCAAATGCGCCCACCACCACCGCCATCTACCCTTTCCTTGCCGGCCTTGCGGCTTACCACCTACCGCGTGACGACGACGGCGGTGCTTCCAAGGGTCTCCGCCTCGCGCAGCGCCTCTTCCGCACCTGCCTATCACTCCTCCCGCTGCCGGGAGGGGAAGGTGTTGGTGGAACGCCGGGAGAGGATGCTGCTGAGGTGAAGGTCGACATGACGCCCCTCGGCTTGGCGTGGACGCTGGAGCGCACACGAGTGGTCTGGAATACGCGCATCTGCGGGGTCAAGGCCGACTGGGAGGAGGGCCGTGGCGACTTGATTGCAGGGAAGCATTGGGGCGTCAACGGCATGCCCGGCGGCTTGTGTTTTGAGTTTGTGGAAGGATGAGGAGGGCGGCGGCGGCGGCTGAAAAAAGAAAGAGAGGTGAGTGGTTTGAGGGAGCGGGGAGTGGTGGTGGAGATAGCGGGTGGCGAGACGGTGGCTGGCTGGCCGCGTGGATAGAGGCGGATTGAGGCGGGTAGTCTGGCAAATAAAAAGCGATACTCATTCTTGTGTTTGGTGTGACTGTGCAAGGCTTTGGGGCTTGGGGTGTGATAACCTGACGAAAAAAAAAACCCCCCCAAGTTGGAATACATTCTGCGATACGCACTTTGTTCGTGCGTGGCGTCTTTGTTCCTCATACTGAAGTGGTGATTCGATTGTGCTATGGGAGTGATGAAGTGCGCTGCATCATCATTGGTGGTCGTTGTTGGCGCCATTCGTACTGCAGTGATACCAGTACGCATCAACTACATCTAATGCACTAAATCAATTCTCGCGAGAGGATAGACTCTTTATACCTAGGAAATGTACCATTGAGACATTGGCGAAAGGCGAGTTTTTTTGGTGTTTTTTTGTAAGGTTTACGAGTTATCCCGTACATCGTCTCCTCTGGGCACTCAAAACGAAGTCCTCAATCATCGCCGACGCCTTGAAAATGGCGGTCCAGCCAATGCATGTCAGTTGCGCGTGGTGACTACGTGTAACTATTCACTGCATGCACGGTGGCGTTTGCGTCTTCCTGCTGATCTGGAGTAGGGACTTGGCTTTTCCGTTAAATTGCGGCTTCTACTTACTTTTCTTAGTGCTCACTACTGGCAATGCCAATTAAAAGGTCAGTTTCTAAAATTCTCAAGCCCCCGGACAGTTCACTGTTCCCTTTGTTTTTGGTGGTTTCAATTGCACAGTCTTTTATACATCAGATAGTGATGGTGCATTACCTTTCTATTCGCCATTTACGCATGGGCGAATCCATCAAAATTTAATGAAGTTGCCGTGCATGTTTCAACACCGCTGCTTTCCGTTCAAAGTGAGAACAGCTGAAGTGTATCCTGTATCAACCTTTAAATCTAAAGCCGAACTCCTCTCCGAAGAAAAGTAGTCAAATACTCTGTCGTTATTGTTTGAAGCAACGATGCCCTGGTTATTAAGCCTTTTGCAAGGGGGCAAGATCTGGAATATCTTCTCCTTTATAATCCGATCAAGTGTTGTGTAGACTGATGGTGGCATGGCTACCAGCATGCAGTATCTGCTGCTCAATATAAGTTTAGAGCAGACATGTGAAGGTGATTTTGAACAGACACAGCGGGGTACTGCGGCCGGTGGCTAGTGAAGAATAGCAGGGCCCTTGAACATAGCGCAAGTACGCCTCAGTTCTTCTTCTTTTTTTTTTTCAATGAAAAAGGACTAGCTGAAGTCATCATCCGGATATAAACGTGATGTGGAATTAATAAATCTACATTCACTTCTGAACGATGGCTTCAATTAGCTATAACATGAGCGAAAAACAAATTCACGCAAGTCTTCAACTATGATACGCCCTATATATCATATATATTCGACTTCCGTGTTGGCCATGCGCACAGTTGACACCAGCGTATCATGTGCCTGTCACCTACATAAAAGCGCACACTTCCTACAGGTCTGATTTCACTCAAGTAATGCTTTCTGCTGGCTCACTAGACCCACAGATCATAGAAGCCAATATACTGGTGCCTGCGCTCGGGATCACAATATCTACATCTCTGTCCGCAGCACACCACCAACACCAAAACACTACCTCCCACAGCCCGCCCACCATCAGCACAGGTAAATGGTTGCCTTCACCATGCACCACGAACAAGGCCGCACACCATCATTACAAAATGAAGCACACTAGCAAGACAAAGAGAACACATAACTCTCCATCATGCCAGACACCCCGTCACACTATCCATGTCTCGCAACTCCTCGCATATGCCCCGTCTCCACGGCGAGACCAAGACAGTAAGACTTAAATTCTCTCTGATAATTGTATCATCCATCGGAATAACCGACTGCTGATCTCGACAATCTACCCACCCCCGCACACTGCCCTTTAAATAGTGTGAGGGGTTTACAGGAAGTGGTGGTGACGGACGGAGCGGTCACCGGGCCCCGAGACAACAATTTCCCAAAAGAGGCAAAAGGGACCAGACCCCGAGGACCCACCCTCCTCAACAAACGTCTTTGCCCCATTCCAAAGCCGACGGTCAGTCAAGTCAGTCATCTGCCACCCTGGCAACGATTTTTTTTCCCTTTGTTTGTGACCCTGAACACAAAACGCCGTTCCCGTTGAGCCGGGTGAAACAAACAAAGGAACGTATGTATGTCTGACACATTGACAGGAACCTAAATCAGGAACGAAGGACACGTGATGATTGATTGACGTATACACCCGCACGTACAGCAGTAGCAAACGAATGAGAGGATGGTTTGAGGGGAGAGTATCCAGGAGCGGGAGAAAGCAGCGGCGCATTATTCCAGCGCCGCAGCAGCAGATCTCCACCCAGAAAAGAAATTCTATTCATTATGATGTTCCTTGTTCCTCCTTCAGTCGCCAGAACCAGTTAAGGCCTAAGCGTCCTTTTCAAATGGTTGAAAAGCCACAGCGAACGATGTTTCCATCTAAGCTAAACTATTTCGCTGTCCTGCCGTATCGATGCTAACGGCATGAGTTGGCTGAACCATTTTCCCCGTGTTTTCTCTTTTCTGGAGTAAAAAGAACCATTCCCATCGTAGTTTCCTCCGTCTATTCGTTGAGTTGAAAAAACAATGACAAATCTGCGTACCGTCTGTTTCTCGAAGATGACGATACCGATTAGCGGATCGAGCTTTGTGATGTTGAAAAAAATAATGCTGACGCTCGTCCTGCTTTGGTGGCGTGAACAGTGCCACAAAGACGTGATAAAAACCCAATGTTGTCGTTCCTTCCTTCATGACGGGTATAATGTGCCCTTCGAATAACAAAACCAAATCTCCAAGATGCTCGTGTGAAAATCCACCCATACCATTCCCAACTAGAATGGTGTCTTCCAAAAATGCCTTGGTATGCATTCCAATGCACGAAACCAAAGACAGTGTGCTCTCCTAACGTCAGCGCTTGACCATTAAAGGAGTTGAGATAATCGCCGTCGATGTGAAAGCTCGTGACCAAACAAAAAGGGTGGCTGGCTTGCCGAAGATAAGGTGTGCCTGCGCTGACCCCATGACCAGTAAAACGCCAAGGAAGAAGTGGACCACAACAGGTCGATGCGAATAGCGTTTGAGAACAGCAGAATGCAAGGAGTGAGTGTAGAGTCCGGACTGCGATGTGCAGTCATAATTAAAAATCGTAAGGTTGACCAGTCAAACTGATGGTAGAGAACATTCGATCGCTGGGCAGAGAGCTCCAGCAGTGTTGTTGGCAGCACCATGTCGAGTTTTACATCGAGCCCATCTTCAGCAGTGCCTCGATGGCTTCTCTCTCTTGCGGGTTCTGTTGGGCAATGCTTGTCCAGCCGGTAGGTGCGGTGCCAGTGAAATGGGGGGCGCGATCTTGGTAGCTCGCGGAGACACCTCGGGGGCTGCCTCTGCTCTTCATGTACGCGTTCGCAAAGGCCCGCGGCTGGGGCGACATCTTTGCTCTGGCAGTGACGCTCCTCGACAATTGGTTGTAATCCCTCATGACGCCGCCTCCGCCCAAGCCACCTCCGAATCCGCCCATGCTACCCTGACGTAAGACTTGAGCGCCGATACCGGCCCAGTCCTCTTCGTCCGTGGCCTCGTCTTCCTCATCCAGCTCGATGTCGTCATCCATATTCTCCGGTGCGGGCGGAGAGTCATAGCCGGCATCATCGCCGTCCATAGACATCTTGTCGGCCTCGTGTTCGGCCATGTTCATATCAATGTCGTAATCGGAGGCGTCGTGACCGCTCATAGCGGAACTGGCAGCCCAGCTACCGGAATAGAGGTCCTCGCGGCGGGCAAAGTGGCCGTGGTGTCCACGGTGACCTGCCCGTGGGATGTGGAGGCCGTCTGCGGACATGGCGTAACTGTCCGGAACGCTGGCGGGAGGCGAGAGAGCTGACTGCCGCATGCCGTTGACCGGGATGCCGCTACCAGTGAGATTGCGTTCCGGGCGCGGCTGGCCCATAATGTGCGCATCCCAGCGGCCCCAACCGACCTTCTCGAATACAATCTCTCCTTCGTTGACCGCACTGCTCCCGACAGTACGGCTCTCCAGCGCGGCAACAACCAGCCGGCGTGCTTTAGCTTGTGGTATGCGGGAGAATCCCGGGACAGATTGTGCCAGGTTCATGAGGACATGGCGGATGGCCACAGGCCCGTTGTTCATCAGAATATCCGGGAGGTGGTGCTTGGCGAGCATGGCAGGAGTAATGGTATCGGCGGCCTCGAGGCCCGACAGCGCGGCGCTGGAGAGCGGCGCAGGGGCCGGGGGCTGTTCGGCGTCGAGCAGGTCGACATCGGAGTCGTTCTGAACGTGAGGATTGGTATTAGGGGCCGAGGAGGAGTGCAGCTTGTGCTGCGGAGGGAGGGTTGGAGAAATGGAGTTCGGCGGCGTAGGGAGCATGGCGGCTCGGTGGTTGGCCGTGGCGGGTTCGTGAGGCTTGGGGATTTCGACGGAGTGGGAGGCGAAAGCCCTCGCGAAGTGAGAGACGGGCTTGCTTGGGGCGGTGGATGCCATATTGGAAGGCAGTGCGGTGGGTTGTCGCTTCTATATGTGCGATAGCATGAGTCAGCGAGTTGCGGCGAGCGGCAATAGGAGAGGCGGCGGGTTCTTTGTGCCCGACCAAGGGGTACCCACGTAGGCGTCAAGCTGCAGGTACGCGTCTTTTACTAGGCCGAGGTATGCGACGGTATGTCGATGGGTGGATGAAGACGGCGAGGGAGTTTGGGAGCGCAGCGGCTGCCGGATGCGGAGGCGCGTTGCGTGTTGGTGGGCTGCAAGGCTGCTTGCTGACTGGAGCTGAGCCGCAGGTTCAAAGCTGAGGGCGTCGGTCGCAGACTGTCGCTGTTTCTGGCTTCGATGTCGCGGGAGGGCGGATCCTGACGTGTCTTGTGTGGTGTGCTGTTAAGGTCTGAAAGGGTGCTGGACGGTCGCGACCTGGGCAGTTCCTTGGTTGTTACTCTGCTGTAGCACGGATCAGGCGGGCCTGCCAGCCTGCGCCAAAAGTGCGCCAAAGGAAGGGACACTGGCATGACGGCGCGCTCTGATTGGCGGCGAGGGCAGTGATAACTGACCAAGACGGCGGGCGCTGATTACGGGTGGCAGGCTGGATTAGCTGCACCTCCTCTTCCGGCGAGCAGTAGTCGCGCTGCTCAACCGCAGGAGCATCCAGGGACCGCGCCGTCGCAGACCCTGCGCGTCCCTTCCCGCCCTGCACTGCGTCCCGCTGGACAGCAGTCCGCGATGGCGGCGACGCTGCCCTGCCGCGGCGCTGTCGCAAGTCCAACGTCACGCGCAGCCGCTCCCCTGCTGGGGGCCAGCATCCCACATCCCACTCTCTCGCGCAGATGCGGAGCGCGACGGAGGATCCACCGCCGCAAGCACGTTCCCACGGCAAAGCTCGGAAAGTGGATTCGCAGCGCACCAACGGCACTTGAAAATGCGCCCAACACCATGCGCCCGTTCCCCGCACACCGAGCCCGCCCGAGCGCCAAGCGCGATAATGCCCACACTGCGCGGCAAAAAAGCAGCCAGCGCTCCACGTGCCCCTCATCGCGCTCCTCCGGTGAAGCCGCCACCGTCATTACGGCTGCTGCTGGAGCACGTATTTTCGCACCGCCTGCACACCGGAAAGTTAGCCTAAAATGCTCAAACAGAAATCGACGATTGCGCGCGCCCAGTGCGCACACGTGTCGCCGCCTTGAAACCACTCACGTCCTTAAGCCGGTGGATCTGCTGCGTCGTACGCACATACACCTCGCGATACTGCTCTAGGCTCTGATGAACGACATCGTGCTTCGTCGTGGACCCGGCGCAAATGGCGCGCATCTGCTGCTCCATCTGTTGTGCGTGCCCCGCTTGGCGTCAGTACTACGGATCCCACAATCCGCCTGCCCGAAATTCCAAAATTCAGACCTCAACGCTGAGGGAGAGGGACGCACCTGTTTGCGCAGAAATGGCTTGCTCAAGCTCGTCTCAAAGCCCACGTCATCGTAGCCAGTGATTAATGCCACGCCCAGCGTCGTTGGGATGAACTCCTGCACGCCACTGTTTCCTCCGCGGTTTGCTGCATTGCTGCCACCTCGTCCACCACGACCCCTTCCCCTGCCCCCTCTGGCCGCCCCTCTTCCGCCCCGGCCACCCGGCGCTCCTTCTTCCACATCCTCACCGCCGGCGCCACCATGTCCACCGCTTCGGGGTCGAGTCATGACATATTCGCGCTCCTTGATTTTGGCAATGTGTTCGGCCATTGTGGCATCCGTGCCGATGCCGTTCGCGTCCATCAGTGATATCAGCTCAGGCTCCGTCAGGTACCCAGGTGGGCTCGTTTTGCCCTCGCCCATGTTTGCCTCGGTCGGTTCAAATTCCTCGCCTACGGTATATGTCGGGAGCTGCTGGCTGCTTTCCCATCTATCGTAGGGATAGACGTCGAGGTAGTTGCGCTCGAGCACTTTCAATCCGTGTGTGCGGAACGTCTCGCTTCCGTACAAGATCTCGATGTCCGTCGCCTCGCCCTTGGCATCTTCGGAACAGCATGCTAAGAACCGACGAACTACGAATTCGTAAACTCGTCGTTCGTTCTCGTCGTGAAGAGCCGTCTTCTCCACAAAATTGACCGGGTGAATCGGGGGATGGGCCTGGTCGTTGTTGCGGCCGTTCCTAGGCTGCCGAAAGCCTCCTGCAGTCAAGCCTTGTGCATACTGTCCCCAGTCTCTTGATTGGTGCTGTTTGTCGATGATCTTCTTGAGGTCCATGCCCCTATCAAATTGGTCGGTTTCCGTGCGGGGATAGCTTATCCAGCCGTTCTGATAAAGCTTTTCGGCAGCCTTCATGACCGCTTGACTGTCCATGCGTAGGTAACGGCTCCCCATCTTTTGAAGTTCAACCGTCGTCAAGGGAAGAGGTCTCCACTTGCTCGAAGGCTTCTTCTGCATTTTTGTCACTTTCGCCATGCCAGCTGCAAGGCAGCGCTCCAAGATGATGGTCACGACCATACGATCGAAGAGATGAACGCGTGCCCAGTTGAAATTGACATTGATGCCATCTTTGAGATGCGTGACTTTGATGTTCCAGAAAGTCTCCGGCACGAAGTTCTTGACGCGAAAATAGCGGTCCACGACGAAACCCAGCGTTGGGAATTGGCACGATCCATAGCTGATGACGCCCTCGCGGCCGATCATGGTCCCCAAAGTTTGCGTCTGCATGCGCGTGAATGCTGCTCCAATGCGAAGATCAAGCTCGATCCTAGCAGCTACAGCCTGCGCTGCGAGCTCGTCGATGTCGATGGGATTCCGGGCAGCAGAGAGAACATGGGCGCGTTCGATGTTGCTGAAGCGGGCGCGCTTTACCTCGATGTTCCTGTTGCCCTTCAGAGCCCACTCGCGAATCTCTGTGCCAATGTGCTCGCCCTCGCGATCGCAGTCGGTCCAGATGAACAAACCATCGCAGCGCCTTGCCAGAGTCTGAATGTTCTGGGCAATTCCTTTCTTGTCATCGGCGACGAATGTCCGTATGGGTGCTTCGAACAGCTCGTGGGGTCGGCAGGAGTTCCAGTAGCGATACTGGTCGGTGAAGTCCTGAGAGGTCAAATGGCCGGCAACGGCAGTGAATATCACGTTGCAATTGCCCCAACGATGGCCGAAATTGTACATGAATTCATGGTTGCTGATGTATTGCGTGCCTCGAACGCGATTCTGGACGACGGGTTAGCCGGAAAAAGTTGGAGCCTGGCACCAGACTCACGCTCTGCATCTGGCGTCCTGAAAGGTGCTCAGCGACAGCCTTGGCTATCGAGGGCTTTTCAGCCACGCACAAGATTCTCCCCATGCTGCCAGGTGCATGTCCACGAGCGTGTTGGAGCGGGGGGTCGCTTTTTGCGGGTGTGGCGAGGTGCGCATGCACGTCTGGTGGTTTTTGCAGCGTTTGGCAGGCACGACGGAGCTTTGACGCGGGGGCCACTACGCTAGCGTCGAACCCCTGTGTCGATCATCAATCTCGTCTGGTGGTGACGTCGCGACATCTCCCCAGCATCTATAACAGCTTCTAACTTCCGCTGCATTCCTCACGCGCCATCATCCAGCCATGCCTCTGGTAACCTCCAGCACAGTACTACCGGCAATCAAGTCCCTCGCGGACTGCGCCGATTGGTCCAAAACTGTCGAGCCCTTCATCCCTCAGCTGAAGACGCTGCCTTACGATATTGCTGAGCATGTCACGAACCTTGAGGAGCTGAAGGCAATTTACGTCTCAACGAATCCTCTCATCTCTGGCTTCGCATTTTCTCTCGCCATCGCACCTCTTTTCCTTCTCGCTTCAGAAATCAACAGGAACTACTCCCAAGTGGACCGCTTTTGGAGCCTATTGCCAACAATTTACAATGCCCACTTCTCACTGTGGGCACACTTGGCCGGCGTGCCTTCTCAAAGGGTCGACAATGTCTTGGCCTTTAGTATGCTTTGGAGTGTAAGTTACCTGGCTGAGAGATCAAGCATACAGACCACTAAGCAGCGTAGATTCGTTTGACCTACAATTACTGGCGGAAGGGCGGATACAGCATCGGCTCAGAAGACTACCGCTGGGCGATCATCAAGTCGAAAGTTCCTGCCGCCGCGTTCTTCCTCTTCAATGTCACTTTCATCTCCACGATCCAAAGTGTATGTTTGTTACTCTTGCCGAAACATCCGGTAGTTTCTGACACTCCTCCAGGTACTACTATTCGCCGTAACGGCACCAACCTACATCCTGCTTCTGAGTTCGAACCTCACAGGGCAGGGCATGGGCACAGCCGATATCGTCTTTTCTCGTATCCTCATCGCTCTGGTGGTGATCGAGTGGTTCGCAGACCAGCAACAGTGGAGTAAGTAACGCCAGTCAAGCCAGCCGCCTGACCCAAGCCTAACATATCACCACCTCAGACTACCAGACCGCCAAGCACGAGTACCTCCGTACTGCAGTTGCCCCCAAGGGGTGGAAGCGTGCCGATCTCGACCGCGGCTTCTGCGTCTCCGGCCTGTGGGCGTATTCGCGGCACCCGAACTTCGCGGCCGAGCAAGCCATCTGGGTCGTCCTCTACCAATGGGCCAGCTATGACACGGAGGTCTACATGAATTGGGCCTTCGCTGGCGCCATGTCGTACCTCCTGCTGTTCGTGGGCAGCACCTGGCTCACGGAGCTGCTCACGGCGGGCAAGTATCCCGAGTACAAGGAGTACCAGAAGCAGGTGGGCAAGTTCATGCCCTCGCTATTACACGGTGGCTACAAGCCGCCGGCTGAGGCTGCCAAGCCGAAGGACAGCAAGAACGCTGCTGGGAAAAAGAAATGATTTGTGGAAGCGGGGGGAAAGAGATTTATTATGGTGAGGGTCATGCAGTTGGGTTCATGCATTTGATGAGCGCAGTCCTTGGTCTATTTGAGCCAGACCCTTTTCCTTTTCCTTCCTTTGAAGTGACGTTGTTCAGCACCTTTCGCTTCCGCACTATCCAGCAACCGCTCGTCTCTGCATAAAATGCATGCAACTAGAGGAACACTAGAATCATGGCTGCGTAGCCACAAAACTTCATAGGTAGATAATTACTAGGCGAGTCACATTACAAGAGTACATCAAGCAATCATGCAAAGCAATGATCTTCATTGTAGAGCTAACTTCTGCTAAAACGAGCGTAACGGGGACCAGCTATCCAAGATTCATCCCACAAAACGTGTAGGCCCCTTTTCAGGCGCTGGCCTTGGTCTGAGGCGGGATGGCCTTGTCGATGCGGTGGAAGCCGCCGTTGGCAGCGACGTCCCTCTGCAGCTGGGCCATGCGCTTCTGGTCACCCGTGGGGTCGACCGAGTCGGCGTCGAGGGCCCACTCGAGGTAGACGTTGGTGTAGTTGGGGGCGAAGCTCTCGTCGAGGACGCCGAGGCGCTTGCCGTAGCGGGTGACCTTCTGCCAGTCGCGGTCGACGTTCTGCAGGTCGCGGCTGAAGTAGGCGAAGCTGCGCTCGAAGATCTTGCGGTTGACGGGCGTCAGGCCCATGACGGGCTTGAAGTCGACGTACTCGGCCCAGGCGCGCTCGGGCTCGGCGAGCACGAAGTCGGTGGCGCGCTTGACGGCGCGCAGGAAGCGGCGGACCTTGTCCGGGTTCTGCTCGAGGAAGGCGTCGTTGGCGATGTACAGGATGGAGCAGAAGCAGCAGCAGCCCAGCTCGGCCAGCTCGTCGATGCGCAGCATCTGCACGTCGTCGCGCGGCCGCCCCTGCGCCGCCAGCCACTCCTCCAGCTCCACCATCTGCACGTTCTCCAAGCCGATGCCCGCGTCGATCTGGCCCGAAGTGATGGCTTTGGTGACGTTCATGCCGCACCGCACCGCCGTGTAGTCGTCGGGCGTCATGCCGTAGTGGCGCGTCAGCTCGTCGATCTGGATCTTGCCGAACTCGCCCACGTAGCCGATGCGCTTGCCCTTGAGCGTGCGGAAGTCGGGCGTGATGCCGCTGCTCTTGAGGTACACGACGCCCGTGAAGGGCTCGTCGAGCAGCGACCCGATCGACGTGACCGGGAAGTCGCGTGCCTTGGCCGCGAGCGTGTGGATCATGGCCTTGAAGCCCATGTCGATTTTTCCGCTGCCGATGATCTCGGTGACATCCTAATTCCTGAGCATAAGCATGTTTGTCTGTTTGGACTATAGATCGTATTGACATACGCTGGGGTCGTTGGGCTCGATGAGGGCAACCTTGATGCCTTCTTCCTTGAAGAAGCCCTTGGCCTGGGCGAGGTAAAGCGGGGCGTGGTACGGCGTGGCGTGCCTACCACCCTGTCAGCAAGTTTCTTTCTGGCACCTGTCAGTCAGACTGTTCCTACCAGTTGGTCAGGAACGTGATCTTGTCAGTCGACATTTTGGATGACAGATCAAGTAAGCACTGCTTTGGTTAATACTGTGTCCGCCAACGGGTGAGGGGAGGGGAATTCAGAGAAGCATGTTCTTTCGCTGGTATTATCCAGATCAAGTTCACCGGTATTTCTCAGAACAACTGCTCCTCTGCTGCGGTGGCTCATTCCCTTTTCATCCCGCAGCACTCTCTCAATGCATCCCTTCCGGGGCATCTTGAAGGGCTGGCGGGAGAGACAATTTGCCGGCCACAGCAAAAGAGACAGCCGAACACCCGGCATGCGTTCTTCTTTATAGTTACCTTGATCTGTAGATAGCTCCATTGCGAGAGGCATCATTGCTTCTTGCATTTCCGTGCTTTCGTACCGGAGCAAGTTGCTTTCAAGCTTTCGGGTGGAATTGATAGAGATGAGAGCGGATGCAGCTTGAAGAAGAGGGAAAAGAAGAGACAAAGTTGGGCGGCAGAGCTGTTCAAATACTCTGGTAGGAGGGGTAATAGCGGGGTAGCTCTTGGTTGTGCCCTAAGGCGCGAGTTAAAGAGTGGGTCTCTGCTGCATCGAAAAGGAAGTAATCGCGCACGAATTGAGTCATCATCGACGCAGATAGGTGTAAAGGAAGTAGCACGCGTTGCGAGTGGATCACTTCCAAGGCCGTTATGGGCGCACCTTTCCTCATACAGTCGAGGTGGTGATATCCTCTGCGCCAATTTTCTTCCGGTGGTCCAGAACCCATAACGTCATGTCCAACCCTTCGGCTCCGAATCGCAGGGCCAAGCCTTACCGACTCTTCCATCAATGTTTTTCCGCAGCGAGACAACAGCAGTGTAAATAAGGATTTTGAGCTTTGACAGCTTCACAATGCAGGCAACCCAGCCTGGGGAAGAGACCAGCACGTGCACTCAATGCAGACGCTCAGGATTACAGTAACAAAAACGATCTTCACCGGGGAGCCATGCTGACACAGCGCCTTGCACCCATGCGCCATATGAATCTTGAAGTAAGGCTGTACACCTCAACAACTCGCTTGCCCCACTGGGCTCGTCAGAGCCAGCCACAAGACTTCAATTTATTCCTTGCTCCGTCCTCACACAAATCAAAAGGACGTTATTCGTGTCCGATGTCGGGCTTAGCAAATCCACTCGCTCGCTGTATAGTCGTAACGAAAGTGGGACCCAATCGTCAGGCCCCCTGTTCCCGTGTTCGTGATCCTCGCCCATGTCGCAACAGGCGCTACCCCTGCACTATTGACGGCCCGCCCGGCAAAAATTGTACCAGCGGTCCGCTCACCCACAACACTCTTTTTGTATCGCCCGGCCCGATAACTAAGACATCCGAGTCCGAATGTGGTAGATGAGCGATTTTTGTGCATGGAGCGATTCACAAGCACGGGGAAAGAGCGGCCACAACGGGAGACGGTGAGACATGGGGGAAAAAGAAATAATTTTAAGGTTCGAGTCGTGCCGCAAGGCCGTTGAACCTGAAGTCGATCATGTCGAGCTCAAGTCAGAGGTCGTTGAAAATCCGGGGATGCCGCGCGCGGTACAGAGAGGCGCCGTAGCGGAAGGCAAGTACGAGTAATAGCAGGTCCCCAAAAAAAAAGGGGTAACTATATCTCACATATGTGGGTAGCTGAAGCTATCGTCCGGACGCGAATGTCGAATTAACAATTAGACATTCACGTCCGGACGATAGCTTCAGCTACCCCTGACTTGTCCAATAAATAAGGAAGCGACCTCGTATATGTATATATATTTGTCCATATTATTACCGGCAATGGTACTTTATGCCTAAGCTACCATATATACAGAGAGCTCGTAATAGGAAAACCTGACGTTCCCAATCGTCTAACACATACGCAATGACGCCATAATATGCAGTTAAAAGGATAACTGAAGAATTGTGGATAGATTTTTTACATGTCCGGCGGCGTTGTCAGATGATCTGACATGGGCGCATCGGACGTGAAGCGAGGGCGTGGAGGACTGGCGAACCGGTCGAGAGGGTTGAAAAAGAGAAACATGAAACCAGCAAAGCTGATTAAAAAGAGGTATAGAACAGTATAAAAGACGACATCCGTCAAACAACACGTGAACCCTAGCATTATGCGGCTCTAGGCCGGGGAGGTTGGGACCCTTCAAGGACCCCCGGAGGCTTCCTATCATTTCCAAACCATTTCAAAAATTCGTCAACGCAATCAACTCATTTGCCGCTGAACAATCACTCATCCCGTTTAGATGAGGGAGAAGCCGACGGCAAAGCCGACAAGGCTGATGGTGCTGGTGATCATCCAGGCACTGCTGTCCATGAGCGACGTAGCAGCCGAGTTACCGCTCTGCGAGAAGGGGGTGCTAGAGCCAGAAACGCTGCTGGCGGCCGAGGAACCAGAGCCGTTGGAGACCACGCCGCTGTGGTCAACCGAGGCGGTGGCGGTGGCGGCATCTTCGACCGAGCTCGAGTTGACAGCGACGGTCTTGTTAGAGAGCTCAATGCTAGTGAAGTCGCCAGTGGTATCGGTCCACGTGTAGAGCTTGGCGGGGTTGTAGTTGATGATCTTGACGCTCTTGACGTACATGGTGAAAGGCACCTTGGTGAAATCAGTGTAACCACCAGCCCTATAAATCAATTAGTATTCGTTGCAACATGTTCTAGACGATTTTGACGTACCACTCGACCGTGTACTTGTTGGTTTTCTCGGTTCCAGCGGACCAGACACCAAGAGAAAGGCGTGCGGGAGTCTGGGGGTAGTTCTTGCCACCCACGGCGTCCTCATACTTCAAAGTACGGACCACAGTGCCGTCAATGATCCAGTTCATGCTAGAATTAGTCCACTCGAAGGCGTACTTGTGGAAAGTATCGACGGGAGTCTCGACATCGTGGAAACCACCACGATCGTAGCTGGTGGTGTTGCCCTTGCCGAAGTAGTTCGACTGCACGGACGTGTTGTTGCCACCGAGGATTTCCTATGAAACTATTAGTACATTTTCAAAGAATACAACGCTGTTATTGTAGAGGAGCGTTTGAAGGGGTTGGCTGGGTTGTGGTGGTGGTGGTGGGGGTGGTGGAGATTTGGGGGGGTCACAAGGTCGGGGGCGAAAACCTACCCAGTCAACCTCATCAAGATCGTCCGACTCCAGAACGATAGAACTGACGATACCAGTGCCAGGAGCAGCCTTCATCTCGACTTCGAAGTAGCCGAAGAAGGTGTAGAACTCGGTGTGCATGGTAGGGGCATCAGTGTCCTTGTTGATGGTGAGCTCAGCACCATCATCGCCGTACTCGATGAAAGTGTAAGCAGCACCCTCCCAGCTCTCGTTGCCCTTGGTGAAATCAGTCTCGAAGGTGTATGTGTCCAGGCCAACATTGGGCGGGCAGGTGGCTGCAATCGTATCAGCGGGACATTGTCCATACAGGTCACGTTGATCAGAAGCATACAGTTCTCGGTAGGGTTGCAGTCCGAAATCAGCTGGGCGGAAGCAAAGGGGGCCGCAGCGGAGAGAAGGGCAATGGCAGCCCGGGCGTATGAAGTTTGAGAAGGCATTGTTGTTGTTGGTGTTGCTGAAGAGCTGATTGCTTGGGCGTGGCAAGGATTCAGGAGATGGCGAAAGCGCAAAGACAGCGGGGCGACAGCGACAGGCAGGCAAGAAGCAAGGGAGACTGTGAAAGAGGGAGTCTCCTGGTCAGGTTCCAGACGAATGACACGGAACTGAAGGGCTGCAAGAGAGTGGCAGCAGGGAATGGATGAGTTGGATGGATTGGCCTCACACACCAGACGGCGTGGTACGCGGCATGGCAGGCTCAAGTACGTAGGCTCTGGCGGGCGTCGACCGGCGCCCCGAGATCTACGTTATCAGCGAATGCGGTCATTTCTGGCTCCAAGCGACGGATACCACAGGGCCGCAATGCTTGGTACGAGGCACGCAGCCAGTCAACGTGGAGGATTCGTGTCGTGAAAATGTCGGGCACCACACGGATCAAAGGGGAGTCTACGTCGCGCAGTGGGGGTACGCGGCCACAGCGCCGTCAGGGACCAGGGGGCGACGCCGGCACGCTGCCACCGGCTCACGCCTTGCCGTGTTGCGCCAAGTTGATGGAGAGCCGCAAATTGCCAGAGCGCGCGAATGGGGCAGCGCACGCTCAGACACGCCGGCCTCCGCATCAGCAGACTGAGGGTCCCCTTCGCCCTGCTCGCCACCACGGCGCACGGCCAAGCGAAGGGGTGGATACACGGTTACGGCCGCCGGCTGTTGCATCCTCGTTGCACCGGGTCTGAGGACTGCTTCAGAGCGCAACACGAACACGGCAGTGCGGCGCGGGCTTGGGCGGCCAAGGTCGTGGCTCGACCGAGCCCATCTGGGCGTATCTTAGGAGGGATTTGTTAATTCGGTCGGTGCGCAGCGGCGTGGTGTGCTGTGGCGGGCGGCGTCCTTAGAGACGAAGTCCGTATCGATTCGGCGAGGAACGAGCATCCGACCGACGTGTAAGGCCGAGCGGCCGCAGCCCCCGTCGCCAAACCAACACGGCAGGCACGCAGAACATCACCAGTGCAGGCTAGCCAAAGGCGTTTCTGCACGCGGTGATCTGCCGTCGCCGTCGAAGGCAGGGTTCCGAACCTGCAGTTGCCCGGGAGAGGCGTTTTTGAGGCCTGCAGCTCTTTGGGGTATCGCGCGCGAGCCGATGGCGCGCCTCGAGGCCTCCCCTTTTTCCCGCTCCTCCCAGCCCGGGCCCGACACTCTCCACACCGACCTGCAGCCTTACGAGATCCGCGCACCCGCGATCTCTGCGAGGTTTCGTATCGTCGCTCGCGAGCTCGCTCAGCCTCCTCACGACCGCCGACCGCCCTCACCACCACCGTCGCATCATCGCCAATCTCAAGAGGTGTGGTGCTGGCCAACGAACGTCATGATCGATCAGGAGAAATTGCTCGCGTGGTCATCAAACGGCGCCGCCTACCGCGGCCCTTGCCGATCGCAAACGAAGGACGTAGGGGCGGCTCGGGTGGTGCCAATCTTCATCATCTCGCGCTCCGCGGTCCCCTCTGCACTGCCCACTTGCGCACCGCCGCGCCTGGCGCTGCTCCGTGGAGCCCATCCTCTGCCTTGTACGCGAAGTGTCAATCAGGGGCGCCGTACCCCGGTAACGTGAGGCCTTGCACATCCTTTGCCGTTTTCCTCTTTTCGGTCGGCAGTCGTGACTCGACGAACCAAAGTGGTCTATCGTACTTCTCGTTTCCCCCATCAATCGCGCCGTATAGCCTCGTTCTCAGAATAATTGACCCAAGCCGCGCTAAGGGTCTTGTCAATGATCACGAGGTGTGGGAACCGAGCCACGACTCGGATTCATTTTTATTTTTTTATCTTTGGTCTTTTTCGAGAAGCGGGTCGGGGCCGGGGGCAGCAGTGGAGCGGAGAGCTGTCAATCGAGCTCGGGCGCCGGCCAAGACCGGATGGTACTAGCGATAGCTGAGGGGCTTGGTCCGTCTGCTGCGCTCCCCCTCTTCACAATATCGGTGAACAGCAGACACGCCGCAAAGGGAAGACGCACCGGCGACAGCGACAACATTCCCAGCAAGTGACGCATTAAGATGCCCACTCTATGCGTCGAGATAAGCGCGCCAAGACGACGCAGGTCAATATGCGTAGGGCTCGCAGAGGTGGGCAGAGAACAGGGTTCGCCCGCCTGCAGGCTGCGGCTGTGGCACTGCGCTAGAACAACTTCAGCTCCGACCGCGGCGATGCCGATGCCACGACTGGGGAATTTTCTATTTTTTGACCGGAACTCGTGCCGGCACAGACTGTCACTCCTCCAGCGGTGGTTTGATGATGATGCACATTGTGCGACGTGGTGGATCTTCACACTCCCAACTACCCATGCTGTGGGGTATTCCCAGGCGTCCAGGATTCCCAGATCGCCGATGGCAAGTTTGCCGGCTGCTCATCGCCATGTCGCCTCCGCCTTTCTCGCTCATGCAGGACTCGTTGATGCCTTCATGCGGAGGCGAAGAAGCCTGTTGAAAAGACGTTGATGCCGTCCGAGCCGCTCTAGCTACCAATCCGGCCAACCGCCATGCCTACCTGAGCAACCCCCCGCAGCCAAAACGCTTATCCTCATCCACATTGAAGCACCGCCGACCTCGAGACGCTGTCGCAACGACCGACACAGCAAAACACCATCGGCGAGCCCGACGTGATAGCAACCGAGATCTCAAACGCCGCCCACCACCGTTGTCACAACGACCCGTTTTCGCCACACATGTATTCCTTCGTTTGAGGAGTGGCGCTACCTGCCGTCGAACCGGGAAGGATTAATCAGCTTCCAACTGACCAGTCGGCTGCGTTCAACGTGGTGTTGCGGGCGCTCCTCCGATTCGGCGCCACGCTTCTTCCCGCTCCAAGCGAGCGCTTGCAGCATCGCCGGGTCCCTAAGATCGATTATGCGGAGATGGTTTATTCTTAGGGGCGGCAGGTCGGAACCAACAATCGAGAGCGATCTACATGACGTCTGCATGCACGTCGGTACATCACATCATCCGACTTGAAACTCTCGAAGAAACTGTTCTCAGACGCCCTCTGATGCAGCGTCGAAAAAGATGCTAGGATATACCCTTGTATGCGAAAACGGAAAGACAAAAATGATTCCCACCCGCTTGGTATCAAGAGCGATTATGCGTTATGCGCCGTGTACTCCTTCTTTCCTTCTAAAACGACTCCTCGGCATCAGATGCAAGTAAAAGATGATGCTCGTAATGTTACTTTTCGAAGAAGAGAAACGGTAAATCATCCCTTTTTCCTTTTTCTTTTTCTCTTTTTTTCCTTATTGCATGGTGGCGGGCGTCGTGATCCAGTTATCCTGCTGGCACGGCTCGACACTCTGAATGAAGGCATTGATGCGGTCGACGACCCAACCACTGGTCGTGTCTTGGCCAAGGTTGACCGGGTCCCTCTCCGACCCGGCTTGGCCGAGACGTATCACCTTTCCTGTCTGACACCGGCCGGGCGAGGACAGGTACTGCACGCAGTCTACCCGCTGCGCGCATGCCTCGCGGCACCCCTGCAGGGAATATTCTAGCGGCGTCTCCTCGTAATCGTCCGACAGGTTGTCCCAGTTGTCCTTCTCGCCCGAGATCTGCGGAGCTACGACATGCGCGAACACGTCGCGGTGACGGAGCGTCGGGCGGTCAGTCTGCAAGGTCGAGCGTTAGACGTCACATCTCGAATATTCGCTGGGGACGGGGGATCGTCGTCGACGTGCTTGCGCGTGCGTGGGTCAAGAAGGGGAAAGGAGCGGTGAACTTACACCCTGATTCATCCAGCTCTGTTCAAAGTCCCACATGGCCTTGGTCCACTCGGGCTTCATATGGTGGTAAGACACCACGGGGTAGCACCAATGGTTCTTGGTGTAGTCCAGCGTGTACGGGTTCTCTCCTTGGATGATGGGGAAGGCACCCGTCAATGGGACCGCGACAGTCTCCATCGCCCTCGCCAACACAACATCGCCGGCATAGTCGGCCGCAGTCAGCTTGTCAAAGGTCTCGAGGTTGTTCCTCCGCTGCGCCACCACCCGCTCAAGGGCGTTCTTGGACAGAATGATACCCGAGCCGCCCGAGGCGAACTGCTTGTCCAGCATCCAGTTTTGACCGCCGACGTAGAGCGGCTTCTCGGGCTCAAAGAAGGAGAGCCATCGGAGAAGGTTTGACCAGATGATGTAAGTGTCGGCCTCCATGAAAAAGTAGAACTTGGCTTCCGGCTGAGCTCTCAGGGCCTTCTCCATAAGCGGTAGGAATTTCCACTTGTCCAGCTTCACGCCCTGGCGCTCTACAATGTCGGCGAGCTCAGTGATGTCCTTGCCCTTGCTCTTGTAGTCGTGCAGCTGCCTGTACAAGCTGAAATCCGGGTGCGTCTTCCTAAGATCCTCATTCACCTCGTCGAGAACGTCGTACACCTTGTGGCCCTGGACCTCCTCCTCATAGTCGGAGAAAATGGCGAACTTCGGAATGCAGCGGAAAGTTGTCTGCAAGTGTGTCGGCAGCTTCTCGTGCACCTCGGTGGCGCTGGTCTTCATGACGACAAAGACATCCTCGCTTCCGGGGAGGTTGGCGCAGGGCAGCTTGCCCGTGTCGGCCTCGGGCTTCTGCGGCTGCTCGGTCAAGCCTTCGGGATGCGCGGGCTTGCCAAAATTTTGATCCAGCTGGACCGTCTCGGGGACGAAGTCGGCGTTCAGAGCATTCTGGCGGGCGAGTCCCAGGTGCGACCACGATAGGAAAAGGAGGAGAAGCGAAGCGGCGACGGCAATGAAAAGCGGCGGCCGGGGGCGCGAGGCTGATGACAGCATATCAAATGACTGTAAGGGAAAAAATAATCCAACGCTCTTCAGGAAAGCTTTAAATACGAAGACCCATGGAATCTGAAACTAGGAAAGGCTGGGGAAGGAGAGGCGGTCGGTGGGACGAGGATTGGTGTTTGGTCAACTTCAAGACACCCTCTGACGCAAGTTATTAGCAGCAGCGGCAAGGTGCCGGGAGACGGCCGCGGGAGGGACCTGGGAGGCGCATTCTTATTATTTGAGAGGGGGCGGGACGGTGATCGGCAGCAGGTTCGTCTCCCTAGCCTCTTGCGAATGGGGAGCTCGTACGGCGGTAACTAAGTGGCACCGCGACTCGGTAGGAGGACGGGCTCGCTGGGTGTGGTGCGCGCACATCACCTCTGACGGAGCGAGCAGGGATGGCGGCGCGGATGGTACCCCAACACCATGCAGGGCCCGTTTGCAGCGCGAACCGGCGAGTCATAGCTTGTGAAATGAGGGCACATGCGCTGGCAGCGAGAGTTTTGGGCGCGTCGGCGGGAGAGCAGAGCGGATCTAGCGCGCACCGTCCGCCCGGCGCGTGAAGCTGGCTGGCAGCGCCCCGCAGCCGCCGAAATGGCCTCATCCTCACTGCTCGTTCCCTGTTCTTGCGCTTCCGCCGCTTCCACCTCTCAGCACGCAGCGCGGCTGACAGCTGTCTGCACGATACGACGCGCAAGCCCGGCAGGCGGTCCCGCCCCGCCGCCAGCCATCCTGCCGCTCTCCCGCACCACTGAAGGCGCGCCGTCAGCCCTGGCGACCCGAGACGGCGGCCGGCTGGCGACGGGCAGCGGGTGATGACGTCTGCATCGCTCACCAGGGAGCGCACAGAAACACGTGCCAGCGGCGATCAAACACAAGCGTCTCTGCTTCGGGCCTGCGATCTTCGCGAAAAGGGTTGTAACGGGCGCCGCCTGCGCGAAAAGGAGTCCTAGCCCGTCAAATTGGCGTGCACCGCGTCCCTTTGGCTTCGGAAACACGAAACGCCAACGCGGGGTCCCATGCCTGCTCGCCTTGTTCACAGCCTCGCTGCGCGTTGCCCTTGCTGCCGTCAGCTGAGAGCGACACGGAGCCAACCGCCACCGTCCTGGCCGCGAGCGACGCTCCCTCAGGCGTGCAGATAAGCAGCCCTTCGGTTTCAGCATGCGAACGCATCCGCCCAAGAGTCCTCCTGGCTTCTGGAAAATATGCGTTTCTGATTCATTGTACCCGCTCGCTTACCACCCTCAACACCGCACCTCTTCCGAATTCTCACTCCGTCGTCATGCAACCACGCTTGGCACGTCCCGTATCGTCATCGTCATTACAAGCTCTGCTACTTGCCGTAAATCCAATCCCTATCCAGCTGTCTCCATTACGGAACACCATCGGCCCCGCCGGTCCTCATCTCCTCGAAAGGGGACCCTTCCGGAATTAGGGGAAGAAAAGAACCACTGTTGCCCGTCCTCTCTTGTTTTCCATTAAGCTGCCATTCCCTAGCCGACCTTGGCGTCCGTTGCTTTTCTCCCACATGCTGCCACTTTCGGCACGCATCCGGATGACAAGAACACTCGTTCTGCCAATTGCTCCCGTTTTCATTCATTCGACCCGTCACTGAGCACTAATGCCGTTGAACGCAAGGTAGTTCTTCGTCGCCAATCCCGCTACTGCCGACATCGTAATGTTGTCCTTGGAAGACAGCTCCTGGATGCGTTCGCACAAAGCTTGCGGGGCACGGCGCTCCTCGAGACCCAGGAGATACGCTCCAAGGCCGGTGATGTGAGGAGTGGCCATCGAGGTTCCGGAGATTATGTTCTGCGTCACGTCAGTTGACAGTCAGGCTGAGACTGGCTGAATGTCAGCTTACCGTTGATCCATTGTTCCACGTCGACTCAATGTCAACGCCCGGCGCCAGAATATCGACCAGGGAGCCCCAGTTGCTGAACGAAGCCAAATTGTCGTCCTTGTCCGTGGCGCCGACCGTGCAGGCTGAAGGTTCGTTGGCCGGGCTGAAAAAGAGCGTCGGCAATCCGTCGTTACCCGCAGCGACTGCCATGAATAGACCAGCGTCGATCGCCGCCTTGACTGCGTCCTTCTGCGCCGTGTTGTAGATGCCGCCCAAACTCATGTTCGCAACAGAGCCCTTCTTACACTGTCCTGCCTGCTCACGCTCCGTGGCGTTCTTGGCCGCGAACTCAATTCCAGCGATCACGCCCGAGCTCTCACCCGAGCCATCTGCGCCAAGCACCTTAACGGCGAAGAGAGACGTCTTCTTGGCTACACCGTAGCTCTTGCTGCCGACCGTGCCAGCGACGTGAGTTCCATGGCCGTTGCCATCCTCCTTCTTGTTCTCGCCAGAGAAGTCCTCGAGGAAGGTTGCACGACCTTCGAATTCCGGGTGGTCGACATAAATGCCCGTGTCGATGATGAAAGAGCAGGTGTCTTCTCCAGCGGACTCGTCGTAGACGTATTCAGTGGAGCCCGTCTCGCGGTGCGATATCCTGCCGAGACCCCAGGGAGCATTGGATTGAGTGACAGCAGCGGTGTGGACAACAGTGTTTGGCTCGATGTACGCAACCTTGAGTAAGTTGTTAGCCAATGGAAACTCTCATACAATATCCCACTAGCTAAGGCTCATGGTTTTTAAAAAGAGACTTTGCAGTTTAATCGAACTGCCCGTCTGGAATACTTACCGAATCCAGGTTCTGCACCGTCTTTAATAGAGCATCAGTCAAGCTGCCAGCTGCACCCTTGAATGTACCAATGTTGTAGACATGGTCTGCCGCGTTGTCGAACAGGTCGAGCAGACTTGAGAAGGCTGACTCCTCAGCCTCGGGCTTCAGAACGACAATATATTTTCCGGGGATAACTTCGGCATCTTCTCTGGGAGCAAGCAGAGGTGCCGCTGTTGCCAAGGGCAGAAGAGGGAGGAATGGAGAGACACGCATGATGGTTGATGTCGAAGCCTTTAGGAAGTGGGGTTTATCTCAACACCAAATGATAAGAAGATCGGAGCAAGAAAACAGTGGACTGCTGCAGAGTTGAATGACGCAGGTACATCCCCCATGCACAAGGAAAGTACTAGACTTAAGTATTCTCCGGATCTCTTCCCCTGTTTCTCAGCTTCCGTATCCCCCACAGTCCGTCCTCTGCAAGAACGATTAAAGGTGGGCTCTCCATCAAATTTCGGTAAGGCGCCCCAACATCTACACACCAATTGAGACTGGGGCGCAGAGGTTCTCCACCATAGTCACCTGAAAAGCCCATATTGCGCTATTTCCAACACCTATAATGCAGGCCCGTTCAGCTCCAATCGGGGATTAGAAAGCGCCACCGCCTCTTTGTGCCAAACAACAGACATCACGCCGCCTCAACCGACGAGGGCGGGGTCCACAAGCACCACTAGGGTTCAGCCCGCCTGACGCCAAGCACATGAGCGGCGACGAATCACTACTCGAAGAGGCAGCGCGGGGACTGCATGCCAAGCTTGAGTACCCCTCCAGTAGCTAATCATCAGCTGTTCTCTTTGCTCTCGGTCCTCCGTGTCGACGGGCCGGCTCTTTTGGAGCGGCAATTTGGTTCTTTCTTCGGCAATCATAGTCCAAAAACCTCAGCTCTGTTGTCCCAGGCTCATCAAAGGGCAGGCCCGCCTTTTGGTCGCTGCGCCGATAAGGGCTATCAGAGTCGGGAAAGTGACTGACGTGACGCCGAACCCAGCATTAAGCTAGCCCACGCTAGTTATTGCCCGGGCGCGGGGGCCGCTGGTGGGCCAGTCTGTCGGCATGCCGATCTCCGAATGCTCGTCACTTGCTTGCTTTTCCCCCGATCCAGCGCTCGTCGTCCAAGTGCATGCTGAGATGGGCTCCCCCGCTTCCCCTCAATGAGGGTAAATGCCGGTACTCGGTGGCTCCGGTACCCTTTTGTCGACAACAGCAGAGTTCGGTCTTCTCTGGTCAAGTGGAGATTAGTGATATCTCAAGTAGCATTGATCAAGTGTGGCTTTGAGACGGACAGCCGTGCCTTGATCAAGGCTAGCCTCTTCCTCAGCGTCGGGCCGGTGGCGCGCGTATCTCGGCAGAAGAACCCTTCTCGTCTATCGGTGGTGTTCGAATTAAGTCTAAATCATCTCTCCGAATCCTCACGGTCCCTGGATCTTCAAGAACTCCAGCCATCACAATCTCTCCGACCGCCTTCAGTACGTAAACCTCTCCGCGACCGCAATGAACACACACGAGAGTGGAGTGCAGGAGAGAAAGACAAAGGAAAATTGAATGAAGTGGGGGTTCACTACCAGGCAACCTCGAGAGACATGTAGATTGCTCAGCAAAACAACCGATCTCCGCGGCCGACGTCTGCGTTGGCACTCGGTACAGTACATCCGGCATGACCAACAGTCGCAACAAAGCAGGCAGCAGCAGGCAACCCTTCCTCTCTCCATCCCCCAGTCACCGCTCTCACCTGTACCCACTATTATGTACGCTCTTCTCCCCCTCGTTCCCAAGCGCAACGCACGACCACAGGGAACAGACGCAAGCAGACGCGGCCGAACCGTCTCTCCGCTCTTCGGCGGACGGGATATTTCTTGGCGTTGGCCGCTTACAGGGCTTGGCGGGGAGGAGACGGGGCTCAAGCTTCCAAAAAGCTCAGGCACACCCCCGTCGATTACCCCTTTTTAAGGAAGGTGGTCTGGCAGCATGCAGATCACAGGGCTCGGACTCTCCAGCCAATCTCCGTTCCCGCAATCGGGCCGGGCACCGCAGCAGGCATCATCATCATCATCATCGACTGGGATTCTTGCCTCTTCTCCATTGTCTAAAGATCAGCTCCTAGAAAGAGACGGAGCTGGCCTCCTTCTACGTGGTTGGAGAGTTAGAGCTGCTTTTCTTTCTTTGCTCCTTTTTTTTATTTTCTTTGTCTTGTCTAACACAGACCGTAAATCGTGGCGTTGTGGCGCCGTCCCCGGGCTTTACCTGTCTCTAATAGTCCGTGTGGATAGCCACGTGCTACCCGGCGTCGAGGTTTTAGCGAGCACTCATAGCTTCTAGTATCCTCGCCTCGGATCTCATTTCACCAAGTGCGCGCAAGCGAGCAAGACTAGCTTAGAAAAGCGATTCATCATTAGCCGCACGAATTACCGCTGGCTAAAGAGCTGGACAACAATTGTTCACAGCTCATATGTCTATATAAATTTTTCCAGCAACCCCCCCTTCTCATATCCAATTCCGAAACACCGTTCCAGAGTCAAACAACAACAAAAAAGGCTCTAGCTCGCGTCTGCCCCTCTCTACTTGGACGAGTCCTTCAGCACGAAGGCGCCGCGCTCGATGGTGTTGACGAAGTAGTAGCCGCTCTTGAAGTAAGCGTAGCTGCTCCAGCTGCCGACGAACTCGATGATGCCGCCGTTGGGCAGGGCGTCGTCCTCGGGGTAGATGTCGAAGAAGGCGACCTCCTTGACGCCGGCACCGGTGGGGTCCGTGGGGATGGAGGAGACGTCGATGATGTGGAAGCCGGCGCCGTAGTTGGACTGGTAGGCCTTGCCGTTGATGATGTACTGGTTGTGGTCGATGCCGTAGTGCTCGCTCTTGTAGATGCCCGTCTGCTTGGGCGCCTCGAGCGACGAGATGTTCCAGATGTACGTGACGAAGTAGCCGTCAGCAGCGGGCTCGACCTGGTCGTACTCGTCGTACTCGTCGTCGAGGATCAGGAACTCCTGCCACTCCTTGTCCAGCAGCCAGCCCTGGTGCGTGTACGACGCGCCCTGGTACGAGGTGCGCGAGATGACCTTGGAGTTGGGCTTCTCGGTCACGTCGTAGATGGTGAGCGTGTCCTCGTTGTAGCCGTAGCAGATCTCACGGCCCTCGTACTTGGTGTCGGGACCGTGGTAGATGACGCACTGAGCATCGTGGACGTAGCCATCCTGGGGGTCGCAACCAGGGCTGACGGGGTTGGAGGGGTCAGTCAGATCGATGAAGATGAGACCAGCAGCACAGGTCGTGTTGGTTCTCGGAGCAGCACCAACGGCATAGGCCCAGTTGGTCTCCTCATTGATGACGACGTTGTGGGTGCGGCCAACGGGAAGGCCGGTGTAGAGGCCGGTAAGATCGTCCTCGTTGTTGAAGGTAACCGGGTTGGCGGGATCAACATCCAGGAGCTAAGACGAATCCGTCAGTACCTGCCGAGATAGGATGACATGCAGATGGTGTAAACTAACCTTGGTCATGTCGAAGATCTGGATGTTGTGGCCCACAGCCTCAGATCCAATAACCATGTAGTTCTTGTAGGCACGGATCTCACGCCAGATGGCGGGGACCGAGTACTGAGGCAGACGGCCAAGGTAGATGAGCTTGCCCTCGGGCGAGATCTCGGCGAAAGCAGCACCATCACTCTGGCCAATGGCGATGAACTCACGGCCATCGTCCGAAGTCCAGCCCCACGAGGAGGAGCCCTCACCGAGCTCGCTACCAAGGTCGGCGTGGCTCAGGAAGTGGACCAGGTCCAGGTTGTTGCAGCGGAAGGTGTTGTTGGCATCGCCCTGAATGCCAACAGCGACACCATCCACGCAGGGAACGTTCGAGAGCTCCGGGTACTGCGAAGACTCGAACGCACCGGCGGCCCTCTGCTTGTCCCACCAAGACTAGGATGGTCGTCAGCCTGGGCCCAGTGCATGGAAGTGTCAGGGGAAACGTACGTGCTTGTTGTTCATGATGCGCTGGTGAATAATGCCCGAGTCATACAGCTCTGCGGCCCTTGCGGTATCCTGGGGCAGTTCCTTGGAGGAGGCAACGCCAGCGAGGGCGGCCAAGCCGATAGTGCTGAGGAGCTGCATGATGTGGGATGCACACTTGGAGGAAAGCGGGGTGCTGGCGAGCAAGTTTGAGGGAGTATTTTCGCCTTATATATGCTGGCACATCCGCACTGGAGCTTCCCCAGAGCCCGCCTTTTCGAACCCACCCAAGCAGGTGGTTGTGCCTTCCTCATTCGGCCTAAGTTGGTACCGTGTTCTGCTCCAACAATCCTTGCATCTCGAGGCCGAACGCGATAGGCATTTTGCGCATGGTGATTGGACGGCAGGGTCGTATTGGGTGCGGCTATGAGCGGGAGAGCGTCAGGACACACGGAGCTGTTGCACATGGGCGGTCTTGGTCGAGAGGGGAGGCAGATGCGCTGGGGCGGAAAGAGGAAGGCGGAGAGGCTCTGGGGAGCTTGGCGCGTCTTGGCTTTAGTGGCGGCGCCATGGCAAACGCCTGCCGTTGGTGGCGACGCAGTGCGACAAGACCTTGGTATATCTATATAGATGCAGGTTCGGTGTGGGTGGGGGCTCAGATAAGCTGTGAACGCCTGACGCGAATTAGCAGCCATCGTGTTGGCTTGCATGCCCACCCCGCTCGCGATGGCGAGCTACGAGGCTTGTCATGAGCCACTCAGACACAGAGCCAAAGAAGAAACTTCCATCCCACCGCATCCACTGAGGGCTGCATGGCCGGAGGCGTCGCCGGAACGACCAAGCATTCGAGCTAATGCGAGCAAGCTTCCGGCACAACCATGCGTTTGCGCCAACCATGTCGTGAATCGCGCAGCTAGAAGGATGTTGTTTATGTTCCAGAACGATTGGTTGAGCACCAGCAAACGGCCGGAGAAAAGGTAACCAAGCCGCGGCTGTTGAGAGGCGCATGATGCGGTCCCCTGCAAGAATCCTTGGCCGAGCCGTTTAAATCCTGCTCTTGGCGTGCGGGCCTCTGTCGTGTAAATGAACCGGCGGTATCGCACCATTCGTACTCACAATCGCTTCACTCTTGTCGCCTTCCGCACTGAGCATCGACGAGCGGGTCACGGCCGCCGATGGAATTCTCAGGATGCCGTCCGTCAGCCATCTTTTCTCCCACACTTTCCATACTGGTAGCGCCACCCGAGAATCGAAGCTCGTATGGTGGGGTAACCATCTGCAGTCGGTATTCAATTGTCGTCAAAGTGGCGTCGTCTGTAACCCAAGCATGACAGAACCAGCAGGTGGGGCCTTTTGGCGACAGCCAAAACGCCAAAGCCGCTTCTGATCCGGATGACGGCACGGAAAACAAGAGCCAGTGGACGAGTGACAGACAGCAACTCCATAAGCTCCACGGGCTCAAATGCTCAGGGGTAGCAATCCGAGCCTTTGGCGACTGCAACAATACTAAAACAGGAAGAAGAGTGACAAACAGAGAAATCTCGATGACAGTGAAAACCCAGCGGAAGACGTCATAGTTGAAGGTAAGGCTTGTGTTCGTTCAAGCAGTCGTCTCGATTGCTGCATTCGGGTCTCGGGTATGAATGCCTAAGGCATATGCGCCGGATAGTCTGCCGCTGCAGAAGGCTCCGAATCCGGATCCCCCACGTGCCAACTGAACAGCCACTGGGCTTGTGGCGCCGAATCGGAGGGAGATCCCACGGATCTTGGAGATCAACTCGACGACACCGGAGTCTTTCCAGGCACAAATTTTGCTTTTCACACGCGGAAAGTGGCGAAACAAAGGGGAGCCGACTTTCTCCGAGCCAGAAGAAGCAACGGCAATGGACAGGAAAAGGTGAAGAGCGAAAAATCCAAACACTTACGTCCGAAATCCACTTTCGAAACGGGCCTTCGTCAGCCTCAGGCGCTTTCACCGGCTGTCCCGAATTATTGCCACCACTCCGCGTCCAGAGTCGGCCAGCCCTGGGGGCATCTGGGGGCACAGCGCAGCTGTGCTCTGTCGCATGATCGGGCGCATTGAAAGAATCGAAACCGGTTCTGGATGTCGTGGGCTCGAGCATGCAGGCGCAATTTCGCCCTTGCATTGCGCAGACACAGCGCAGAGAGAAAGATGCCACGCATCAGCCCAACACCGCTCGAGTCTCGCCACCGGTGTCGCAGGCGCCCAAGGCAGACGCGAGATACGGAGGGCGCTGATGGCAGCTGTGCATCAGAGACGTCGCTGGGTGGCTGGAGATAGAGCGTTGGGAGTACGTGGGTGGCCAGGAGAGCGTGGGCGGTTGATGAAAGATGGGGCGTGCCCCCCGAGTCTTCCCGAATCTCACCTCACGGTCTCTTGACCTGGCCACGACTATGCCACTCCGAAACTCTCCCTCCTGTCTCACGCCAAAAATATTCCCAGCTTGAGCCGCATCAGCCTCACTGCCAGATGCCCAAATGTCCGCTATAAAAACCGCCGGCCTGGCCCACAATGCCGCCGCCCATCATCAGACAGCCACAGTCACATTCGATATAGCACCAGCCTTACCCCACTCGTAGCTTCCTTTTACCCGCCGCATATAAATTCACCACCATCAACATGTACGCCTACTTGCAGATCCAGCGCCGCCGCGACCAGCAGCTCCGCGAACACGGCCTTTCGCAATGGTTCACCCTGACGGCGCCCACTCTGGGCTCGCCATCCGTAACATCACCGTCGTCGGAGTATGTTTTGTTTTCCCTCCCAGCCCTCACACCACTCCAATGCTAATATTTCCCAAACAGGACACAATCTTCGCCCAGCCCATCCTCCACGCCCTCCGCGAGCTCGACCCCTCGCGCCAGCTCACCCTCTTAACTTCTTCCCCTACCCAATCGCCGCCGTCCTCAACTTCCACCTCCTCCTCCTCCCACCAACAACACGACCATGACCATGATCACGTGCGCCACCTGACCGCCGACCTCTCCTCGCCCGCCAGCCTGCGCGCCGCCCTCGCCGGCCAAGATCTCGTCATCAGCACCGAGGCCGGCGGCAACTACGCCGCGCAGACGCGCCTCGTCAACGCCGCCGTGCAGGCCCGCGTGCCGCGCTTCGTGCCCGCCGAATTTGGCGCCGACTCGCTGAACGAGGGCGTGCAGGCGCGGCTGCCGCCGCACGCCGAGCGCGCGCGTTTGATCAAGTTTCTGCGGGCTATGGAGAGCGAGGGGAGCGAGCCAGCACCAACCAGCAACGGCTCTTCTTGTACGAACGGAGGTTGTTGCGCACACGACGATCATGGTCACGGTCACAGTCACGCGGCGGAGGAGCAGGAGATGGAGGTGCAGACGAGCGGCGGCTTCCACGACCCCTTCTCCTGGGTCGCGGTCGCGGCGGGGACGCTTCTCGGCGAGAAGCTGGAGGATCTGGGTTTCGACGTCAAGTGGCAGAGCGCCACGGTGTACCACGGGTCGGGCGGCGAGGCGTTTGCGGTTTCTTCTCTGGCTTGGATTGGGCGTTTGGTCGCGCGCGTCGTCGAGCGCTGGGATTCGGTTAAGAATAGTTATCTTTATGCTGCGGGTTGCGTCACCACCGCCGACGAGGTCGTCGAGTGTTTGCAGAAGGCCACCGGGAAGGAGTGGAGCGTCGGCAAGGTCGCCGTCGAGGAGTGCGTCAAGGAGGGTGAGAAGTGCTTGCAGAGAGGCTTCCCGGACGCTGGCATCGCTTTGATGGAGAGGAGCGTGTTGTACGATACTTCTCTGGGCGCTGTGGATTCGTTCAAGACGAAGAGCGCGAATGACGTCTTGGGTTTGGGGCAGGAGAAGGTGGAAGATATAGTCAGCAGCGCCGTTCACGACTTTCAGCATCATGGAAAGGCAGATTGTGGCTGCTCGTAGCATTATTGATTTGAAACTTCTTCATCTTGTACAACAATATTTTCGCGCCTGTTCTCTCCTAGCGTAGTTATTAAGAATGCCCCATGTCTGCTGTTCATAATAGAGGGGTATGGTAGTTGAAGCCATCATCCGGGTGTGAATGTAGAGTTAATATTGTCCGGACGATCTTCAACAAAAAGCACAGCTGAGGCATATTTACCCTTGAGCCGAGGATCCTGCTGTTCTTTGCGTCAACCTTCGGCCGCAACATCCGTCTGTAAACTTTCAATAAGGCCACCGCCGATTTCTTTGAGCATCGTTTTAGAACTGCGGGAGCTCTTCGAGAAACGCTGAAAGTTCTGCCGAGACTTCGGCCGGTGTTCCCTCTGCTTCAAACTCTACCCACTGCTCGGAGTCATGATATGAGAATGGCTGACATCCCCAGACTTCCAGCACCTGTGCCCGTCCTGCGTTGAGTATTGAGAAGAATATAGGGCGCCAATTCCCTGGCTGTAACAAGCAATTGCCGAACTCAATGTGCCGAAGGGTGTTCGCATGCTTTCGTATGAAGTTGTGAAAGTCTTCTTCAGTACACATGAAATCGTGCAGTTCGAGTTGTGTAAGATTAGGCCAGAGGATACGAGCACCAATGCGCTCAATCGCAAATCCCCCCAAGCCACCGTACCTAAGTTGAAGATGTTCGAGCTTTGGCATGGCAACGAGATAACTTAAGAGCCGAGCCACCTCTTCTCGTTCTGTGTGAATTGTCCGGTCGGTTAGTCAGAGGTCGAGAAACTTTACAGAATTCAGACTGTAGTTGAGGGCTGTTGGCAAGTGGTCAGGGACGGCACTCGAGCCCGGATCGAAAGAGTCGATGGCGAGAGATATGAGTGGCTTCATACTAACGCTTATGGCGGTAAGGACCTTGTCGACTCCAGAGGTATAATCGAACATCTTGGACAGAGCGAGAGGCACGTTTGCCGCTAGTTTATGCATCCCCGAATGATACCAACCCTTTGCAACCTTCTTATGGAAGGAGGCGTTGACGCCGCGATACATTTGGATGTCTGTCAAGGCCGGAAGGTTGCGTAGGATCAAAGTGAGGACCGCAGTTTGTAGACCCACACGATCGGCAAATTTTTGAGATTCAGAGATCTTGCGTAACTCGTTACGGTAATCTTGAAGGGGTTTGTTATGCGGGTCGCGGAAGATCTTGTGTTCAGCGCTACCGATCAATCGTTCGAAAATATCGAGTGGGCATGGAGATGAGGATCTAGCAAGAAGTTCAATATCGATGCCGAGCTCTTTGGTATGACCGCTGAACTTTGGGTGCCTCGAAACTTCCGAGAGGGAGTGAAGGTCATCAAGGTCGAGTGACGTAGTCCTTGAAGTGAAGTAAGTCCTTCCGAAAAGCGACTCTGATCCACTTCTAAGTGCGTGACAGACAAAGCGGATTGTGAGAAGGTCCTCTTCATCCAGGAACGACGCAATGGCATCAATCAGCTCTGATGGAAACTGGTCCAGGCGGGGCGGAGCCATCTAGCGGGAAAGTCAGCCTGGCCAATGTCATCCATGAGGGAAGTCGTACTTTAATGGATCGCCCGATTGCACTTTCGCTTTCCAAGCGGTTCGTTGAGGTGGTGTTAGTGCGGCCCATGATGGTATCGTGAAAGGACACAGTGCTTAGTTAGCAAAGCATAGTGGTCCGATTGTCTAAGGCTGACGTCGCAACGGTTTGGGGAGGTGATCAAGTAATGCGAAAGGATGATAGAGAATACGGTGGGTGGCAGTAAATACCGGCAAAGTAGGCTAATCCTAATTTGGAAGCATAGGACATGATGGGAAGCCGCGGGAGACCCTGTGGCCTTAGTCACGCCCTCACTTTGCTTTCTTTTCTCTCTCTTTAGAACAACATATGTGGGTAACTGAAGCTATCGTTCGGACGTGAATGTGTGATTCTACATTTACGTCCGGATGATAGCTTCAGCTACTCATGTCATGAACAAAAAACATTCACGCTAGCCCTCGGCTGCGATACTCCTCTTTAGATGAACGAGAAAAGAAAAGCAGCAGAAAAAGTGCAAGCATTCACTCAATTCTGAGGTCAAATGTTCGCGCCTTCATCCGTTCCTCTGATTTCTATTCATAAACAAGAGAGGCCTCGCACATGTAAATATGTCTCAGCAGCTGTTCACGTAGCATGGCGAGACTGCATACGATGATAGCCGTTGTGGCTCAGCAGGCTCACAATCCATCGCAACATCGAGTGGTGATCCCATAACGCCAAACATGCACACGAAGCCTCCAAAACGCCGCGCTGTGACCCTTTTAAGTGTCCGCACCTGATATCATACACATCCTGCCCTTTTAAATATTTTATGTGCGGTTGTTCTCCAAGAACTCCTTCGCCTCGTTAACCTTTGTGGCGAGGTACGGGCTTCCGCCGCGATCAGGGTGGTTCAGCAGCATGAGCTGCCTGTGCTTCTTGCGGATGAGCTCCTTGGAGAGGCCTCTCTCACTGTGACGGTTCTTAGCATGACGTCTTGCATGTGCCTGGGCATACTTACGGGAGCTCGAGGATGAGAGCAGCCTCCCTCCTGTTCATCTTGGGCTCAAATCCACCCTTGTAGAACGCGCGACCCAGCGCATTCGTTCCGCCACGGTGTCGGCGGAGAGCGACAAGACCAGCCCTGCCCTGCGAAATGTTAGTCTACCGGAAGAGGCTGTTGCGATGACGGGTCCACGCACGAAGAAGGCGGCAGCAGCCACACCGAAGCCAATCGCAAGCGCAGACGCCATTGTAGAGTATGAAAACGACCAGAGGATTGAATGCGGCGATGTCGCGGCGTCGAAGAAGGCGTCGAAGACTGCGGACGAAGGCGTCGGAGGAGAGCGGCAAAGATGACCGAGGTGGTCCGTGCGAAAATTTCCATATCTTGGCGTTTGCAGAGCGTTGGGAAACTTCCTTGCCGCCGCGTCCTGCACCACCTCCGCCCGCCGACTTGCGCTTCCCCGCCCTGCGCTCGCTCCGGACACCTCAAACGCTCCCCGTACCAAGCAGGAAAAGGCCCTGCTACTCTGCGCTCACCCAAAGCGCAACCGAACACCTGCCCAAAGGCAGCAGAAAACGCCTCGAACTTTGAGATCGTAAATTTATCGGCACCATGAGGATCGAAACGTACGTCTCTTCTTTCTAAAAGCCAGGGATAATGTACTGACCGGAATACAGTTGCCATTTCTGCTCTCGTATGTCTTGCCCGACGTTCGCTTTACGCCACGCACCTTACATATACCCCCCTCGATTCGCAGCTTGCTCTTCTTGGCTGGAGGGCTCGTTGATACAAAGCTATGCACGAAATACTGAAGAAAAACGAGAGACTGACATCCAATATAGGCCCCTGCTACCCTAGCAAGGGTATCACTTTCGTGCGCAACGGTACGTTCACTTTTATGCATTGAGGAAAAATACATTGGCACAAGAGGGTATTTCAAAGCGGACGTCCAAATTCACCGCCACTCGCGGGACGAATTTTCAGGGTACCTCCAACAAGGACAACAAAAGCTTCACGTACGACTCGACCCGTCTGGTTCCCGTTTGTTACCGAGAATATCATTCAAGACTCTCAGTCGGAAGAGCTCGCCACATCGACATTGGGAAGAGTATAACGAACGACTCATTGACGGACCCGGACTGCGTATCAACCCGAAAGCGTTATTCCTGGAGAATTTCATAGAATTCTCTGCTGTCGATATTGCATGGTTAATTTCCCGGAGCCTAGCGAGAACGCCACCGTATTACCAGCAACTGAGCATGCAGACCAGCAAGATTCGAGGCAAATTCCTACGCGCTTCGATCTCCGACTCGTAGACGATGCTCCCGGAGGGGCAAAACCGCTTTGAAAATGCCTCTTGTGCCAATGATATCCCATTTGATACTCTGATCGATTACTAATTTTGTGGATTTATAGATGCAAAGATGTTCCGTTTTTGCAGGTCGAAGTGCCACAAGAACTTCAAGATGAAGAGGAACCCTAGGAAGCTGGCCTGGACCAAGAGCTACCGCGCGGCGCACGGCAAGGAGATGACAGTCGACAGCACGCTCGCCTTCGCCGCTAGGAGGAACGTTCCCGTCCGTTACAACCGCGACCTGGTTGCCAAGACGCTGCAGGCGATGCAGCGCGTCGAGGAGGTCCGGCAACGCCGCGAGCGCCTCTTCTACAAGGAGCGCATGAAGGGCAACAAGGAGCGCCAGCTCGCCGCCGACCGCAAGCTCGTCGAGGAGAACCAGCACCTGCTGCCGCCGGAGCTGCGCGACGAGATTCCCGAGCACGTGCGCCAGAAGCTCGAGAGCATGGAGGTCGAGAACGAGGAGTTCGAGGACATGGACGAGGAGGTCGAGGAGGAAGAGGAGAAGACGCGCGTCCGCGCCAAGGTCCCCAAGGCGAAGAGGAAGCAGAAGCTCATCGTCGGCAAGGGTGTGGAGGATATGGATGTCGACGAGTGAGCTGGTGCCAGGGGGGTGGAGCCGAAGCTTTCGCAGGATGGAGCGTTCCGCAGCAGTCGAGGCAAATGGCATTCTTGGGCGCAGGGATGGGCGAGATCGATGATTACCCGCAACATGGCGTTCTACGGCGCGAGAGGTCAAGAAAAAATTGAGAGGCCAACCCGGTTATTTCTTTCCGGATTCGCTCGCAAGGCTGGAGATAATCGAGAAGGACAAAACATGAGGCGGGGGAACAGTACCTTGGTTTCATGTCGAATACGACAACCGGTAGAAAAGTGTCATTTTTTTTCCTTTGTGTCAAGAACTAGCAACAGCATGTGTGAAGATGAACTTGATTTGGAGAGTTGGAATTTTCGAATAACTGCACATAAATGCAAACTGCAAAACACAAAAATCTCCCTGCTGTCCTTGCTCTCCTGTGCTACCTATCTAGACCTTTTCCAACACCTACGCAACTTCTAGTGAAACCGACAGTAACCAAACACGGATAGCCACCTATTTGGGCTATGGAGGATACTCTTGCGCATGCTAGGAGCTGGACTTAGTCCTCACCTCCTGATTCCTTCTACTCTGACCAGACTATTTCGCCAGTTTTCAACCACGCAGCCGAAACCTCTCTGTGCGGGACAAGGTTGCCTTGTTCGTGGGGAATGTAGTCCGGAAATGCGGAGTTGATTTGCTGCAGCACATCCCACGATACTTGTGCGCTCGGGTCGTACGTTGGCGCATCATTGAAACCCGTGGTATTCAAAGTGTGGTAGAGTATAGGGAGTTCGGTCATGCTGACTGAGGCATTGACTACAGCAACAACCGCGGTAGTAGGGTCCAGAATGTATGAGTACCCGACAGCTGGTGCGAAGACGTACGATCCACTTAGTAATGCATACAGCGCTGTGGCGTGAGTAATGATATGAGACTTGAACCAGTGTGATTCATTAGCCTCGTCATCATCAACAACGTAGGGGAAGGGGGCGATGTGTAGGCGTTCTCTCTGCGCTTGCATCGGAAATGTCATGCTTGGGTACCAATGTCTTTAAAGACCAATCAGCAATCGTGCTCAAAAGACTCATGATATAACTTACTCTGCACATTCCAACATGCCAATGCGTCCAATTTCGATGTTGATGACTTTGAACATGTCGATGGTCCCATCGCTGAACATATCCCGCTCGGAACCCGAAGGCCTTAGTTTGTGGCGGTGGATGACCACCTCCCCCGATGGACTGATCAATGACTGAGCCATATAGATGCGGTCACCCGCTCTCTCGGCAAATGCCAACCCTGCCCAAATCCCCGCGTTCGTAATGGCCGCGATTAACCGATTCCATTCCGGGCCGCCAACGACCATCGAGTTGTCGACGTATGACGCAAGGTGCGTCACATTCCACTGATTGCTTTCACGGCCCTTTGGAAATCTTGACTTATCCGTTAGTATAATGAAGAAGGTCGATTGCTGTGAAAAGACTGACCCTGGAAACCATAGTTCTGGAAATAAAACCAAGCCGGCTCCGTGAGACTTCGCCTCGTTGACGTAGCCGATACCCGCGTCGACTGCCTCAGTAAGGTTAATGGTAATGCCAGTCCAGTTCTTGTTTGCGAGTGGTAGTGGCCAATTTGGTGGGGGTGCTCGGACGAGTGCAACCGTCAAGTTCGTCTGCGTGGAATCAGAGAGGTTCGTGTAAGGCACCGCCTGAGCTCCTGCTAAACACCCCGCAAGGGCAATACAACAAGCTCGCTTGAGATGCATTGTTTCAGATGACCCGCGGAAGTAAGAGATGGATTGAATTGAGTAGCAATGGTAACAACTGGAAAGTTTAAATATGCCTTCCCAGCATGAGAGATAGAACATAGTCAACACGGCGGCGTCGGGATCCCACGCCACGGCCCGACCAGGTCTTTAGATCCAGTGTTTGATTGCTGATGATAAAGACAATGGCTAATCGGGCACCAATTGGATTTTGTCAAAAGGTGCCACTTCACTGTAGAGTCCGCCTTGGACTCGGCAATCTCTCACAGATTGGGGGAAGGGTCAGTTTCCCTCCCCCGGCATACGATTCAATGTTTCTATCGGTAATTTTATCCAAATGATTGACATATCACAGGTGCTACCTTACGAACAAAGATAAGAATATGTTTAATAACACTTCCGTTACTAAAGCTGTGCAGAAGTGTCGAATAGTGTGCATGCCGAAGATGCCGAATTCATCGGCAAGTTCTTTTCAGCAATGATAAATTCAAGTATCACGGAACCTCAAGAATTTCCAGTCTCTCATATTTCTCACAAAGCCTCATTTGCGCTCTACTTACTTCATGGCGAGCTGTAAACATAACCGTATTGTACCTTTGCATCCCTACACAGATCTTTCAGATGCTCTTCTTGTTCCTTAAACTCCGGTGACTGGAGCCTCTCCTTGAATTTTCGATTCACATTCTGGCTTTCGGATGGGACGCTTGTCCCTTTCCTGACAGCTGGTCTTGCCTCGATTCGTGCCCACCACCTTTGCAGGTTTGGAAAATCTTCCAGGCGGACTCCTGCCATGTATGAGAAATTGACCCAACCGAAGCTGGCGATATCGGCCACACTGTATTTTCCAGACCCTGGGCCGACTAGATAATCACGACCACTGAGATGTGAGTCGAGAATGCCGTAGAGCCGCTCCGTTTCGCCAACGTAACGTTGGGTGGGGTATGGAATGCGCTCTTTCGCAAACCGGTAGAAGTGGTTGGCCTGACCTTGCATAGGGCCAAGACCACCATGCTACAAGATTTTTAGAAAGCTCCCAGGTCAAAGAAATAGCATAGCCCTCATACCTGCCACGAAATCCATTGCTCCGTGCGTGAAATATCCTTTGGATCTGTGAAACAAAAATGATTCTCTGGATCGAAATGGCGCGTAAGGTATGACAAGATTGCTAAGAGAAACAAAATTCAGCCGAAGTTTCGTAAAGGTCATCGAGATACTCACCGGCCCCCTCTTGTACACTGAACCCATCATTATCATGATCAACAATGACAGGGATGCGTCCATTCGGTCCAAGTTTTGTGAACCATGGCTCCTTTTGGATGTTTTTGTTGATGTCGATGGCCTGGAAGGTATACTCCAGACCATACTTTTCCTTGAGCTCCTCAAGCAATATGCTTGCTTTATGACCATTTGGCGTTCCCCATGTTAGGAGTTCAATGCCCGTACTGGCAATGCGACCTGTCGGATGGGACATGATGGTGAAAGTCTTCCGAGATCAAAGAATCCAAGCTAGAGAATAGCTTTGCGATAAAGTGTCAACAGTCACACGGTATTTATAGAGCGTATACGCGCATCAAAGAATGATACCACTGATGCTCCTGCTCGCTTTGAAGCCGAGTGGCTTGCCAAGCGGCTAGTCAATACGATACACCGCCGATTTCAAAGCAAAAGGATCAATTTACCGTAGGGCGCACGCCCTCTCGGCTGGTCTTATCTTGTCAAGTTTCCTCGGCAAATCGCGGTGTTCAAATACCTTTTAAGGGAGACGCTTCCTCACCTAAACGCAACAAATATCTCTCACAATCATCAAAAGAAGCAAACATGAGTCCCGTAACCCTATATGATCTCCCCAGCAAAGGCCGCAATGCCTGCTGGTCACTCAATCCGTGGAAGAGTTGCCATCCCCTACCTCCGCCACAATAGCCATCCATGCACGTGAGCTAATGCGGACTAGCTCGGCTGGCTCTGAACTACAAGGGCATCGACTACAAGACCGACTGGCTGGAGTATCCCGACGTTGCACCTACGCTCAAAGCCGCTGGCTTTGAGCCGAACGACTCGGAACAGTCTTTCCCGTTCACAATACCGGCGATCCGGTTCCCCGACGGCGCGCATGCCATGGAGAGCGCAAAAATAGTTCAAGAGCTGGAAAAGCGATACCCTGAGCCATCATTACATCTTGACTCCAAATACTTTCCTCTGATCCGGAGCTTGATTTCGGAGACGAGCTCGGCCTTTACACCTGTCATTTTAGCGCCCATTCCTCGCTTGATTCTGAGCGAAAAGGGGGCGGAGTACTTCAACAATACCCGCTCTAAGATGTTTGGAATGACGTTGGATCAATTGGAGGCGGAGAGAGGCGGCGAGCAGGCCTGGACCGATGGTTTGGAAAATTTGGCGAAGGTTGCAGCTCTCCTCAAGGAGGAAGAAGGCCCATACTTCATGGGACACACAGGTGCGACTATTGTATGATGATGATAGGATCTCGGCTGACTTTGTCTCCTTTTAGTTTCATACGCGGACTTAATCGTCGTTGCGTTCTTGCAGTTCGCGAAAAGATTAGAGGGAGGCATCTTTGATCGCATTGTTCAGTTTGACAGTGTATTCAGTGTTCTCTACAATGCATGTGAGAAGTGGCTGGAACGGGACAACTATTAGATCAATCGATGGAAAATGTTCTCATTGCTGATACTAAGGTTTTGACTTGATGCCGAGAATGCCTCTATGAATGGCTTCAACATATCATGTAAAAGCAAGTTGTTGGTCTATATATCACCAATACCTTGCCAGTAAGAGCATTTCTGAACTCTTTTCTACAAAAGTTCATAGCTCGCCAGATGCCTTGCTTCCAATTATAAAGAAAATTGTTAGTCATTCGTAGGACACCAAGGCTTTAAGTGGGTCGGCTTGCAAAGGTTGTCATTGTAAGGGCGTATCTTACGAATCATCACCCTTAGAGCTATATCCTTTAGTTTATAAGACTGTCCGACAGGCGTCGTTTTCTTTTACATTCTTATCCTGTGTTCTTCCGGCTGTCCAGAAGCCCATTGTCACATTTTCCTTCTCCTGAAAAATCACTTGGCCAGATTCGTCACAATGGGTAGTAAATCACCTACACTGTAAGTTAGACATGGTCTACAAGGCAATAGAGTTTCATATTTACTAGAGATAGTGCGCGAGATATCGATGTCTCCAAGCTGTCCATTACGAAAACCAGCAACCCGAAAGAGCTTTTGCCAAGAGACCAGTTACGCTTTGGTCGATGTTTCACCGGTAGAGACATCTCATGCATCTTCTGTGGCTTTCGCTAACGTTTTCTTCAATGGCTGTATAGACCACATGCTGGTCATCGAATGGACGTCAAAAGAAGGTTGGGGCGATCCCAGAATCATCCCATACCAGGAGCTGCGCCTCGACCCTGCCGTATGTGCTTTACAGTATGCCTCTTCATGCTTTGAAGGCATGAAAGCGTACAAGGACAGGGACGGGGGGCTACGTTTGTTCCGCCCAGAGAAGAACATGGCCCGGCTCAACAGCTCATCCGCCCGGCTCGCATTGCCCACATTCGACAGCAATGCCGTCATTGCCCTCATTTCAGAGCTCTGCAACCTCGAGAGCCGGTTTGTACCGAGCGAGCGTGGGTACAGCCTGTATCTACGCCCGACCATCATCGGTACGGAATCGGGCTTGGGTGTCGGTCCTCCCAGTTCGGCGCTCTTGTATGTCATCGCCTCTCCATCCGGGCCGTTCTGGGCGACAGGATTCAAAGCCATCCAGCTGGAAGCCACGGACTCCGTGCGCGCCTGGCCTGGAGGCGTCGGCGACAAGAAGGTGGGAGCCAACTATGCTCCCTGCGTCCTGCCACAGCGAGAAGCTGCCCTGAACGGAAGTCAGCAGAACCTGTGGCTCTTTGGCGAAGAGGAGTTTCTCACCGAGGTGGGAAGTATGAATCTGTTCATGGCGATGAAGGACAAGGACAGCGGGCGGAAGCAGCTGATCACCGCGCCGCTTGATGGCACTATCCTCGAGGGAGTGACCCGGGACTCTGTATTGACTCTTGCCAGGGAGCGACTGAAGAACTGGGATGTCATCGAGCGGAAACTCACCATGGGTGAGCTTGCTGAGGCCGCAGACGAAGGCAGACTCCTCGAAGTCTTCGGAAGCGGGACGGCCGTGATCATCAGTCCGGTGCGTAGCATTTTCTGGAAGCGCACCCAGCGCTTTATTCCTTGTGGGTTACCGGAGGACGAGGAGTCAGGCCCGGTCGCCAAAGAAATGTTCGATTGGATCTTGAGCATCCAGCACGGCGACGAGGAGCACCCTTGGAGGTAGGTGCCTTGACGGATTCACAAGACTTTCTGCTGACAACAAGTAGCTTGAGAATATAAGGACCGCTCGTCGATTTCATTGAAAACACAGCGTCAATGTGAGATGTATTGCATGTATCTAGAGGATTTGCAGTTAGTTGCTGTAAAGAGTAGACTATTGGTGGTTAAATTGGAATGGAATTGTTGGTAGCTTTTCACCCATACATGTTAAACTGTACAATGAATCGCCTCCCTGCAACCAATTGTGTCTGCTGAAGTGTCGAAAAATAAGAAGTTCGAGGGTACTCTTTGGTTGGGTTCTGACTCGTGCATTAGCGTCTACGATTTCCAAGCAGCGCTAGAAGGCAACATGTCTATGGCCGCCTCGATGAAAGATTCATCATTACTCTAAAAGCTTTTAATGGCACGTTGCACTATTTTGTGCCTTTTGCTAGACCCAAGTCTTTAATAATAGTTAGGTGAGTCATAGGTATGCTACCGCTCCACTTCGGGGCAAAGTTCAGCCAGACTAGACCATGTCATCCACAGGGCGCGTCGAACCACACTTTTTTCGAAATGACGTATAGCAGACCCAGAGAGCCCAATTACTCTACAACCTCGTCCATCTTTTCACCGATATATTATCCTTGTTTGTCTACCTACCAGACACTTAAACCTTACTTTCATAGTCATGGGGAGCTTCATGGAGGGGGGTCAAAATGTCCATGTGCTCGGCTTGGGAAGCATTGGGACATTTGCAGCATTCTGCCTAGCAGATATTCCTCATACACCTCGCATCACCCTCTTACTACACAAACCCTCCCTTTACGAGTGTTTCGTCGAAAACAAGGGCAGGATCTCCATGCGTACCACGGAACAAAAGCTAGAGGAGCGCAGCGGCTACAACGCCGAAGTCTTGAAGGACGGCGCCTGGATCCGTCCAACTGCGCAAGGAAGCGGCGAGACGTCCAATGGCGAGGGCTGGCAGGTAGCAGATGAACCCATTCAGAACCTCATCGTCGCCACGAAAACCATTCACACCGTTCAAGCCCTGCGACCCCTCCAGCATCGGCTGAATGCTAAATCCAACATTCTATTTTTGCAAAATGGCATGGGCATGGTCGAGGAGGTCAATGAGAAATTGTTCACGGACGAAAAAACGAGACCGCAGCTTCTCCTCGGCGTCATCACCCACGGCGTCGGTATGGAGTCGCCGTTCAACATTGTCCACACTGGCTTTGCTGCAACGTCTGTCGGCCCGGCATCCCCGGACATGGATACCTCCAAAAATTATCTCCTCAGCGCTCTTCCGGACAGCCGTCTCCTCAACGCCACCGCCTATTCTTTCGAGGGCATTCTGCAGATGCAGCTGATCAAACTGGCCAACAATTCCATCTGTAATCCACTCTGCGCGCTCAACGATGCGAAAATGGGTATTCTGCTGGAAGAACGCTGCCGGGATCTGATCCGAGAGCACTTTACTGAGTGTTCCAAGATCGTCTGTGCTATGCCCGAGGTTCAGGGCGTGGAAGGAGTCAAGGAACGATTCTCAGCTGACAACCTCGAGGCGACCATGAATGGCATTTGGTACAACAATCGCGAGACGACCTGCTCCATGGTATGGGATGTGCGTGCTGGACGGGAAACGGAGATCAGGTTCATCAACGGATACTGGCTGCGTAGGGGAAGAGAGCTGGGGATCGAGACTCCGGTCAATTCGATGCACTACCGGCAGATTCTGGAGAAACATCCATGAATCCGAACTAGTTCCGCTGCAGGAACTACAGTTTCCTTGAATTTGTTTGTGTACGATCTCACAGAAATACGTCACGCTTTAAGGTCTGTCTCAGGACGAAAAAGGATGCTCTGGGATAATCCGGGTTGAAAAGGCATAGAAGTTGAGGCGAAGGCGAAGGATGATGCAGGCACCCCAACCTACATGATGCAGTGCTACCTACGCTGTCGGAGGCGGGGGAGGCGGACCTCCGCGCTCCGCCGGGGCTCCGACGGCGGCCTGTGCCTGCTCGTTCCTATTAATTTATCTTTAAATGGGAATTATCCCTTCTTGTGCCATTGTAGTCACCGGTATATCGACGTAGGCACTTGACAAAATTTATCATTTTAATCCGTTTGAGTAATGAAGACAATCTTAAGAGTGTATTGTGCGGGTTGTGCCGATATTTGAATTTGAGAGTTCTCGCGTCGCGTCTCTTATTAGTAGGTACTAATGAAGATCTTATGATTCAGCCCCATACAGGGGTGTTGGACCTCCCCCTACAGCCGCACGCGATCGAGCGACGGGGATGTCATTCCTTGTTGCGAGCTCAACAAGCGCGGGGCCAGCGCCGGACCAACGGCGTTTGACCAGCGCATACGCGCATGCTGCACACAGTCTGAACAGGAAGGTTAAGTACGAGCGTCAATGAGAGAGGCTAAGCAAAGACGGACGCCATGAAACGAAAGAAAATGCCAACCAGCGTGAATTCGAGAAAGCATGTTCATAAGTGTTGCCTTAGGGCGAAACTCAAAGTCCCAATTAATAGTAGTCCGTTGGCTGCCTGCCTTCTCTCGCTGATATAAAAGAGTACCCCAGCAGCGAGAGGAGGAGGAAACAGCGGGTAGGACTCTACAAAGTTTGCTGGTAATTCCCTGCTATCCATCCAGCATCCACCACGTTATTCTCTGAAGAAGCCCCGCGACCCCTGGTATCTGTCTTTTTTTCGGTTTGCCTTTAGAAAAACAAAAAGCCAGAAACCACCACGTGCACATGCACACTCCGGAAACCCAACCCACAATACTCATCCATCATTGCTTATTCTGAGACGATGCCGAGTTCGCTAGCTAGGGCGCTGAGAAGATTACACTGCGATCTCGCTAGATCTAGGGCTCCGTGTGCATGGCATCCGTGAAGCTATTCGCCGCAGTCGTGGCAAAGTACCGCACGTCGACGTCGTCATCCTGCTGCAGCTTCTCCAGGTTGGGCAGGATCGAGTTCTGAATGAGGTCGAGTCCGCGTTGCGAGCCCTCGGGAGACGTGCCCGCCTTCTCGATCTCGACAATCGTACCCGTCTCCGGCAGACGCTTAAGCACATTGATGAGAACCTCGTACGACTTGGCCACGTTGAAGCGGATGTTGGGAATGCGGTCATCGACAAGCTTCTCCATCATGGGCAAGATAGAGGCCTCGATGACGTTCAGACTTAATGCGGGCGCGAGCGTCTACAGCCTTGTATTAGAATACTGCCATGCACCCAAAGCAGCCGGGGGAACTTACGGAGATGGCAAAGCAAGTCGTCATGCGGTAGAGATAGTTCGGGTGAGCACCCATGGCCATAACCTTAGGCACAATAGCCTCGTTCGCCCAATCGACGCCAAACACCTCGGTAAGCTTCTTAAGGTTCTGGGTAGAAGCCTCACGGATCGAGAAGACAGTGTCGCCGAGCCAGCTCATGCATAGGCTGCTAAGCTTCTCATCGAAGAACTTCACGCCGAGCTGGCTAGCAAGGAGAGGCACGTATTCGATGATGGCAAGGCGCACACGCCACTGCTTGTCTTCTGCCAGCTGAACAATAGCGGGGAGAAGGGATTGAGAAAGAAGTTCGATGCCGATGACTAATGGCGCCACTGTTAGGAATCGCAGGCATGCTCTCATTGCGTGGGCATTTCTCCGAGAACTCACCATCGTTGACTTGCTCAAGCTTCGAGATGATGTTAAGACGAACGTCGGGGAACTCGTCCTTCAGCATCTGGAGGAACATCGGAAGCAGGTGCGTAATGGTCCTATAGCGGTTCAGCGAGTGAGGATCAGGCAATTTCGCGGGCATGGTGCTTACTCGTCCTTGCCGAGAATGGGTGCAAGGCCGCTGATCTGGGTGCCCAGAGCAGCGCGAACGTGCTGAGACTGGTCGGAGACCAACTCCTCGATGTTCGGCATAACCTCCTGGAGAAGAGTCTCCTTGGGAAGGAGTCTGCAGAAGCCTAGTTTAAAATTAGCGCCGAACTTCAATCGTAGTCTGAGCCATTCATACCAGGGATCTGTCCTGCAATAGCACTCCGCACCTCTGCTTCAGTGTCCTTCACAAGCTTGACAAAGGCAGGAACAAGGTCCCTTGTGATAAGCTCCTCCTCCACGGCCTTTGCAATCTGTAGCGCCAGTTGGTCAGCATTTGGCCGTCTTTTTGCTGGCACAAATTCGGTACCTTCTCAAAGCGGTCCGCGACCATGTATCTAACTCTCCAGCTCTTGTCCTCGAAGAGATGCCTCAGCGCCGTAAGCAGAACTCCATGGCTCGTCTGCTCTTCCTTGGGGACAACCTCCGCAATGGCAATCAAAACGTCGACGGTCAAGAGCCTGACGCTGTCCTGGTCATCGGTGGTCAAGCGCTGGAAAAGCGGAATCATGTCTTCGATAACCGTCTGAGGGGGCATGCCGGCCTTCACGAACTTCGCCAGGTTGTTCGCGGCTTGCCTCCTAACCATGGGAGTGTCATCGTGGACAAGCTTGCCAAAGTGCTGCCTGAGGCTCTCCTGCGCCTGGGCGGATGCTCTGGGGTAGGGCTCCACGTAGAGACCGGTGGCGGAGATCTTAGACGTAAACCAGTCGGCGGTGGAGAGGCGGATGGTGAGGGGCACAAAGTACTCCTCGACCTGCTGCGGGTTGAGCTCCTGGCAGACCTTGTTGAGCGATTCAACGGCCTGTTCCTGGTCAGCGCGCTGGCGAGTGGCAATTGGGGCGGCTAAGACAGACCTTCTCCCTAACCAAGGGCTCCTCAATGCCGGCCAAGTTCTCGAGCGGCGAGATGAGCACGTGGCCGTACTCCGGGCCGCCGACGTACTCCACGAAGTTGCCAAGCTCCTCGCTCAGAGCGGTGAGGACCTCGTCCTCGTCCTCGACAGATTCTGCAGACGGTCATCAGCATGTGTGCGCGGGCCCCCGTTGGGAAGTCTTGCGACGCACCATCGAGGAAGGGTATCAACTCATCCCGCGTCCGCTCAGCTCCAAGGGCCAGGGCAATGGTCGACAGGCGGCGGATCGCGTTCAGTCGCAGCAGGACGTCATCGTGCTGCAGATAAAGCATCAGCCTGGGGAGCGCGTGGGGCGGTGCGAAGAAGGCGCGGTACCTTCAGCTCGTCAATGAGGACGGCGATGGGGTATAGCTCGTCGGACTGGTTAGGTTGGTCCATGGTGGAACACAGCGCGAGCGGGTCGGCGTCGGTAGGGAGCAGATGTGAGGGCGTGTGGTCGCGGATTCAGGACGGGGTGACGTCTGTTGTGCGGTGGTGCGCAGGGCGGTGGAAAGGGAGCGGGGAGGGCGGTGGCGGTCGGAGGAGGGTGTTCGAGCGATGAAAAGCGACCCGGCGTGTGTGTGGAGCCAGGCCTGGCTGTGTGGGAGGGGTGGTGGTTATGTTTGCGGCCGGTGTCTCTGGTCGAGTGTTGGTTGTTAGACAGACAAGGCGATTCGTGACGCACGGACACGGGCGCGGGGCGGAAGCTGTCGCGCATAGAGAAAATCCACAGCGTGATGACTCTTCCGCCGCCAACGCCATAAACGCCCGCCGCCCGCCAGCAGACAGCAGAGCGCCCGTCCAGACTGCACGCACCGCTGCATCGCCAATTCAGCCCTCCGCAAGCCCTCGTTTGCTGCTGCCCAAGCGCGCTTGCTAGCCGTGAGCCCGCGCACCTTCCTCACAACCACCCCACGTACACCAGAGCCCCACCGCGCGCCGCGATCGGGTCACGATGCCTACCATATCCGTGGATAAGGCTGAGCTCTTCAAGGCTCTCGGCAAGGAGTCAGTCAGCCCTACCCTGTCGCCCGCACCCGCCCAACTGCTGCAGCGAGCAATACATGGAACATACCGCAACCCGATGTCGGGCAGCGCTGGAGCAGCGTGCCGGCCATACCTGCGCGAGGACGAGTGCTGAGAAACTGCAGGTACACCACCGAGGAGTTTGATGAGCTGTGCTTCGAGTTCGGTATGCTGGCATTGGTTGTCCTCTGCTCTGAGAACGCGAACTGACCATACCGCAGGCATTGAGCTCGATGAGGACGTAAGGCCAATCCTCCCAATCCACGCAAACACCGGCTGAACCGCACCAGACCACCAATTCGAAGCGCCCCATCGTCGATGGCGTCGAGGAGCCGCCGCAGCTGAAGATCGAGATTCCCGCGAACAGGCATGCGCTGCCCCATTTCGACACATGAGAGAGCTGCCGGCTAACAGCCTGCAGATATGACATGCTGTGCTTCGAGGGCATCGCCCAGAACCTCAACATCTTCCTTGGCAGGCAAGCCGTTCCCAACTACAGATTAGTATCTCCCGCCGGCGGCGAGCTGCAGGTCATGAACGTGGACAAGGAGACGGCAAGGATAAGACCGCTCGTTTCGTGCGCCATTCTGCGCAACATCACCTTCACCAAGGACCGCTACGAGTCTTTCATCGCCCTCCAGGACAAGCTCCACCAGAACCTTGCGAGACAGAGGACGCTTGTCTCTATCGGAACCCACGATTTGGACACCATCCAGGGCCCCTTCAGCTACGAGGCACACGCTCCGGAGGACATCAAGTTCGTGCCGTTGAACCAGGAGAAGGAGATGAACGCGAAGGAACTGATGGAGTTCTACGATAAGGACAAGCACCTTGGACGCTACCTGCACATCATTCGGGACTCGCCCGTCTACCCTGTCATCTACGACGCCAACCGCACCGTTCTTTCTCTGCCTCCCATCATCAACGGCAACCACTCGAAGATCACCGTGGACACCAAGAACGTCCTCATCGAGATTACTGCTCTCGACAAGACCAAGGTCGAGATCGTGAACCACATCGTCTGTGCCATGTTCAGCATCTACTGCGATGAGCCTTACACCGTCGAGCCGGTCAAGGTCGTCTCTCCTCACAACGGCGAGACCCGCGAGTCGCCAGATCTCACTCCTCGCCAGATGCAGGCCGAGATCGACTACCTCAACCAGGTCTGCGGTCTGAACCTGACCCCCGAGGAGCAGTGCAAGCTGCTTCAGCGCATGTCGCTCCAGGCTACTCCATCGAAGAGCTCGCCCAAGCACCTCGACGTCGCGGTTCCTGTCACTCGCGCCGATGTTCTGCACCAGTGCGATATTATGGAGGATCTTGCCATCGGTTATGGCTTCAACAAGCTGCCTCGTGAATACCCTAACAAGAGCGCGGCTGTTGCAGCACCACTGAAGATCAACAAGCTTGCTGATATCGTGCGTTCGGAAGCCGCCATGGCCGGATGGTCGGAGGTCATGCCGCTCATCCTCTGCTCTCACGACGAGAACTTTGCGTGGTTGAACCGCAAGGATGATGGCAACACCTGCGTCCGTCTGCAGAACCCCAAGACCCTGGAGTACCAGATTGTCCGCACTTCGCTGTTGCCCGGTCTTCTCAAGACGATTCGTGAGAACAAGCACCACAGCGTGCCCATCAAGATTTTCGAGGTCAGCGATGTCGCCTTCAAGGACCTGTCGCTGGAGCGCAAGAGCCGCAACGAGCGCCACTTCGCCGCTGCCTGGTACGGCAAGACCTCCGGTTTCGAAGTCGTCCACGGTCTGCTTGACCGTGTCATGCTGATGCTCCGGAGCGCCTTCATCACGCACGAGGACGCGCTCAAGAACGACAAGCTCGGGGGCTACTGGATTGAGGAGGTCGATGGTATGTTTATTGATTGATTTTGATCAGATTGCTCGAAACTAACTGCATCGTCACCAGACCCGACCTTCTTCAAGGGCCACGCGGCAGCTATCAAGCTCCGTCTCAACGGCACCATCCACAACATTGGTGTCTTCGGTGTCCTGCACCCGACTGTGCTTAAGAACTATGAGCTTCCGTAAGTTTCCCTGCCGTAAGCCCCATCAAATCTGGTCTTCCTAACAAGTCAAATCTAGCTTCCCGACCACCGCGCTGGAGCTCAACCTCGAGATCTTCTTGTAGAGGAACGAAAATTGGACCAGACGTGCAATGTCTCGAATGTAAAACGAAAAATGAAAGACATGACTGGTGGCGTGTAGATCCCTAAAAGCTTCTCCCTGGGATGGTTAGCGTCAGTGGCAGCATCACGATAGACAAAAAGAAAAGGCAGAGACAAAATGATGAAGAAACGTTCGAGAATATATGCGCTTCCGGAAATCGATGTGATTTACTGATCAGCTCGGACAAGAGACATGTCGACTAGATGCTAATCCCGAATGCCGAACGGGATCAAGTTTTCGAAGTGGAGAGTAGACTTTGAGACTAGCTCGTAGGCCGTGAAAACTGGAACTTTTCCCCCTTCCCATTCAGCAAACGCCGCCCATCACTAAGAATGACTCTTTCGGGCTCCCCCCTTTTGTTGTAATGGCTCCGATACGCCGTAGTTCCGTTTGCCTGCCGATATTTCCCGTTCATTACCAGCCCTGAGAAGGGGAGGAAAAAGCAAAAAGAGAAACGCCTTCCAAGATGCACTTTCTGTACGAGGAAGAAAATAAGAAAGAATATAGTAAAAGACGTGAAGTAGTCGAGGTCCTTCCAACGGTTCGACTTAGTCCAACACCTCCACCCACCCTTCTTTCTCTCCATCCTCTGCAACGATAGCACCGTCACTACCCTGCGCCTTCCTCTCCTTCCGCAAGCCCACCAGGGCGCGGTGCCGAATCTCTCGCTCATCGGCCATCAGGTCCTGCAGCGCGTTCTTGGCGACGCTGCTCTCGAACGAGACGTCGTACTGGGCGATCTTGACCCACTGCGTGTGACGCTGGCAGCGCTTCTTCAAGCAGACATCAGGCGGCGCCAGCAGGTCGGGGAGGAGCTCCTGCTTTCTGGCGTCCTCAACGCCACTGCCGTTTACTCCCGTTCCATTGACATGCGCGCCGTCTTCGGCGGCATCTCGCATCTCGACGTCGTCCTTGTCCTGATCTTCCGGCTCGGCGTCGAGAGTGCCCTGCCGGTAGCAGGCCCTGCCTTTCGGCGTCGCGCGCCAAAGCGCGAACTCGCCTTCGCTCCAGTTAAGACGCGAGTCGTAACCACAGATGTCCTTGGGCTTGACACCTTCACGTTCCGCCACCACGTTCACCTGTTCCCGTACCATAGAGACGAAGCGCTCACGGTCTTTGAGAAGCTTGAGGCGCTTGGTCAAGTCCTCGGTCTCTTTCTCAATTTCGGCAACGCGAGCAGCATCAGGGCCAGACAAGGGCGCTTCTTGGTTGAAAGTCGGTGATGTAGGGGACGCAGTGGCAGGCGGACTAAGCATGCTGTTACCCAGATCCTTGAAATGGTTGACATCTCGAGCTGAAAGTGTCAACGCTTTAAGGTCGCGAGCAGACACGGTGCCACCACGCGGCCCAGATGGGCCATCTTCCTCTGTGTCCTCTCCGTCGAGGACACCGTCGGTATGATTTGTCTTTCGTCGCTCGCGTCTTGGCTTCTGAGAGTTCGAGGCTGTCCCGGCTTGACTGCGCAGGTTTGCAGCGAGTGACTGAAAGAACAGCCTCCCACACTCGTCCGAGCAATACTTGCTTTGCTCGTCTCGCCTTGCTGGACGCCTGCACCCGTCGCGCCGGCACATGCGCTTCCATGTTGTGCGACCTTCGCCCGCCTCTGTACACCTCGGACAGAAATACTTCTCGATCAGGTCACCGTCCGACTCTTTGACATTCACACACTTTCCGTGGTACCAGTCTTGGCAACTTCCATCGCAAGCAATCATCCACGTGTGGTTATCCCCCTTGCGACATATGCAGTATATTCCATCGTCCGAGCCCGATTCATCGTCGTCGTCTTCGTCGGCGGTTTGGTGCGGAGGCGGCGAGGAGTGTGGTGCTGGCGAGCTTCCGGCTACTGGAGTGCCGGTTGCAGACTTTTTAGACCCTTTCGTTTTCGTAGCTTTCGCAGAGGGCGTGGGAGATGGTCTACCTTGGTCGTCATCGACCTTTCGCTTCTTGTTGGCCGATCTTGGGCCGCTGCTACCCTTCTTTTTGACCTTGCTGTCGACGAGTCTTCGCTTCTTCGGCACAGTCGGGCCGGTGGGGGCGGGGTCCATCGTGAGCGTTGTCGATGGTGTTGCAGTGGAAGCCTCCCGGCTCACTCCGCGTAGGCCGTGTTCGTTCCTGGCGCTGGCGACTGCCTTGAGAGTTTCTACTTCGAGAGTGTCACCGCCCTGCTCGGTCTTGAGTGCGGCTTGTGCGGGTGTGGGCTCCCGAGATGTCGCCGGTGGCTCGAGCTTGACTTGCGGAGTAGGTGAATGGGATGGCGCTTGGAAGACGGGTATATCGGCGGGGAAGCTTGATGGTGACGGGGCTCTTATTTGAGCAGTCGTGGGCTCTTCGCGCGCATAATCCGGTTCGCGATTTTGTGCCATAGCATTTGGGGATTCCTCGCCGGCGCCAGACGAATCCACTTTTGGCGTGGAGACGATCTGCGACGCGTCGTGTCCGTATGGATTATCCTGAGGCTGTTGTGACTGACTGCTCTGTCTTCTCTCAGGAATGCTTTCTAGAGTGTGGATGGGTGGGAGAATATGCGGATTTGATGACATGGATATCAGCGATTGTCTCCGCTGTTCCTCGGGTGACTTCGATCGATGGTGATATTGCTCCAGCGATGGTGAGTGCTGTTCCGGAGGAGCATCAACCGACGGGGGCTCAACAGGAACAGCTAGAGAACCGTAACTACTTGCTCGGCGCGCTTCCGGGTAGTTCCCCGACTGGGCCTCTTGTTCATCGTTTGCGGATTGGGGATATGTAGGAGCGTGTGCGAAGCTATTGCGTGGCGACGGATCGCTTTGCGCGAGGCCAGTCAGCGCGTCGGCTGCTTCATAAAGCGCGTTGGAAGCATTCTCGGGTTTGGATGTGTTCGCTGGCGCTGGCGCACCAGAAGTAGGGGCGGGCGGGGCGTGAGTCGCTTCCGAGGATTCGGGTTTCGGGCTTGAAGGTTCAGAGGCGGGATTCAACAGCGCGGAGAGTTTGAAGCTCATGATTGCAGCGGCGCGCAGCAAGAGCAATGGCGACGCGTGTTTGATATTTGCGAGTAGCCTATACAGCTCGAGGGCGCATGGCGGTGTGCTCGCGGTCACAGCTCTCGGGGAATCGGGAGCGCGTAATGGAGATGGCGAAGCGGAGAACGGATGGGGACCGTCGAGAAGGCGCGGCGGGTTGGAGATGATCGGCGGCGAGTCAGTTCCGCGCGCTTTCCCCAGCCCTCGCAAACGGGTCTTGGCGCGATTCCAAATACGTCATAACGCCATACGCTTCTCTCATATGCTGTGGCACATCGACTTCACTACTGTATTCTAGCTGTACGCTAAGCAGTAAGATACCCCGCTCCGCTCGGATTGATTCCATCTGGCCCGGTGGTTACACGCAACGTCGATCTCTCAATACTTTACTCGGTTCTATCACTGGCTACCACTACATGTGCGAGGAGGTGATAATAACATTTCTCAGAAGAGCGCCTTTCCATGATTCCAAACGCCCTACGCCATCCGTGACGGACAAAACTTTGCTCCATAGAGCCCTATTTACTCCTCATCCGTCTCCTGTGGCTCGCCATCTTGTGGTTCTTGTCGTCTCTGCCGTCCCCGCCCTCTACCGGTCCCAGTCTGATCCTCGGAACTGGCTTGTCCGATATTCTTGGACGCTTCATTAGCGCGCGCGTTCTGCAGGCTGCGCTCAATCTTGCGGTCCAGCTCAGCTGTCCTGTTGTCGTGGTACACGGTCTGCACCATGCCCGCCACTCCTCTTTCTCCGATCTCCACCTTTCCCCGCCCGGCGACAACCCACTCTCTAATCTCTTCACCACTCGAGCTATCCGTGATGAGCTTGATGTACCCATCCTTCTTCATTCGGGCAAGTAGTTTCTCCGTTGAGCCAACCGGGGTCGTCTGGTCTGCGTTGGTCCGCTTTAGATATCTCTCGAGCTTCGCTTCCGGCATCCTTCCACCTCCAAGTGTTATGCATGCTACCACAAAAGTGTAAAGTCCGATGTATGCACTCTCTTCAGAAAAGGTAGGAACTTTTGGCGGGGGGATGATGTCCCAGCCTCGATACTTCTCCGGCAAGGTGTTCGTGAGGACCCACGAAGTCGTCGTGGTGTTTTGCCTTTCCGTTCTCTCTGCAGCCTCTGCAGATTTATTAGATATTACAATTCATGAGAAAGACAAGGATAGACCATACTCTGGCGTCCTTTGATGGTGTGGTTTTCCGTCTTTGGTAGCTCCGTCATCTCCATTCCGAATACCGCATTAAGCTTCAAATTTGCCTCGGCAAAGACGTTTTTGAATTGTCTTCCTTGCAACCCCAGCACTGCAATTCTAAATGTCAGCTTCCCGGAATTTCAGGGCCGCTACAACGCTTCTACCTTTTGCACTGATATCTGCTCGGCGAATGGGAATCCTGGCGTACTCGCATGCCAGTGCCATCCTCACCAGCTTCTTGGCCATTTGTTGCAGTTGCTGTTCGCCTTGAGTGGATGGATCGTCATCTTCCACGTCGGATACTGGAGACTCGCGGCGGCGTTGTGTAGGTGTATGTTCTTCGTCCGAGGCGTCTTCTGCGACCGGCTGCACAGTATGAGTGAGGGAGCATGCGCAAAGGACGTTTCGTTACTTACTGCGCGCCGTTTGCGCACCAGAGGCATGTTGGCGGCGTGTAGAATTGCGAGCGCAGACTATGGAGTGGAGACAATTTGACGCGGGTCGCGGGAAGACGCGTCGCGTCGTTTGTCGCAAAAGGCAGGAGCGGCCACGACTATCCGGGCGGCGGGGTCCGGAGATCAGGTTCTGGCGCTGACAAGGGCAAGTACATCATGGATCGTCGAACCACCGGCCACAGAGCTCCCCACATCTTCACCCCCGGATCTCTGGCCACCTCCTCAGCAACCGAATCTCTCAGTAGAAGCCTCCGACAATGTCGCTCAACTTGACTGCTCGAAATCTCTCACGACTACGCGCTCTCCGTGGCCTTACTCAGACACGCCAACCGTCTTCTCTGCTCCGCGCCGCACCCGCATGCCAGTCCATTCGCTACAACTCCGCACGCACACCCTCGCGTAACTCGAATGATGACCTTTTGGAGCTTGAGAGCCTCCTAGATAAAGGCCGCAGCTACTCGTCCCGCCACAAATCCCGGGCCGCGGAGGAGCACGACTTCGACCATGTAAACCCGCTTGACCCGATTGCCGTCCACCGCGCCGAAGCCGCCCGTCGTGCATACTACTCCAGACGTCGAAACTATGCCGCATTGGGTTGTCTGATTAGCATCCTAGTTCCTATTGTGGTTGTTTACAACATCGACTTGGAAGAATTCCAGAAGAAAATCTCGGAGAGGACGGATACGCCGTCGAACGTGGCTCAGGAATTCCAAGGGAAGAAGGTTGTGCTTACGCCCGGTAGTGAAAAGCTTCGGGCAATAGGCGACGAAGTCATTGAATTAGTAGAGACGGGGACAAGCAGCGTACCGGTTTTCCCCAAAACCATCAGGCTACCCACAGCAGATGGCGATGCTGGCGCATCGAAGGCAGAGAAGGACACCGAGTACACGCTACTTGGGCTTGGCATCCGAACTGTATCGTTCCTGAACATACAGGTTTACGTCGTCGGATTGTACGTCGAGACTTCGGCACTGCCCAGATTGCAGGCTGCGCTCATCAAGGAGGTCAACCCCATGGCTTCTGCTCTGATTCCCGGGGAGAAGGACCAACTTCGCAAGAGTCTCGTGGATCCGGCAGACTCGAACGCTATTTGGGATTCGTTGTTGAGAAACCCTCAATTGAGGGTTAACATGGCCTTCCGTATCGTTCCTACCCGCGACACCAATTTTGCGCATTTGCGCGATGGACTGGTTCGTGGAATCAGCAAGCGCATGCAGGAAGCAAATATTGCCGCACAGCAGGCAAAAACCGAGCCTGAATTCAACGACGAGGCCTTTGGCCAGGCAATGAAGGATTTCAAGGCACTGTTCAACTCGCGTGGAAAGGCTGGCAAGGGGTCAGTGTTGCTGCTCAGGAGAGATGCTAAGGGCGCCCTCGAGATGTTCTACCAGGCCACCAGTGGTAAGAATGGAGGAAAGATGGGACCGCTGGAAACACTGGGCACCGTGAATGATGAGAGGCTGACCAGGCTATCGTGGCTGCTGTATCTGGGCGGCAAGAACGTGAGCAGCGAGGATGCAAGGAAGAGTGTCGTTGATGGCTGTCTCGATCTGGTGGAGCGGCCTATTGGAACGGTTGAGACGAGGGTAGAGTGAGAACTCAAGCGGGGCATCGAAAGAACGGCGTTTATGGTCAAGGCCGGGGTCATTGTGAGTGACATATCCACTCCATCTATGTACATTAACTGTTTCGCGAGACGAACTGGCTTTCCCACAGCTTCTAATTATCGGCTTTGGGGCTCTCTCATATCTCACAGCAATGAATAATTGCCAGCAATGTCTTCCTCCGAGTTGACTTCCGATTCATCGATGAAGTTCAAGAGGGCACAACATGCTTGCCGCTGGTCTATCGTGATACACCATGCAAAACTGATCACGATGCCCACTTCCCTCAAGCAGCATTCATATTAATTTAAGCACAGCTTTACCTGAGATATCAGGCCGCCCACACATGCCTCCATGACAGAATATTGGGTTCTTTTGATGTCCATAAGCTTTCATCCCATACCCGATTGGGCGCTTCCGCCGTCACATTTAACCTTGTCTCAATATTCCTCCATCCACCACAAACTTTGGCGCCTCTACCATGCACTGGCGTAATTCCCGCCGCTTTTACGCAGCATGGTGGCCAAACGAGTGGGTAAGCACGACATGACAACTGCGGAAGGCTGCAGCAGTTGCTGAAAGATAATCCAAACGAAGAGCGTGGACGAGTTGGTTCCGCAGAGCGCCTAAATCGATTGTGACTCGCAGCCTTACATGCAGCGATCCAGAATTTGAATGGTCACACAGCCTGCAAAGGCTATCACCCGCCCCTGCACCGACTGGGCAGTCGATGAGCGCCCAGAAAAAAGTAATGTGCCTGACAAGCTTGAATGAGCCGCAGAAGAAGCAAAAAACGCAAGGGACGCAAGAGATGGCCTCATCCCCCTTTCCACTTCACACCGCAACGGCATTTCGCTATCTGAAACGAGAAGAGATCAAACGCAAACACGTTCGTGCGCGGGCAAGCGTGGGCAAATTTTAAAGTTAGGGGGATGTGAGGCGCGAGAGAGCTTGTGCACGGGTGGCGGTCTAAAGTTTATGTGAGCGACATCAGAACGTCGCTTGAGAAGAAACAACCGCGCGCCAGACCGGTGGTCGTACCAATTGGCGAAGAACAATTGCATTGTCGTTTCGTGCGGGTGGGCAATCGCATTTCTGTCGTCTTCACATGTAGTACATATAAAGTTGTGCCCCCCAATGATCCCGGGGTCCGTCGTTTGGCGTTTTGCAGATCAGACGTAGAGTGTGCGAGGAGCGAGTGACATGCAGCTCGGAGGTGCCTGAGGGCCGGGTCAGGCAGCCCTCGGCGCCGAGTTGTTTCAAGCGTACAACGTCGAACAAACGCAGAAAGAGAAACAAATACATGAGCTGAGCTGCAAGGTTGAAATATGGATATTAGAGGGCTATTTGTGCAATGGGAGCACACAATGCGTTCAACGGGCCGGACCTGTCAGTCTCCGAAACTTCCAGAATGATGGCCGTACTGCACTGCTGCTGCGAAAGCAAAATTTGCAGGCATGCGAGCGAAGTGCCGCCATAATCCGTTTTAGCTCAATTGATTGCACAGTCAAGTACCAATTCACACAAAACACTGAGCAGAGGTTGCAGATTGTAAAAAAGGCCGATTAAGCCTCAAAACTTCATTCCAACTATCCACACATCCCCTTTCGCGTGAGACCCGCCGCGCGTTTCAAAAACATGGATATTGTACGACGGCGCCCTCCGCCCGTTCAAGAAATTAGAAGCTGTACAATAGAACTGTTGTCCCAGCCCCAAAAAGTTTGTATCCCGAGAAGTGCAAAAATGATACCCCGCGCCTCATGATGCAAGAATAAGCCATAGCCTTTTCAGCCAATGGTGTCCCCGGATTAGGGGGATCATTGACGGAAGGCTTTAGTTGGAAAAGATGACTTAATGCATTTACAGGAAGAAAGCGGCGATGGCACCAACACCGGCGAACGCACCAGCAGCGTTCATAGCGTTGGCAGCGCCGGTGTAAGAGGGAGGAGTGGCAACGGGGGTGCCAGCAGGGCTGGTGGGGGTAACCGGGACACTGCAGCTTGTTAGCATCCAAGTTCCTGATGGTTGAGAGCATGGCAACTTACCCAGGGGTGCCGGCAACGGGGGCGGAAGCGTAGGGGCCACCAGTGGGGTACGGGACGTAGCCAGTACCAGCCGGGGCGGAAGAAGGAACACCTGGGGTAATGTAAACAGTGCTGGTCGAGATGATGGGTTCACAGGTGTTAGTAGACGAACCGGCGGCCGGGGCGCTCGGGCTAGGGACAGAGCCCTCGACGCCAGACGAAGCGGGGGCGGAGGGAGCGCCGTAGGCGGGGGTACCAGCCGGGGGAGCACCGCCCTCAGGAGTGCCGGCAGCCGGGGCCGAGGGAGTACCAGCGGGAGCGCCGGGGGTCTCGGTGGCAGTGACCGGGCAGATGGTGGTCGAGATGGCGACGGTCTGGGTGACAACGCCCTCAGAGCCAGAGGAGACGATGGTCGAGTAGATGGTCGAGGTCGACGACTGGGCCGGGGCAGAGGGGGCGGAGGTCACGCCCTCAACCTCAGAGGAGGCGGGGACGGAAGCCTCGGGGGTGCCGTAGGCCGGGGCCGAGGGGACGGCGGTGGCGGCGGAGCTGGCCGGGCAGTTGGTGACCTCGGGGCCGCAGGAGGTGATGGTGACCTCCTCGGTCTGGTAGACGGTCTTGTCGGGGTTGGGGGCGGCCAGGGCGGCGGCGCCGAAGATAGCAGCAACGGTGAAGGCCTTCATTTTGACGGTGGAAGTTGGTTGGAAAGAAACGGTAAGGTGGGCGCTCGGTTGGTGGAAGAGAGTGAAGTTCTCGAAAGAATGGACGACCGAAGTCAAGAGTTGATTATTGTCGTAGGACTGTGAGCTTGGAGCGTGGAGAGGAAAGAGAGACTTCCAGCGGACGGCGCAGAGCTTGTATATGTGGGCGGGAGATTACTGAGAGCCGGTAGCGCGGACCGTCAGCGGTGCTAGGCCGCCGCCCAGCAGATCGCCGAAGGGCACAGGCAGTGGGCTGTTCCCCTGGCGCCAGCCTGAACTGAGCAGGTCGTCCGCCAGGGCCCCCTCGTATCGGACCTGTCACCCCGGTCCCGCCGGGGCCAACAGCGGCAGGGCCAGCGGTCCGCCCAGCGCCTGTCGACGCCGCCATCGGCCGTCGTGTGAGCATGAGAAACAACGGGCGCCAGCGGGAGGGGCTCTGCGCGCTCACTGGCTCAGGGGCGCCGGGACGCCGTACAGACGCCGCGCGACGGGTTGCCGCTGGCGCGGCCGGGGCGCGCTGATTCGCCGCGTGCATCGGGTTCCTGCATGGCTGTGGGCTGCGTGGAGGGCGGTGACGGCGCTACTAGCGTCAGGGGCAGCGCTTGGCGGGTGTTGCTTGTTTCTCGCTGCAGGCGAATGTCGGCCCCCAGCGCCCGGTTAATGCTGATGCTCGCCGTGCTCCACGCCGCTCTTCCTCGCGCAGCCGCCGGCGCCCATCCCACTCGCCGGCTTTTTTACGCTTATTTCCCTCCGCAGGGCCTGCGTTGGCGGCGGCGCCAACGCTGCGTTTCACCATCGGTGGAGATCTTCATATAAACTGGGGCCGCGCAAGGCTCAGCGCCCCGTCAGCTGCCTGTGGCCTAGCCCGTCGGCCATGTGCGCGTCCATGGAAAAAACGCTTCGAAACAGCGTCATCGAGCCTTGCGTGCTCGCCCTGGCCGCCGCGAAGCCCGCCAGTGCTCGCCGTCAGTGGCGCTGCCCGCGAGCAATTGGGCGCCGCTGCGCCGTGCGCTGACTCGCGCCCGTCGTCCACGCCGCCTTCATTTCCCGCCGGCGAATGGCTCCGTCGAAAGGCGGGGGTCCTATCGATATGACGGCCGCGCCGCACCAGCAGCCACAATTCGAGAATCCCGGAAGTGTTTCCCTCTCCTGACTCCTTACTCTGCACCCCAGTCGCCGCCCTCCTTGCGTATGACTCTGGCCGCCGAGTAGGGCCGGGATGATGTTTGCTCAGTGACGCTTCCAGTAGCAATGTCCGGCGTGCCCTCTGCGCCTCAATTTCAGCCATAACCGTTCGAGCAGCCACGCGCTTGGCCACGCGCCGGCCAGTGTTGGCAGTCGATCCATCCGGCCTACCATCCAGCTTCGCCGAGATGAGCAATGATTTCATTCACCGACCGCATTCTGTTCTTGCCGGCGAACATCACTTCTTGCGCGAGGAAAGGGCTGTTGAAGATTGCGGGAGAATGGCGGGATGCACGCCATTGCACGGTGACGCGTTCTGGTTGCAGATTGCTGCCCGCATGAATCGGGTGCACCGTGTTTCGCGGGATGGGCGCTCGCCTTCCCCCATCGACCTTCTTCAAACCACTTCCACCTTCACGTCCCTCTTCGCGTAGGCCTCGCTACTTTCACTTTCCCCCAAGGGCCTTTTCTCGATCCTGCCTCTGCCGAGTGCATTTAAGATTCTGCTTGGCAACCCGCCTCAAACGCCACACGTCCCAACGCCGAAATGACACGGGCTTCCGCGATACGAACGAACCGCGATACCAGAGCCTCAGCGTGCTCGGGGCCAGTCTAGCCGAACCGATGGAGTCAAGCCGCGCCGACGGCTGCTGGTGCAGCATTGCTTAGCCACCGCGCAACGCTTCAGCACGACCAACAACGACAATCGCATCATCGTGAAATTGTTTTTCAAAAACGGACGACAACGGCCTTCACCGCTATATGGATGCGTTTCAGGTTCGACGCCAAGATTGCAGCAATATATTCACGGGCCAGACCGGTCATGGATCTCGCCTATTACGACTCAATGAAATTTACGCACTCTAACCTACTTTCACTCTCACCTATAAACAACGCAGAGTCCTCCAACGCGCGCATGGTGCCTCTGTGGAGCAGAACAATGCGCGCCGTTCTTGTGAAGAGCTATTCGTTGGCATGGTCGGGTATCGGCAGCTCAGGCCAAACACCAGTCAGGGGTTTAGGCTCTGCCAAGCATCGCAGCAGTTGTCGAAGATATGATTCTTTCGAGCAATCATTCTCATCACTCATTGTCTGTGGTCCAGATTAACGTTGTGCACAGGAAAACTAGTGTGCGGAGACAATCTCGTATCTAAGTGGCGACGCTTCGTATTGCGGCAGCTAGAGTCCTCTTCACGGTTGACCCGCCGATACGAGGCGATCCCCTCCTCACGAACTTTATCGTGAATCCCCTTCGGTACGGACGATCCTCGTATACAGACTCCACGGATCAGATGCGGTACGGGAGATCAGTGTGGACGGCGCACCGTGAAGCAGGGGCGCGATTTCAGTATAAAAAGACGATGTTTCTGCCAGTATGGTGGAGTTCCCGTCCGATGGACTTTCTCGAGAGGCGTCGCCGAAACCGGGATGTTGCTACGTTGGATTTTTGCCAAGATCCCGGGAAAGGAACTCGTTTTTAACTTCTATTACGTGCAGGCCATGCGCATCACTATGAGCAAAAGCGGAGCATTTCTTGAAAATGGAACCCTTCAAACCCAACCTTTGAGGCCCTTTGAATCCACCTACAAGAGTTGACAGGGAGCGATTTTTCTTGATTCGCCACTATCCATGCTTGTGCGAAATAGGGGAGGTGCTCTATGAACATCACCCACAGGCTGCACTGCATAAAAGGGGAAGCCAAAGCTTTGCCGAAGGGGCGAGACCGTCAGAATGATCCTCCCATCTTAGACGCCTGATCCTCACGCGGATCTTCCACATCCCCGAAAACTCCACGGCTGATGAGTGAACGCCTCATGTTCCCTCGTCCTTCTGTTTTTCTTGGCGACGAGTTCTGCGCTCAACATTCCAGCATTGCTTCTTTGGGATGTAGTGGTCTATTGACTGCTATGTATAGTAACCGAAACCCACCTTTCCAGACGCGGTCGGACCTGCAAATCACAACCCCACGGGCGGGAGAACGTCTGGAGCAAAGAGCAATCGCATCATCGCCTTACAAAAAACCTCTCTTATCATCCTTGTTCCTAGTGGCGGCGCTTATCCACATCTCGACTGCACGTGCGATAGCGGGTAACCGACGTCACGTTTTCGGTTGATCGTTATTTACCCGCGCCGCCAAGCGCGTCGACCGGTGTGCTTAGATCCATCTTCGCCCTTGTTCAACAACACGAGCTCGACGCGCGTCTCTGTCGTCTTGTCGCACCTGCGCCAATACTCGGCCTGCACAGCCGCTGCCCGCGGCATCCTTTTCAGCTCTCGCAGTCTTCTCTACAAGGAAAGGATTGCTGCGCTGAGCTGCGCTGTTCGGATCGCGCTTTCCAGTACCCTGGGTGCGGCCAAGCGTGCGGTACGCCGAGTCTTCCGAACAACACTCTTTGGGGAAATGGAGCTCGGGTCCATGCTCGCACGGTGCAGTCTTTTCGAATGGTCTGGCCCCCCGCGCAGGATTCAAACCATTGGCGGCTGTCTGCATGTCAATAAAGATGCAATACACCATTTCAATCGGCGACGGGGATGTTTCATCGAGGGTGATTGGTGGCAGCGGATATTTGCGGCTGACGCACCCTCCCGCACCGTGCTTCTCAAGGGAGAAGGTGTCCCAGGATGTGGCTGCCGTAAGCCCGAGATGCCTGTGCTTTCGTAGAACGCCTGAGTGCGTTGGACAATGTTTCGGATAGTAGCCTTCATGACCGCCTTGACCTGTTTCTAGAGGCGCTTTGGACCTGTGCTATCGTGGCAGATAGCTGTGGCGGAGGCGCGACCAGTGCTGGGAGCGAAAAGTGAGCATTGCGGGCTCCTCGGGCGTCGCAGGCTTGAGACGGTGGCCACTTGCGCCTTGGCGTCTCGTCCTTGGTCTGCTTGCCAAAGCTTCGCTGCTGTTTGCTGCTGGGCTGCTTCAAGATGTGTTGTCAATGATGGACAGTCCTGTCCAGAAATGCATGCCGTGCTAGCCCGCCCTCACTATGCCGGTGCTGCTAAGTCGATCCTTTCTATCCACTGTAATTGTGGAAGCTCAGCATCTGAATCACTTGATGATATCATACTCAACAAGTGCTTTCCGTCAAGGGTACTTCAGGCCCATCCCTCAGCAAAAACAAGCGCAAGCGGCCAGTCTTGTTGTTAGAACTTCCGAAGGTTGGCAAACATATATTCGGCTACAGTAATGCAGTTCAGAGCCATACTGGACTTGTCAAATATGTAGGTTGAGGTTTTCTATTGAATTGGGGCCGGTAACGGCGCTGGCCGTTCTCGTGAAGGTCAATCGAGCTTGGATCCCTCCCAGATGACTCTCGTGGAAGACACATGATATCATGTCGCGGGATAAAGCAAATCATGGATGTGATTGTCTCTTTATAAAGAGCAAGTATTCGACTCTCTTTTACTCGAGGATGCTAATTTGCGGTGCGTAGCAACCGAGGAATCAGCACCTGTCACTAGGCGGTCTTGTTACCGCCATGTTTGACTTTCGTTGGAAGGAAGGGATGTAGAAGATGAAGACGCGAAGTGCTCATCACTCTTGCATCTTAGTGATCAGCATAACAAGACACGACCACAGCACTGCATCGTGTAGCAAGTACAGCGAACAGTAGGAAATGACGGTACTGGAGAACGCAACACTCGCTACTCCTAACCGAGTCTGGCGTTTAGATGAAGTGACGGGACCAACAGCAGTTGCTGGCTGTGGATTGTGGTATCAACTCGGCACATATAGTGTGCTTAGTATACTGGTGGATGACCCCGCAGCCGTGTTCACTCATGCAGAGGCTTTATGGAGACAATCACTTCCGTCCTCCACGGGGCCAATTCAGGGACCAGGGGACGTGCAGGAACGCTCATAACATTTCAAATAACATTGAACAGAACAAATTCCACTCGAACCAACAGCAACTTGCAAAGATTCAAGTCGAACAAGCCTCTCAAAACTGGTGCCGGTTCTTCCTCGGTTCACATCCAGCCACTCCTCGAACTGTATACATGCGGGATACAATAGCCAGAGCACTATATGATAGCATATACAGCACTTTCTAACGATGCTAAGCATGTGCATCATGGGGCGAATGTGATGACTGTCCAGGTGCTGCTGCAAAGCACGGGGCGCGGGAAAAGTGCGAACGTTGTGGGCGCGATCGTTGATGAACATTTGCCATGAGTGTTTGATGCGCTAGTGGTCGTCCTGGTGGATCCGGAACTTCAGATTGATGCTGCGAGAACACTTTATTAGAAACCCCAGCCCGTCGGAGGTTTGCTCTAGCCGATCCTTAATCATCGCGATCTGTTCTGCAATGATCGTCCTCCAACATCTGCAGACTTTTAGCAGTAGAAGGGTGACTTTGAGAAGAGCAATGATTTGCGACCAGTGGCTCACTCACATAATATAGCGCGGCCTATATAGTCAAAGTAAGCGAGGGACAAGGACGGAGGTTACTGTGCTCAGACCAACCGCTCGCATAGCTATAGCGGGATGTCAGAAACGTCTGGCGTAACATCAAGCATAACCAAAGCCGCTTGAAAACGACCATCACAATGTGCGTCGAAACATTTGAGTTGCGATCGTTTGACAGTGCTGATCGACGCCATGCTAAGGTTTTCCAGTTTATACTAAGCCGTGTGTAATTTAGAGCGAGTGGAATCGATAGTCGATTCTGTAGAAACAAGCACGGACATGTAATGCTCGACATAGTTAGCACCTCAGACGTTTCTTAATGTGACAGATGAGGGCGAATCTTGCGTCGGTTAACCTAGAAATCCATTGGCCCTTTACCGTGTGTTTTCTAAAACGCCAGCTCAACGAAAACACTCAGCGGCCAACACTGTCCGCAAGCTGCCTTGATCGATTACACCTATTCAAGGTAACGGGGCCGTTGACCTTGTTAATGGCTGGCATTCGGCAGGGTGGACATCAATTTTCGAACGGCACACGGCAAATGCAATCTGACTTTGAACGTTGAAAGAGAATTCAAGCATGAAATCATTTGCTTGGCTGAAATCTTTTCCATTCACCCATGGTCCGTAAGTCTGAAAAGCCATTATTTTTGTTGGCTCACAGGAAATAATCAGATGACTCCGTGACCAAACGTCGTGAAATGCAGAAAATCGACCTCCCCATACGCGCTTCCTTGACCACCCGGTCTCCTTTTTGAACAATCTTACTCCTGAGCGGCGAACTCAGCAGGAGCCTCCTGGCCCTCCTGCTCGGCCTGCTCGGCCAGCCTCTGCTGCTCAGCGGCCTGCTGAGCGGCAATAGCCTTGGCGCCGTAGTCCTGGGACATGGGCTGGACGATAGGCTGCTCCTCCTTGGGCTCGATGATGGTGACGGAGTCAGGGAGAGACTTCTGGGGGCCGGCCTTGCCCTCGGGGTCAGAGCCGCGCATGATCTTGACCTTGATACCAAGGACACCCTGGCGGAGAAGGACGTGGCGGGTGGCGGTGTCGATGAAGTCCTGGGCGGGCTGGCCGGAGTGGATCATGAAGCCATCCTGCGTTTTGTTAGAAAAGTGGTACCAGTGACTCCAAGTTGGCTTAAACGTACAGTGAACTTCATGGACTTGGCACGGGCGGCCCTGAGCTTGCCGGAGACGACAACCTCGCAACCCTTGGCGCCAGACTCCATGATGAAGCGCAGGACACCGTAGCATGCCCTCCTGACGGCAAGACCGTTGAGGAGCTTGTACCTCAGGGACTCGCACTGAGCGACAGCGGACAGACCACGGTTGGAGACCTTGGCGGCGTAGAGGGAGACGGAGTTCTCGGGGAACTTGAAGCGCTTCTGGATGAGGGAGGTGAGCTCGCGGATGCGGCGACCCTGCTCACCAAGAACCTCCTGGGTGTGGGTGGCGCGGATGATGATGTCGGTGACGGTGGGCGTGACGCGGACCTCGACGCCAGAGTAACCCTCCTCAGCGAGCTCGCGCTGGAAGAACTCGTTCAGCTCGGCGTAGAAGACACCATCTGTACCGCTGCTTGTCAGCATCGATTGCCCAGCCGCCAATTCATGTGTCGATGATTCCAACGCCCCGCGCACACACGGGTGCGCCCAGCAGTCGAATTCCTTGCGCACGCCAGCGCGCCATTTCCTCCATCCGGCAAAAGCAATCAACGAGCGAACGAAATTGGGAGCGTACCAGCGACGAACTTTCTCCTCTTGGAACTGTGGAATCGTTAGCGAGAGCGTTGGTGGTGGTGACGGGCGTGCAGCAACATACATCTGAGCACCAGCGGCGGCGGCCATTTTGACTGTATGGACTGAGGATGATTCTACACCTGGGGGTAGAATCTAGGCTATGGGGGTCGGTCGGGTTGTCGTCCGTAGGTGGAGAGTCGCGGCGTCGAGGTTCACAAAACCAATTTTGGGCGGAGGTTAGAATGCTGGTGTGCGAGCAGCCGATGGTCAGTGCGCGCGCTTGCCATGCCGCGCCGAGGATTACCCATTTGGAGCTCCCACAAAGTCGTTGCCGCAAGATCCAGTTCTAATGCGCAGCCCCGCGAGTGCAACACATGTGGTCGCAAATGGAATTAGCGAATGATGCGCCATGAGCGCCATGTTGCTCGCGTGAGCTACCTCATCGTCGCTGCGGCTTCTTTATTTGCATGTGTGATGGCCACGTCCTAGGCCGTACGTGTGACCGGTCTGGAAAGGGCAAGCCGGCCAGGACTAGTGGGCGTGCGCCCAGCGCAGTTTGCACTGTTTGCCCAAGGCCCGCGTCACAAGGGGCCGTATCGATATCACAGGTCGGCGCCGCGTCGAGTCTTGGCCCGACGAGCGCGGGCTATGCTGTCATTTGCCCGCTTCCAACCATCACCCCGGACTGCTCTTGAGGCGAAGAACCGCGCCATACCTCGACTGCTGCAGGCTGACACTTATCGTTACGAAGCTCCACGCCAGACTCTCCCGCACCCTCGTTTCTTTGACAAGCTCAGCGCCCATACCGCCCTGCTTGTTCATGTAGTGGGGCTACCGCCTTTTGCACTCCCACCATGGACAGCAGAATCCGCGTCTCCAAGGTATGTCGACAGCCCCCGCATCCTCGGCATATGCTAATCGTAGCTCAGGTCGACAATGTCGCTTGTTGGCGGGTGGGCCGCGGCATCGACGGGACACTCCACTTGCAGCTGCATCACCTCGTTTTCAGATACCCTGGCCCGGGCCAACCCGCTGACGGCTCCGCAGCCACACCCGCCCAGCGACCCAAGGAGATGTGGGTTGCGTATCCTATGATCTCGCGCTGTTCATACCGACCATCACCGTTGATGCACAGCCCGCCCGCAATCCGCGTGCAGTGCCGCGACTTCACCTTTTTCTCCCTCCATTTCCGCAAAGAATCAGATGCGCGCGATGTCTACGATACCATAAGGTGCCTTACTTGCAAGGTTGGAAATGTGGAGAAGCTGTACGCCTTCTCTTTCAGGTCTCCCGAGCCCGAGAGAGCCATCGGCGGGTGGAAGATCTACGACCCAAGGCAGGAATTCAAGCGTCTGGGTATCAGCGCAAAGGACACGGACAAAGGGTGGAGGATAACAGATATCAATCACGACTACCAGGCAAGAGGCATCTAAACGGCTTGTTACGGTGCTGGAGAACTGATGTTGCTACAGTATTCCCCGACTTATCCTTCAGTGTTGGCGGTACCCTCAGTCATTTCGGACATGACGTTAAAATACGCCCGAGACTTCCGTTCGCGAGCGAGAATACCAGCCCTGGTGTACCTGCATCCGATAAACAACTGTTCTATCACGAGAAGCTCTCAGCCGCTGCCGGGACTCCAGCGTAAACGCAACCCTCAAGACGAGAAGCTGATCGCCGCTATCTTCGCGACATCGAGACCAAATGGCGAAGTCTGGCAATCTGACTCCCTCCAACCCTCACCTACGTCTACACCAAAGCCGTCAGGTAGCCCGGAACCAAGCACCGACAATCTCCCAGCCACCAGCGGTGAGAGTTCATTCGTGGTAGCTGCGGAGGACGAGATGTTATCGAATGCTACTCAACAGCCCATTAGCGTTGGACGAATGTATGGCGCACAACAGAAGAACTTGATTGTGGATGCCCGGCCAAGGCTAAACGCGACGGTCAACTCTGCAATTGGGAAAGGTTCTGAAGATATGGCTCATTACGGAGCGGCTACAAAGGCGTATCTGGGCATTGCTAACATTCACGTAATGCGCAACTCGCTCAACAAGATTGTGGATGCCTTGAAGCACGCCGACGTGTCGACTGTGCCGCCAAACCGAGAACAACTGGCTAGGAGTGGATGGCTGGAGCACATTATCGGGATCATGGATGGAGCGAGGATATGCACAAAGGCAATTGCTATCGATCATTCTCATGTCCTTATCCACTGCTCAGACGGCTGGGATCGCACGAGCCAGCTTAGTGCACTGGCCCAACTGTGCCTGGACCCTTATTATCGTACGTTGGAGGGTTTCATTGTCCTGGTCGAGAAGGACTGGCTTTCCTTTGGGCATCAGTTCCGGCAGCGCTCTGGCCTTTTGAACAGCGATAAATGGTTCGAGATCGAAAATGAGCGCATTGGAGGCAGCGACGCTGGCACCCCTGGCGCAGGAGGAGCCAATGCATTCGAGAATGCCCTGCTGAGCGCCAAAGGGTTCTTTGGCAATAAGAAAAATGACAGTAGGGAGTCGCTGGCTGAATCGGAGGGCGACGTCAGAGTCGACTCTCCAAGCCCGAGGTCGAATGGATCCAAACCTCCGGACAAGGTTCAGGTCACCAAGACGGATGAAGTCAGCCCTGTATTCCATCAATTCTTGGATGCAACCTACCAGCTCCTCTACCAGAATCCAACGCGGTTCGAGTTCAACGAGCGTTTCTTGAGGCGCTTGCTCTACCATGTCTACTCTTGCCAATATGGCACGTTTCTTTTCGACAACGAGAAAGAACGTGTCGACTACAAAGCTTACGAGCGGACCCAAAGCGTGTGGGACTTCTTCCTTGCTCGCAAGAAAATGTTCTTGAACGACAAGTATGACCCGGAGGTGGATGATCGGGTCCGGGGCAAGGAGCGCATCTTCTTACCCGATATTACGAAAGTAAGGTGGTGGGCAGAGGCTTTTGGCCGCAAGGATGAAGAACTCAATGGCACCGGACCTGTGCTCCCGCCACAGAGTGCCCCAGTTCTATACGGAGTCGAGAGTGCGAACCCGGCGACGGGGGCGACGGTAAGACAGGAGCTTAGCGCCAACGAGAGCTCGTTTAACGGAGAGCCCGAAATGTCGGCAAGCTTTTCAAACTTGTCGATAGGACGAGCCAGCCCGACTCCGAGTCGCAGCCCGAGCAGGGGCCCCAGCCCCAGCAGAGGCCCTAGTCCTGGCGCTGGTCCTGGTCCTGGTCCTGGCCGGGAAGCGACGCTGAGCGCAGTTGCACCGAAGCAAATGGAGCTTGGAGCACATTCTCACAGGGACGCAGCAGCAGCTCTGCATACGATGCAATGAACGGTTTAGAGCAAGGAGTTTCGGGGTTCGGAGGCATGGTTGGCGCCTATGGGTACCGTGTGGTGCTTGTCTATTTCAAAGCGTTGGTTTTTTGTTTGGCTTGGAGGCCACATACAAGACTCACTCAATTCAGCATTTCCGTGTTAGCAATTTTGACGTCCTATGGGCTTTTTGTCGTTTCCTTGCACTTGCATTAAATAGCGCCGAGATGCAGCCATGACCCTTGCAACGAGCTGTAAGACGCAGCTGAACGTCTATCCACTACGTCACTCACGGCTCGACCTCCGTCGGGTCTCAACGCGTGAGTTGGGGCTGTGCTGCATTTGATCATCAATCAGAGTAGACCAAAACAGAACCTGCGATGCACGTACCTGCAGGCCGCCTTCCGCGGATCTTCAACGCCAATGCCGTGCTTCCGCTCGCTGTCAGGTTTTAGTCGCTTTAGGCTTACAATAAGTCCATGACCGCTTCCCTCACTTTTCCACCTTTCTTCTCTTCCACCAAGCCTGTCGACCTCCAAACTCGCACGTGATGGACAAGTACCTTAGCAGAGCAAAGTCCAAACTCCAGGACAAGCTTCAACCCTTTCTCAATGACTCCTCGGACAGCCAACATCACCACCACGGACCTCCGCCCATACCGCCGAAACCTCTGATCCCGCTCACGTCCCAGCAAACAGACCGCCCCTCATCCATCACCCGCGTCACGCCTCTCGACGTCCTGCGCTACCGCTACCAGCACGGCGCCAACCTGGGTTCCATCTATGTGCTCGAGAAATGGTTGTTCCCCGGCATGTTCCCCGGATCGTGCTCCGGGCACGGAAAGAGCAGTGAGCTGGCGGCGGTGAAGGCGAACGTCGAGGAGTTGGGCATGGACGGAGCGAGGGAAAAGTTTGAGAGGCACTGGGCAAACGCAGTGACGGATGCGGACCTGGACTGGTTGGTCGGAAAAGCGAAATGTGAGTTTCTTTCCATTACTCGTTGTCTTTCCTCCGCTGCAAATCTGCATTTACGAGCTACCAATTTAATGCACTCAATTTTCTTTACTTTCTTCATCTCTTTCAGCGTTCCCACAATGACCTATATGCAACGGAGGTCCCCACGCTAATACCGTTCCACCAGGCAACACCATCCGTCTGCCCATCGGCTACTTCACCCTCGGGCCCGCCTTCCTCGACTCGCCATCAGACCCGTTCCACCGCTACAGCCCCGTCTACGCCAACGCCTGGGCGTCCGTCCGCAAGCTGGTCTCGCGGCTGCGCGCGCGGGGCATCGGAACGCTGCTGGACCTGCACGGCCTGCCGGGCGGGGCGAACGGGTGCGACCACAGCGGCACCGACACGGGGCGCGCCGAGCACTGGAAGTCGGGCGCGTGCCGGGCGCACTCGACGCGCGCGCTGGCGTGGATCGCCGAGCAGGTGCGCGACGACGCGGCGCTGCGCGAGGGCGTCGTCGGCCTGCAGCTCGTCAACGAGGCCGAGTGGGGCGCAAAGGGCCTGTGGGACTGGTACGACGGCGTCGTGCGCGCCGTCGCGGCCGTCGACCCAGCGCTGCCGCTGTACGTGAGCGACGCGTGGGATCTGGGCAAGGCGGTCGACTGGGCGGCCGGCGCGAACAAGGTCGGCGTCGGGGCCAGGGTGGCGCCGGTGGTGGTGGACACGCATCTGTACTGGTGCTTTGCGGACAAGCACAAGAAGATGAGCCCGGAGGAGGTGCTGCGCGATGCGAGGGGGAAGCTGGCCCAGCTCGACGCGAAGGAGGGGGATGTGCTGAAGAACGGCGCGGTGGCGGCGGTGGTGGGGGAGTACAGCTGCGTCTTGAGCGAGGATACGTGGAAGAAGGGCGGGCAGCAGAAGAGCAGGGATGAGTGGGTGAGGGAGTTCGGACAGGCGCTAAGCGGGCGGCTCCAACAAAAGGCCATGGGCAGTCACTTTTGGACGTACAAGATGTCGTGGATGCCTGGAGGCGAATGGGGCTTCAAGGCATGCACGGAGAAGGGCGCCATCACACCGCATTGGACTCTGACCATGTCGGCGGAGGACGTCCATCAGAGGCTTGAAGTGGCGCAGGCGCAGAAAGACGAGCGGTTTGGGAAGACGTTTGCACAGCATTGCGAGTACTGGGACAAAACTTCTCCAGGAACGCCGTTCGAGCACTGGCGGTATGAGCAAGGGTGGAAGCAGGGCTTCGACGATGCCGCCGCCTTCTTTGGCATGCGCGTCAATGGTGCATATGGGGATTTGGCGACGTTAGGAGACGGTGGTGCAGGTGGGGGGATTGGCGGTGACAAGATTGGGAATTTGGAGGTTTGGGTGCGTAGGAGGTTGATCGAGAGCGGTATGGGTGGTCCATATGTGTGGGAGTATGAGCAGGGTCTGAGGAAAGGTGTCGGTGAGTTCTGTGAGCTTGCAGGTGGCCTGTAAAGGCTTCTCTGAAAGACCTGTCACAGTCTCGAGAATCAAGTTGGCCCATGATGACTTCATAGAGAAACGAAAAGGAAAAAAACATAGAAAATTTAAATGATATCCAACAGTCTGCTCGACATCGTGTGGTACTTGCAGACAAGCATGTATAGGAAACTTGTCCAAGTTCAAAATGATTTAATGTAAAGCGAGTACGACTTTGAACTAAAAAGTATGTGAATTGTAAGGCTAGTAATACTCCTGATATGCAAATTTAGCCATGGATGCTGTAGGAACTGCTGGAAATGTTTGATAGTACAGTCGTTGGTGAACAGATGTGTCATGACCATCACACCACATGCTACTGTCACCGTCCCATCAGCATGCCCACCACCGTAACTGCTGCGCTAAAGCTCCAGCCCACTGCGAGTCTCTCTAGCGACTTGATGATCTGAGCTGTGGAGCTGATAGCCTCGTTGTAGCCCTCAACAAATGGTACCTTTGCCTTGCTTCCCCAAAACCCGGCAACATGTGAGCGTGTGAGCAGTGTATTGGCGATATTTCCCGCATTAAGTCCGATGGAGAGCCATGGCGACGAGGAAGGGTGCGAAGACTCGCCCGGACGGACAGCGGTGTAGAGGAGGAATGAGGAAGTAAGAAGAGAGGTGAGGGCCTGGAACTTGTCATTAGTCGTCGGCAAGTCCAGAAACTAAAAAGGGTCTTACCGTTACAAGAGCATTTCCTTGGGTCGTGCGAGTCTTGTGCAGCTGCTCTGCGGCGGTTGCAGAGTATTCTGCTGCCTTCTCTGACTGTTTCTCGTACTGCTTCAGGGCCTTGATGGAGACGAAGCAGAAATAGAGCGTGTATGCGCTTCCAGCCGCTTGCACGAGGTGGATGACTGGGAGTACCTTGTCCATGGTAGATGCTTGTTCTTGGCTCTCGGAATAGGAGTGTGAGTAGGGACGGGACACTGGCGTGCGCCACGTCGAAAAAGTATAGAATCAAGCAATGACGTAGCCGCAATGAGCTTGGCACGGGCGGGGCGTAGGGCTGAGATTGGCACAGGGGTCCAAGGGCCTTCTTCGAACGCCTCTTCTCTCATTGGACGTTTCCCTAACCCATGCTTCCTCGTGTAACGCGGGGATCTGATTTCTAGAAGGTGATTTATCCTCTTTCTCTTGTGAAGAAGAGAAGTCCTCAGACATGAACGCCAAATGTAGACAGGTTGCTCCTTGTCTTCTTCGACGATTTTCATCACTCTAATATATTCTACAAACAGACAACCTTTAGCGACCCCTTCTCACCCCTGAGATTGGAAGAGAAATTTGCATGCGGGAAGCGGGAGATTACTTGGCTGCATAGGTGTGTCGATCGAACAGCCTTTGCTTCAACTGTTGGACCTATTATGGCTGCATTTTTCTGCCTCTATTGGCAATGTGCATGTAACTGACTTCTCAGAAGTTCGTCAGTTTCCAGGCGTTTTTGACCTCAATGATGAGGGCATGTCTCTTCTTCCGCTCTTCTTGTATTCAGAGAATCAGGAAAAGAGGAATCACTTCTTCTCTCCCTTGCCACCCTCGCTCTCAAGAATATCCTTGATGCTGACCATACCGCTTCCTCGGGGAAGAGGCTGCGATTGATTCGGGCCTTCCTTCCAGCCGATCATGTAGATGAGCCTGAAAGTTGCCGGCAGAGTACCTTCCGCGTCTTCGTTTCCATGGAGAGCTCTGTAGATACCCTCAGCAGCTAAGAGCACATCCCTCCTGATCGGACCCATTTCGCGGCCCAGCACTGCATTGTTTTCTCCCATTGCCTGAAGATCGGTCATGAGCGCAAAGATATTCGGGTAGTCCACAATAATGTCGTCAACATCGACCGTGAGAAGCTTGAAACCCGCACCCTGCAGTAAGCCGCCAACATCTCGAACGTCAGCAAGCGGAGAGGTCCGCGTGCTAACACCACCCCGTCGATCCAGCTCTGCAAGCTGCAAGCTCGTTCGCAGCTCAAAGAGACTGTCTCCACCAAGCATCACGCCCAGGAATGGAGCATCCGGCTTCAAAATGTTGTTTATCTGCCTCAAGACCGAAGGCAGGTCGTTTATCCAATGAAGAGACAGGCTGCTGAGCACGGCATCGAAGGATTCGGGCTCGAATGGTAGACTCTCCTCGTCAGTCAGAACTTGACGAGTCATCTTTATCTCATTGTTGAAAGGCTGGTCGGCATCGCGGTAGAGCATGGTCGGTGATGAGTCGACAGCGATCAGTTCTCCAATGCGGGTAGAGAGCGGCTCGCTGACAGGTTTCATAGAGGTACTGTCAGGGTCTGGCTGCGTAAGAATGCGACCGATGTTGCAAGCGTTCGCGCCCAGGTCTAGTACGCGGTCGAAGCGACGGTTGATGTCCTATACGGAGCAGCGTAAGTATAGTTAGGGTGTAGAGACGGCTGGTGATTGGTGTACCAGAAGACGCTCGCATAATCTGAATGCCGTCTCATCCCTCAGATAGTCGACTTGCCTGCTCTTCTCGGTATTGGCGGCGGCGCGCTCCCTCTGTAGCACCTTGGTACGACGATTGAAGACCTCGAAAGTCGGCGCGCCAGGTGCTTGCACGGCGTAGCAGCGCCGGGCAGCGAAGCGTACCCTGCGTGCACCCGGGGGAGGGATCAGACTTCGGACGGAGAATGGCCTCATTATGGATAAGTTAGAGGGTATGTTAGCCCCAGGGTGGAGGCCAATGGAGAGAACAAGGGGGTGGTGAAGGTGCGCAGCTCATGACGCAGTGGAAAGAAATGGCCGGTGACAGCGGGGAAAGGGTCCAAGCTCCGACTGCGACGCGGATTCTGGCCGCGTTCGCGTCGGCCTCGACTGCACAACTCCAACACACCGCCCGCCATGGCTCAGGCCTTCCCCTACACTTTCTACTCGTGTCCTTGTGTCGACACCTCGACTCCGAGCTCTCGCGTGCGTGACAAGCGCTCCTCGCAGTATTCAACCCACACCAAGGAAGAAGAAGACCGCACCTTCGACCCACGCAATCCTCGCTCCAACTTCTCTCTGTATCCGCTCGAGCACCTGTTGTACTGCGAAGACTGTCACCAGATACGCTGTCCACGATGCGTCAGCGAAGAGGTCATCACCTGGTTCTGCCCCAGCTGCTTGTTTGAGGTTCCCAGCAGCAATATCCGGAGCGATGGAAACAGGTACATTGGAGAGATCCCGTGCACGCCAACTTCAACTGACAAAATCCATGTAGATGTATGCGAAGTTGCTACAACTGCCCTATCTGCACCGCTCCCATGATTGTAAACTCTCTAGACTCAGAGAACGAAAAGCATGTCCGCCTCGGTGAAGACGGTGAGGCAGTCCAGCCGCCCGGTCCTTTCTATCTATCATGTCCATACTGCCAATGGAGCACACTCGAGATTGGCGTCGAGTTCGAGAAACCCAACAACATCTCCGGTCAACTGGCTCGTCTTGCAAACGGAGGAAAGACGGTGCCTACGCTTCGAGAGCGGGAAAAGGCCCGCGACAAGCGCAAAGAGGCCGAAGAAAACGGAAAGAAGCACGACGATGAGGAAGATGACGGTATACCAGACGAGGACTTGCCCATGGACCACGATATACGCTTTTCGAACTTGAGCGCTTTCTACAAGTCCCAGCTGCAAACCGACACAATGGGAGGCGGGTACGGCGATTATGGTTACGGCTCATCAAGCACCTTGTCGCGCATCATGAGCATGTACAGCGGCAGCGGTGCCAAGAAGTCGAAGAAGGACAGACCTTCAGCTATGAGAGAAGCTTTCGGGTCCGATGAGGGTTTCCAAGTCCACAATCGCTCTTCGGAAGACGAGATCATAAGACGCATGCGGGAAGTTGGTTGGGAAGGGACCATCAGCCCGGACCAGCGTCAAAGCCAGATCCATGCCGACGTACGCTTCGCAGCTGACCTGCGGCCCGTCCCTACCCTTCTCCGCACCAAACGTGCCAAGCGATGCAGAACATGCCGACACATCCTAGCCAGACCGGAGACAAAGATTTCAAGCTCACGCTACAAGATCAAGCTGCTGGCTCTCAACAACATCCCGCAAATCTCGCTGAAGGCACTACCACGCCAGGCCGAAACGGCCGTCCCCGGCATAACTGCGCCAGTTGCCTTCGACTACAACAAGCTCCAGCCGTTCATGGCAAATCACTTCATTCTCACCATCCGCAATCCGCTGTTCGACCCCATCCACGTGACCCTAGCCACGCCGGCCATCACACCCGGCCGGATCCAAAGCAAAGTCACCGTCCTTTGCCCGGAGTTCGAAGTGGGCGCCAACACGGACGTGTGGGACGAGGCGCTGACGGGGCCCGGCGCAACGCAGAAAAAGTCGCAGGCGCCCTCGTCGATAGAGCTGGGCGCCTCTAACCCGGCCACGCAGGCCGAGGCCGGCAAGGTCTGGGAGCGCGGCCGCAACTGGACGAGCGTCGTACTCGAGGTCGTGCCCGACAAGGCCGACCCGGCCGACCTCGACGGCGGCCTCGACGAGGACGAGGACGTCCTCGAGATCCCCATGTTCGTGCGCATCGAGTACGAGACGGACGTCACGGGCGACGACATCAAGGAGAAGGACCGCGAAAAGGGCAAAGAGTCCGGCGCCGACGGCAGGGTCAAGCGCGAGGAGGCCTTTTGGTGCCTCCTCGGCGCCGGACGCATCGGCGAGTTGCCTAAGCTGGGTTGATGAAGTCAAAGGAAGAAAAAGAAGATATATCATCCACGTTACACTTCTTAGATGGAGGACCGTTGCATGTGCTGTGGTTGATAGAGAGAGACCGGTCGAAGCTAGTTCGCGTCATGATACCCCTGCTAAGTAATGAAGATCGATGCCCGTTCCTGCCTCAACGTTTGGCACTCTTCCAGAACCCAGCCGACCGTCGCCCTGAAAAGTGGATACTTTAGTCGCCCGAACGCCGAACTATCTGCTATTCCCACCCCTACCGGAGAGACTGAACCCTTGTCCTTCCTTTTCTTTGCCCTTCCACTCCATCCCAGCTTGCTGGATTGGCCACAGCGCAACGGGGTTTCTGCGATCCTTAGAAGCATTCTCGTGGCATTGGAATAACTGCCTGGTTGTCGTCAGCTAAGCCAGGGTTCTCCTACGTGAGAATATGCCTGGATCTGTTCTACGTGCATTCGTCTCCGCTGGTCTGTTGCGACATTAATTGGAACACGTGACGTATCACCTCCGCCCTGCAGCTTCACCTCCACCTCCACTCCCACCTCCCTGGATTCTTATCGAAGCTTATTCACTGGTATGGCAACTCAACTCTACGAGTGGTTGGCTGCTGGCGAGGGATTAACCTCAGCATATTTCTTAATTAGGAAAGAGCAGCTAGACCCAGCGGAGGTGGGAGTGGAGCTGCAGGGCGGAGGTGGTACGTAACACTAGGGCGATCACATGTAGTCTGCACTCCGAATCATCCTTTTCTCTGTTCAAAAGAGAAATGGACGTGCTGCTTGAAGAAGCGAATATAGTTTAATTCCAGTACTTGGCAGTAATAAATAACAGAACATTAATTTGTGTAATATTGACACAACTTGAAGTGAATTATAAAGCACGAAAGGACACGGACACAAAGGAAATCTAGTGACCACCGACACAATTTGGGTATACGTGGGGGGATAGACGAACCTGGCACCGGCTTCCTAATCCTGCCATTTCTGGAGCCCACCCTAGGAGATAAGAAACACGGAAAGTAGCTTTAAGTTACCCTACTTGATACCCAAATACAACGAAAGAAAAAGCAAGTGGTAGAAGTCATGGAATCAAGGAAATAAATCGAATAGTAGATTGGAGAGAAATTGGAAAAAATGAAATCGAATGTGTTGGCCAACGAATGCAGCTGATTCCCCTCTATCTTGAAGAAACTTTTGGCTCGTCCCAGTTCCTACATTACTCCACTGAAAATGAATAAACAGCCCTCGTGAAACACCATGCTTGAGGAGACGTTGAAGATGAAGTGAAAAAAAAAATAAAAAAAAATGTCGAAAAAAAAACGCCATTTAACCAGCGGTAATCACTTCACCGGCGAGCGCCAGCCAAAACCTCTACATCCTTAATGCCATACCCGAAGTCAAGTAATAGCGCCCTGCCATCTTGGCTAGTTGCCACGATTCTCCGGTAGTCACTCTTGGCGCTCAGGATCCAGCTGGTCGTCCAGTTGTCATAAACCGAAATATCCTCGCCGGTCTCGTAGTCGTACACCCGTATGCTCTGATCGTAGCTACCTGAGAGCACTCGTTTGTTGGGAGTGTCGAGGAAGAGAGAACGCACCAAACCGGTGTGGCCAGTGTACTTCTTGACAACCTGTCCGGTGTTGATATCAAACTTGTAGACAGTCTGGTCATTGCCCCCGGCGAGGACGTATTTGGCATCATCGCTGAACTCGACAGCGGCAAGACCTCGATCACCGCTCCTCAGTTCCTTGACGAAAGCCTTGGTCTTGATGTTCCAGAGCATTGCGGCACCGTCGCCACTAGCAGAGACAAGAAGGTCGCCACGCATCTGCACGGCGTTGACAGGACCTCGGTGGCCGCGAAGCTGCTTCAGTAGCTCGCCGGTATTGCGATCCCAAATACAGATAGAGTTGTCCTTACTGCAGGAGATGATGTACCTGCTGTCAAAGCACACATCAAGAACACCGGCTTCGTGGGCATTGAGACGCCACTTGGGTTCCCAAGTCTTGATATCCCAGACGATGCAGGAGCTGTCCGAGGATCCGGTGACGACGATCTCATCGTCAAACTGCAAGCACAAGATGCTGGCCGAGTGATAGAAGGCGGGCTGGTGGTAAATGGCATGGCCCTCGGGGGTGCCGTTGACCGAAGGGATGTTACTCTCGGTGTACTGACGCTTGATGTCCAGAGCTGGGGGGGTGTTGGGCTGCGGGCGGGCCTCGGGCCCGCCAATCACCTTCAGGCATTTGTAAGTGTTCAAGTCCCAAACGCGGATGGTGCGATCGCGAGAGCCGGTGATGATCTTGTTTTCATCGAACTGACAGCAGTATACACTGTCGGTGTGGCCATTGAAGTAGACAGCAGCCGGGTGCGAAGACCTCCACCGGCGCTCAATTGTCTTCCGGATCTGATACATCAACTTCCAGTCCTGGTAGGGTTGTGTGGTGCCGGTGCCAACACCACCCATTTGGAGTGGTGGAGGTTCGACGTGGATCTGTTGTTCATACTGGCGGTTGAAGACAACACGCCACACATGGCGGGACTGGGCGGGCTCCCTCCAGCCACGCGACACACGCTCGCAAATGGCGAGGGACGAGGCATCGAGGAACGTGAAGACGTGCTCGGACAGTTCGCGGGGGAATCGTTGGACGAAGTCTGGCAGATTGCGTTAGCATGGGTGATAATAATCTGAGCAAAATTGCAGGGGGAGAGGTACCCATCCGCGGCGGCTGTGCCACCAGCTGGCCCTGGTCATCTCCGATAACACTATCCGTTTCAGACATCTGACCACATGGTGAGACCTTGGAGCGGCTGCGGGAGTGCAGGCTGAGGTTCATGGCGTTGAGCTGATTGGCCGAATCGCGGGCGGCCTGGCCGGTGTTGTGGTCAATGTAGGGCGGGCCCAGCGACGGTGGCGGCAGAGGATTCCAGCGGTCGTTTGCGGGACCCGAGACGGCAGGGCGACGGAACTTCTTCAACGAGCGACGGGCGCTGGCCCAGCGCTTGGGACCCTGGTGTTTGCTGGAGGGGACGGTTTGTGAGGGCTGAAGAGGAGAGGAGGAGGCGAGCGACTCGACGTCGGCGTCCGAAGGGGGATTGGCGAACGACGGCGAACGCTGTGGGCGCATGTCGACGGTAGCTTCCTGGCTGCGGCTGGGTCCGGCGGAAGGAGCGGGTGCGCTCTGGCTCTGGCTTTGGCCGCGGCGATGGATGAGGTCGCGGACGGTGCTGAGGGCGAGCTCGATGTTGTGCAGCGTCGACTGACGGCGGTGGCTCTCCTGGCGGTGGGTATCGTGCGACAGCTTTGCCTCCTTCTCAGGGCCGGCATGGTGCGCGTGGCGCCATGCAGAGGCTTCAGCCTCGACGTCGTGAGGCCCAAAGACCTGGCTCTGCGTGCGCTTGGGCGGGCGCGGGATCTGGTTGTCGGGCTCGGGGTCGGCGGCGGGATGGGCGGACTTGGGGCGGAAGGAGAGGGTGGACCGCCTGCGCTGGACCATGGCGTATAAGTAGTACGAGAGCTGGGGGCGGCCCGGGCTCTCGAATGAGTGACTGAGGGCGAGGTGGATGCGAAAGGAAGGAGCGCTGGAACGGGTGGTCGAAGGAACGGCGCGGAGGCGAGAGGGCGCCGGGCTCGCGGGGCCGGGCGTGGCAGGGTGGGACTGGGAGAAGGGACAGAGGGCAGCGAGCGTGAGGAGTTGGCAGGCAAGTGGTTTTATTGTGGGCGAGGGCGGTGGGTGCAGGTCGTAGTGTGATGGTGAGGAGCCGTAGGGCAAGGCCAGCCAGCGATCGCTTCCGCAGCGCTCGCACACCCCGGCCCTGGGCGCCCCCTTCCGGCCGCCACCTCTAGCCCGTCCTGCCCGCGCGAAACTCGCTACGGGGCACGTCATGCACCCGCCGGAAGCAGAGCCTTCACCAAAGCCCGCTCTTCTGTGCGCAGCACCACCTGCGTGCAGCCCTCAGCCGCGCCCGCGCCACTGCCACGCCGTCCGCCGCTCACCGCCCGCCCCGACGAGCTGGCCTTCTCTCCGCCCCCATGGCCAGCCTCGGCCCGACTCGACCTGCGCAACCACGCCTTTCTGCCCGGCTCCCAGTCGCCGGCTGACGCTCAGTCGCGGGCCACCGCCTGCCCCCGGGCCCCGTGTCGTTCGCCAATCTGTGCCTGCTCTTGCCCTCAACGAGCCTGATCTGCTCAGCCTCCGCATGGCCGGCGTTTCCGCTTTGGGCACTGCGCTGGAATGCAATCAGAGACGGGCAACGTTGCCTTTCATGGCATTCTTGCGATTAGCTGCCTGCAATTTTCCGTGGTGCTGCCTCATGACCGCTCCCTCATTTCCCGCGCTGCCCTCCCTGTCTTCCACTGGCGAGCGCCATGGGACTATCCTCTCATGGGCCCGCTCCGTCCCGATGGGGAAAGAAGCGATGCCCACCACGGTAGCACCGCACGCCAGCCCGTCTAGCTCCCAATCTGCGGGGTATGAGCTGACAAAAGATGTAAAGCCTCATTTTGACACCTCGGCCTTGGAGCCGATGTTCGGATGCGGCCAAGTCTCCACCTTGGCCCTCGATGACGCCCTTCCGATTGCACCGACCCCACAATCCTTGGAGCCAATTTGGACTGCACAATACATTCGAACATATATACATCAGGACAACCTTGCACTCTTCGACTTTCTTCCGCCGCCGCCCTCGGCTGTCTTCCTCTTGCTCGCCCCTTCAGCATGTCCTGGCACATTGTCAGCTTCTCTCTCTACACACTTCCCAATCATACACACCTTTAGTATCTGCGGGCGCAGGCCTCAAGTCTGCGAACTTCGCCCGGCGATACAACTCGTCCTCAGCGTCTACCAAGTTGCGCTCATGCCGTTCAACGAATTTAGCGTCCTGGTCATTATGAAACTCTACTTGTTCTTCCCCCATCGGATAGAGCAGCCCCCCTATTAGCCAAGCGTGATGTTGTTGTAAGAGTTGACTGTCAGTCCGGCTGGGCTTGATTTTGAGCTCTTCTATTGCATCCTTCAACGTGTCCCGGAGTTTGCGAATTGAAGGTCGCCCGTCTGCATTCCAGTCAAGGCACTGACGGAGTATGTCGGCCAGTTTATGTTCCATGTCACCCTGTAGTGGTCGAGGCTTGTACCATTGTTTTTCAGCTGCGGCGTTGTCTTCCCAATGATTCCGGTCATGCGTGGCGGTGTTGCGGAGGAGCCAGCTGGGCTTCCAGTGCTCCAGCTCCCACAAATAGACCCAGTTGGGTCCCTTGAATGATGAGTCATAATTATTGCGCCCATTTTTAGACGGATCGTCCGTGGCCAAGGGGTCATCCTTATACTTAAGAGTCAACTTCTTCCAAATCTTTTCGCTGTCGCGCTTGGGTGGTAAGTCAGCCAAATCTCTGTCATCGCTACTCTCATCGCTGCTCTCATCCGCTTGATATTGTTGCCGATCACAAGCCCAAAAACCTGGCGTTCTACCTTGCCAAAGTTCAAAGATTGTTGCGGCAATTGCGTATACATTGGTGCGGTCCGAGAGCTTACGTGCGAAAGGCACGCCGATGGGAAGATGGTGGTATTGCTCCTGAAAAAATGGATTAGGATCCGATAACATAGAAACTGCCACTTCGAATCATGTGGGCTTCTTACCGGTGCCATGTAATAAAACGTCCCAACTCCAGTGTAATATTCGGGATTATACGGATCGTCAGGATAAGCCTCAATGGCAAGCCCCATATCTCCTAGACAAGGAGTCGGATACTACATTTGATAGTACTGCTGCGTTAGCAAGGGATCTTCCGTGCTGGGGTCATTAAGCGTTCTATTTCTTACCATATCCCATCTTTCCACCTTGTCTTGTGACGGCTCATCCAGGAAAATATTGCCAAATTTGATGTCTCGATGCACAATGGGAATCCATCCATCCTTCCTGCCTCCTGTCTTTTCCATCTCTTCCGCAGGAGGTTCGTTCTCTTCCCCACCCCACCATCCACAGTCCAGGGCTAAGCATGCCTCCGCCAATGAAAGAAAGGCGTAGAAGATAAAATCGAGCGGAATATCATAGTCATGACACGGATCCCGTTCGATCTTAGCTAGTATACCCAAATTGATGCCTTCCATGTAGGGTAGGTAGAGCCTCCATCGTCGTTGGCGGAGATTGATTCGGTGACCGCGTGAGCTTATGAGGTATGGACACGGTGGCTTGATCTTCTTTAGGTGCTCTTGGATCGAAATTTCTTTTGGCAAGCCGTCGCGCCAGTTGAACGGGTCGGTCCACCCAAAGTAGTCCGTCCCCCGCCACTCCTCCTTAACGGCGACTTTCTGCGGCGCAGGTATCGTCAGATCCATATCCAGCAACTTTTCGCACTGTGCATTGCAGATCGCTCGCACTACGCCTGAACGACGACAATAGATGATACTAGTGGATGGCGGAAATCACTTACATCCAGGACCCTGTCCGCTTCGTCAACTTTGTGCCACAACGCCACTTTCCCAAATCCTCCCGCTCCAAGCATTCTCCGATATTCCCATTTCCCACAGCTATGATCCAACACCTCCTGGCCATTCTGCGCCTCGATTGGGGCATCTTTCATTCTCGCATAGCCGATCGCGTCCGTTATATTACGCTCAGGATCATTTCCAGTCATGCGACCTGCCGGATGAAGCCTGTGGTAATGTGGAAATTGGGCTGCCCATGAAGAATAATCGTAGTTGCCGGTTGGATCGTTTCCGCCGTTGATGGATCCGTCGCGAGGCGCTGGTGGAAGGGGGATATAGGCTAGGTTGGGCCAGCGTCTGGCATGCGAGCGGTCGGTTCTCAAATCAGTGTTTTCCTGACGGAGATTGGCGAGCTGGCTTTCAAGGTCCGCGATGCGGGCGGTTTTCGCGGAGGCTGGGGCCGGCGAGTCCTTATCTGGATCACTGCCGGTTGGTTCATTTCCTGGGGCCTCTTCCTCCGGAGCGTTGACGGTTGAAGTCTGTTTTTCAGTCTCTTCTCCTTCAGTTTCCTCTTGCCCCTCAGTATTTTGTCCCTCGGTCTCTTGTCCCTCTGTCTCTTGTTCTGCGGTCTCTTCTTCAGTCTCATCTGGGGGTGGTATGTAGTTCGTGGGATCTTTCTTGAAATCTTCTCGCAATTTTTGGTTCTCAGTCCCCCCCTTGCCACTTTTATAGGAGGGCGGTAAGCGATGTGGAAGTGGCCATGTGAACTCGTGTTCCCCTGCGCGATTGTATTGAAGTTTTTCGTCTTGAGTGAGTACAGTATACCATAGAAATTTAAGACAGCGCTTGATTTCCTCTATTATCCCGTCAGATGATTGAAGAGTCTATAGGTGGGCTTTCTGTAGTAGCGAACTTACCTCCGGTCCATTTGGGTCTTTCTTTTTTTACGTGACTGCCGTGTTCCTCGACGAAACGCCCGATGCTGGTAGACAAAAGCTTTTCCTTTGCCATGGTGATTTGCTGTTGATGGTCGTCTGGAGGTGAGTACAGTCTGCTGATGAGGCGTGGAAGGCAGAGAGAAAGCTGTCTACCAGAAGTTAAAAACCGGGTAAGTCGATTGGCATGGTCGATGACGGATCGGCTTTGCTGACGGAACGCTCTTTGTTGTGAGTTTGCCTAGAAGCATTGCTGGACATTTGCGCCGGAAATGAGTCTTTCGAACAAAAGGACAAAGGCACTGTAGCTGACAGCTGATGGGACCACGGTATAACGTTATGGGTTAAGCGCACAGACATTGGCATAATCTCACAAAGCAGAAACAAATGAATGAAGGAAAGTCGTGGCAATTTCTTGAAGCGGCTGCCTGGACACTGTGGATGAATGGACATTGATTGCTTGCCCTTTGAATTCAGTGCCAAGCTGCGCACGATCGTCGTTTGCAGACTCCATTGTTCCGTGAAGTCTGTTGCTTGCTTGGAGTGACAGAAAGAAGTGGCGATCTCCCACGAAAGGAGTCCAGTACACTGGATCACCCCATAGAGAGTGCATTATTTGGGAAGGTTTCGGGCTAATGGTGGCCGAAGAAATATTCAATGAACCACTAATAGGTCGGCGGATTTGCGAAGAGTGAGTTACACGAAGTGGCAGCTGGTCCGGGAGCAGATCTGCCAGGTAGGCTTGGCACCTATGGTGGAACGGGCGGCATGGCGCGGCCGGGCCGACAATGATCCGCGTCATCGGCACAATCGCTCTCGTGAAATCGACAGCGCGCAAAACTTCAACTGCGACGCGAGACGACCTCCCTCTTTCGACCCGACCGCTCCTCCCGTCGAACAACAATCCGCAACCATGTCGGCCGCCCTGAACAAGATCGCTCCCAACAGCCCCTCGAGGCAGAGCCCCTCCGAGATCGAGACCAGCATTGCCAATGCTCTCTACGACCTCGAGCAGAACATCCCGGACATGAAGGCCTCTCTGCGCCCTCTCCAGTTCGTGTCCGCCCGCGAGGTAAGATGAGACCGCGCGCACCCGCGCCTCGCGACGCATTCGCACACGCACTCCGGATCTCGTCGAGCTGTGGCCAGACAAGACATATCGGAACAATTCGAAGAGGCGGTGGGCACTGGGCGGCAACATTTTGCTGACACCAGGACTCTTATAGATTGAGGTTGGCCACGGCAGGAAGGCGGTCGTCATCTTCGTGCCCGTTCCCCTTCTCCAGGGCTGGCACAAGGTCCAGCAGCGGTGAGCACTCTCGTCCTGTCCATCACGCCTCCCGGTACTGATCACCCCGCAGCCTGACCCGCGAGCTCGAGAAGAAGTTCTCTGACCGCCACGTCCTGATCGTTGCTTCCCGCCGCATCCTTCCCCGCCCCAAGCGCTCCAACCGCTCGCGCTCCAACCAGACCCAGAAGCGTCCCCGCTCCCGCACTCTGACCGCTGTCCACGACGCCATCCTCCACGACCTCGTCTACCCCGTCGAGATCGTCGGCAAGCGCGTCCGCACCAGGGAGGACGGCTCCAAGGTCCTCAAGATCATCCTCGACGAGAAGGAGCGCGGCGGTGTCGACTACAGGCTCGACACCTACTCTGAGGTCTACAAGCGCCTCACTGGCAAGGGTGTCAACTTCGAGTTCCCCCAGAGCAACGTCTCTGAGTACTAGAGGATGAAGGGAGTTGATGGTCTCAGCATGCTGAATGTATGATGGAGCATCATTTCAAAAAAGGGCCGTTCTTCCGGAAAACAGGGTCTGGTTCGGATAGTCTTCTGGGAGTTCATCGCACGCCACGCCGTGCTAGGATACCAATGGTCAAAAGTTTACCACTAGGCGGTCCAAATCGTGTTTCCATGCCAAGATGTGACGAGCAAGTACTTGTGGATTTAGGCATAGCTATTATATACCCACTATAATGCCTAAGCGACGTGTTTGCACTCACTCGCGGTCTAGCTCAGGGTAGTGTCGGTAGAGACCCATGGAGTACTTCAGGCGCCTGTCACTGGCAAGGTACTCCTTCAGACCCTTCTCTTCCTTGATACCGGCATAGAACTTCTCTAGCAGCAGAGGAAATTCGCTTTTCCGTGCCGCAAGCTCCTTGGGGAAGGCAAAGAACAGGCTGCAGACGTCAGTCATGTCGTTCTGTATTCACATGCACTTTGGGATGGCTGGTAGATTGTCCGGCGCACAACAGGTCACCCAGAACTTACCCATCAACAACTTGCCAGAGTGTCGTATCCGCATGAGACAGCTTATCACCGACGAGATACTTGCCCTGGCCCAGTTCTTCGTTGCCCTTCAGCGTGCGCTCAAAGTAACTGAAGAACTTTGGGATTCTGGTCTCGCGGAAGTCGTTCGCTCGCTGCTTGGCCGCATCCTTCTGGTCCTCGTAGTACAGCGACACGGCAATGGGGTGGTGCGAGTCATGGGCCTCGTTGCTCAGGTCGAGGGCGGTCAGCATGTGCTGGTTGGCGTGCAGGGCGTCGGCCTCGTCGGCGGGCGCCAGGCCGAGCTTGGCGGCGAGGTACTGAACGATGTTGGGCGTCTGCGAGATGACCAGGGCCTTGCCGTCCCTGCCGGCGCCCGGCACGCGCAGCGCGGGCGGCGCGAAGGCGGGCGGGTTGCCGTCGGCATCGCCGGTGCTGGTGGCCGAGCACGCCGCCAGCACGCGCGCGTAGCCCTCGTCGCCCTTCTCCTTGGCCACGTCGCTGTACGGCGCGCCCGCCGCCTCGAGCACCAGCCGGATGTACTCGCCCCGGCCCGGGATGCTCGGGTGGTAGAGCAGCTCGTAGGTCGGCTGCGTGCGCTGACGCTTGGCTTCCGGTGCGGGCATTGCGGATGCGGCGGGGTTGTGTCGGCGGCGAGAGCACGCGTGGGAGGATGTGAAGGTGCGAGTGAAGCTGGGGTATGCAGCAATGAAGCTTGGGAATGTGTTTGGAGAGCAATTGGCCTTGCGGACAGTGGTGGTAGGAAGGAAGACGTAAGGATGCACGGAATGGAGGGGCGGCTTTGTACTTGCAGGATAGGACGAGACGGTGACAGGTGATTGCGGAGTGGGGACGGTTATATTTACACGGCGTGACGTCAAGCGGGCGGATTGCAGAGACGTTGCGTTCCGTCCCGAGTGGGACAGGACGCGATGGAGCATGCTGTGGGCTGGGGGCGGCGGGGACAGAGAGCTCTCTGCCCACACGGCGCTGACTGAGCGGGTAGGGCTTACACACGGGGGGCAGACCAGCGCTGCAGCCTGTGGCCCCGCACCGGTGACAGCTCAGCTGGCGTTGGCCTTGTGAATGTCAATAATTAAACAGTTGTGGGTGCTCCAGACACGATCCCCGGGCCGTGAGTCGCGGGGCTTGCGGTGGTGCTGTGATTTACAGTCTTAGCGCTCCCACGGACGGCTCCTGCGCGCGCGTCGTTTCACCTAACTCTGGAAATTCAATTAAGCTTGTCAACCTAGCCACTTCCCGACCCAACACACCACCATCGCTCACCCGCTACCGCGCGCCCGCGAGTGTCAGCCTTTACGGCTCCAGCCGCCAGCATGAACGGCTACGATTCCATCCTTCCCGCTCTAGAGCAGAAGCTCGAGTCTTTTCGCCGCTCCGACCAGGAGCGTGATGCTCTCTTACAGGTACGCTGCGACGCTGCAGTGCACAGCACACGCCTGGCAGCCTTCATGCCTTGCCGTTTGCACGCCGCTCGACGGCTCTGCTTGCCGCTGAAAATATCCCCCGTCTTCTGTGCACCGCTGACGGTCTTGCAGGAAATCGTGCGCCAGTATGAGCAGCTTAAAATGGCATTCAACGAGAAGTGCGGCGACTTCGACAACGAGGTACAAGCGCGTAGATATTGGCAGCAGCAGTTCTCCGAAGCCAGCCGAGTCCTTGCTATGACCCGCCAGCAAGCAGACAATTCGCCCTTCGTTCTAGCCTTAATCGACGGCGACGGTGCCGTCTTCACCGAGGCCCTACTGCGCGCTGGCGCCGACGGCGGCTCCGATGCCGCCCACAAACTTCACAGTGAAATAAGGAACCACATATTGGATGTTTATGAGGGCAGCGCCGGCAGCTGGTCTATCATGGTGCATATCTATGCCAACCTCGAAGGCTTAAGCAGGAAGTTAGCCTCGGTAGGCATCATCAAATCGCCCCAGGAGCTGCATGTTTTCGCCCGTGCCTTTAGCTTGCACCAGCCGCTGTTCAATTTCATCGACGTCGGCAGCGGCAAGGAGAGGGCCGACCACAAGATTAAAGGTACGTCTGCCTGATCCAACTCCTTCGCTGCAAATCCAGGCTACTTGTCGCACTGCGGGGTGGCTTTCAGCTGATCGGAGGCCACCCCGCCCTCCCTTGGCCTTGGGCAGTACTGACAAACCACCAGAAATGATGCGTGTGTTCATCTCCAACATTCAGTGCAAGCACATAGTTTTTGGCGGATGCCACGATAATGGTTATCTTCCTAACCTTGAGTATGCATCACACTCGCCCGGTAGATGCAATACTGACGGGCTTGCTGCAGTCCTTACAAGCACGATCCCACACTCGCCAACCGTATTACCCTGTTGGAAACCACGCCTGCGACGGCTGGCTTTATTTCGCTTAAGTTCAAGACTGTGAACTTCACCTCCGTCTTCAGATCGGATGAGCTTCCAGAAACTCGTCCGATGGTGCAACCTCTGCCACCTGCTCCGGTCAAAACAGTTTCTCCCGTGCAAACCGTTGTTTCCCCGCAATCGGCCACGTCTCCGTCTAGTAATGGACTTCGCAGCGGAACACCTGTCACGACGTCGTCTTCGTGGGCTACGGTTGGAAAGTCGGGAATGACCAGCAAGAGCATCTCGATCGCGCCTGCGAAGCCGAAGGAGAAGAAGTTTGTTTATCTCAACGCCTATGACCAGCGTGTCGACGAGAAGCTCGCCAAGGTTGAGCGTGGTGCTCTAGAGCGGTTCCACGCCAAGATCGCAAAGCAGAAGATGTGCAACGAATACCATTTGAAGGGCGCCTGCACCTTAGGTCCTAGTTGTCCGTACGGCCACGGCGAGAAGCTCAGCCCCGTGGATCGTCTCGCTTTGCAGCACAAAGCCAGGAATATTCCGTGCACTTTCCTGAGCGATTGCCGTGAGGTCAACTGCTACTATGGCCACAATTGTCCTTACGATGAATGTACCCGTGGTGACAACTGCTACTTTTCCATGACACACGACATGGATAGGGTAAGCCATCTCCACTTCTGCTGCGATGGCACATGCTGATTCCATGGACAGGTTCCAAGGATGAAAATGTTCGAAGACGGTACTATCGACATCCTCAATTAAACGCACCGACAGATCTAACGTGGCGGATTTTACGCTTTTGCTCGTCGGGTCCAGGAGCTCAGCCACCAGTAAAAAGTTGACAAATGGTGGGGATCTGCATGCCCGCATTACCACCGCATGACCTGGACGGTCCGTTGGGCCGCCAGGGCTGAGCACTAACAAAAATATCGCTTTACGGCTACTTTCCCTATTTCCTTCGGGGTTGGCGGCGATTTATTATTCTACAACGCGAATTTCGGTTCACTTCACCCATAAGCCTAATTTCTTAACGAAATATTGGGGGACTTTACCATTATCATATTCTTTTCGACGGTACTGAAAGGTTAGTGAAAAAAAAATTGATGACCGGGGACTTTCTTTTCTTTTTAAAAAAATAAATACCCGCTCGCGTGAGATTCACATGCACAGGATAGTGCTCAAGAGCAGCCGGACGGAAGGCTAAAGCCAAGGTATGGTATGATAAATTAGCGCAAAGGTGCATAAACATGAGTCACGGGAAGAATTCTGAACCAACCAAATTCATGATTCTCCTAGCAAAGTCGTCGAGCGAGTTAAAGAATCACCTTACCCATAGATACTAAGCACAACTTTCCCCTCCTCAAGTGTCCTTCTCGTGCACCGGCAACACCGCTCCCTGTCCTTTCGTCTTTCCTTTCCCCCCCTTCCTCCTCCCCCACAGTAGGCCCCACCGATCTATCACACTTCCCAGCGCCCTCACGACCCTCTCGAAGAAAAGCCAGCCCACGAAGCCGCCAGAAACGAGACGGCGAGGATCCAGAAGACCCAGAAGAGATCCTCCCCGGCGGCGAAGCGGCCGGACATGGAGAAGATGCCGGCGACGACGGAGAAGGGGACGAGCACCGTGGCCAGGGCAGACAGCCGGCCGACGCTGCGCGCTTGCCTGTTGGCCAGGAGGCTCTGCTCGTCGGACAGCACGCTCTGCTTGTTGGCCATCAGGCTCTGCTCGATGGCGGCGCGTTGCTCGTACGTCGCGAGCGTGGCGGCGAAGCGGGCGTGTAGGGTGTGGGCGTGGGAGCGGAGGGCGTGCCAGGACTGACGTTCGCGGTCGTCGGTGTTGTTTTGGTTTTTGTTGCTGCTGCTGTTTTTGTGGTTTAGGTGCGGGCTATCTCCGTTGGGAAGAGGGGGAGAAGTGAAGGACGAAGCCGTCGTGGTGGGGTAGAGCGTCCGGAATATGTCATCGATGTCCTTCATCCGGTTCATGACGGTCATCATATGGTAGGTCAGCGCGTGGAAATACTCGCGCTGTCACTGGTTCTCCCACGCCGAATACCAGGACGAGCCCGAGGTGTAATGCGCTTTACTGAAGCTGGTCTTGCTCCACAAATAATAATAGTCGATCTCCTGGACCGGATCACGCCTTGCCAGCTTGAGAGGAGGAGCTTCCGGATTACGTCTGTTGCCGAGCGCGGGTCCGACGTCGTCGCGTGCCCTTGGTAAGTGTAGGCATGGACGAGGTTGTCAAAGAATGAAAGGCTGAGCGACCTCGATGGGGGTTTGTGCCACTGCTGCGAATCTTCGGGTAGCCTTTTGATGGAGAAACGGGCGGGTACGGGTATACGGTTGTCACTCAAGTCGGAGTGCTGAAGAGTCAGGTTGTGCACTGGCTCGTCCGATGGCGGCGTCATATGCAACTTGTGGATGACGTTCTCAAGTATGGGATCCACGAGAAGAAGAGCTGGTAATGAATCAGCTCATGGTGTGGTGGACGTTTACCAAGGGGTGACGTTACCCGTCCAAGAACCATCTGAGTTATTTGTAGACCAGAAAGATACCAGATGTGCGCTGGGGTGGTATGTGCGGTCTCCGTCAAGGTATTGCACAATCCGGTCCAGAACAGTGTCTTTCCCGACATAGACACCAAATGCTTGCTTCGGATGAGGGTCAACGCCATGTAACTGGAATGTCTTGACTCTCCAATATTGGCTACTGTCGTGCGCGAGGCAATTTTCATCAACAATGTCATCCACATACGGCCCGGCAGCATGTGCCAGGAATACAATGGGAGGTGCTCCGCTATAGGCTCCGATGATATTCACATATCTCTGGTCAAGATCTTCAAGGATTATCAGACGATTTGAAGCTGGAGATTGCGTCGAAGCCATTGGGTGTGGTGTGTTGAGGTGGCTACGTAGATCCTCGGCATCTTTCGCCTTTCGAACTATGGGCTCCTGGGAGCTGTCAAAATCTATGACGACAGCTGAGCCTTTTTCGACACCATCTACGCTAGTTGACCAAGGATGCTGGAAGCTTGAGGGAAACAATAACTGTCTGGTTTCAAGCGCCAGCCTTGCGTAGGCTTGCTCCGAATTACAGTTTCGCGCTAGGGCTTCAAGTACATCAGTGCTGTTCAACGAGTATCTTTGAGGAACTCCAAACCTTCTCGAGATCCGTAACTCATTCTCTAGGTTCTCCTGTCGCAAATACCAGTGGACATGGTTCCACTGTAGCTGAGAGGAACTATTCAAGGGGAGACGTTATAATATTGAGGTCCTAGGCTGCCCCTCCATCAATTTCAGCCAGCCTTGCGTCAAAAAACACGAAGTGGCTTAAAGCAATTAGAACGCTAATTGGACATGCTCGCAGTGTCGGTGACGGAAATGGCCTGGCCTGAGGCGAAGTGCAGGCGCCACCAAGAACACCATCGCCGTGAACCTATTATTCTCTAGGACCGCAGATGCACCAGACTCTAATGTGACATTCGTCATGCCACACCTATTACACCCAGACACTGCCACGTTCACAGAAGAATCATTATTGGAGCGTCAACGGCAGTTGATCTTAGTGGGTTGTACAAGGCTGGCACGTAGCATCTACAAATACATGTCCAGTTCCTCAAGCTACAAACTTCCACACACCACCGCATATTCTCAATATTTTTCGCTTCGCTTAGTTTTCGCGCGATCTACAAAGCCATGCCGCCAAGGAACTGGACCGAAGATTTTCATGACGACCCAGGCATGTGTGGAGGGGAATGGCATGGACAGTAAGGGTATGGAGCGGACGGATCGGGAGAGAGACAACGAAGTAAGTTTTGACCCTTCGAACTACGGTATTAAGAACTTCCCATGCTCTAATATCGATGCGAATTCGGCTCGATGTTTGTAGATTCGGCATAACTGACAAGACGAAGACTTCAAACCAGAGTGGCAATAGTGGAAAACACTGAGGGGAGCGATATGGCGCTCGACATCAGCCCCTCCGGCTGTCGCTACTGAATTCGGAATGTTACACACAAAGTTAGGGGTAGGAGGGTTGGTTTTACTCGTGGAAAAAGAGAAAGCGGAAATGATTTTTGTTTATTACTCTTCTACATCTCAACCGAGGGAAACTGGATAGCTTAAGAATCACAAGCTTCAAACGGATACCCCAATTTCATAATCCTTTCATGGAGATGTATTTGCATGTACGCTTGGTTGTGCTGCATAGGTACCTTGAGGCTTGATTTGGATAGATGTCACTTTCCCGACTTGTCCAAATAGTCATAAGACTTGAGGCTGCGCCAAAGATTATTTACTGCCCATAATATGTATTGCGCACATCTCGGAGGTTTAGCTCCATTCCGACGTCCGAGGAGGCCAGAGCTCCTCCGTCTTCCGCAGCCCGCCGCACCACCCACCTCCAAGCTTCTGGAAGCTCGACCCGCACCACACACTCACCACCAGCCCATGTCCCAGTCATACCAGACCTTTCCCTCCTCCATCCACTCCTCCGCCGACCCCGCGACCCATTCAATCGCCGAAGAAGAGACCCAGCTCATCCGCCGCGACCCAGCTGACACCACGACCGACACCTTGCTCACCACCATGCCCGGCATCTTCTGGACCATCGGCTCGCTCTACGGCGCCGCCAGCGTCGCCATCGGCGCCTTCGGCGCGCACGGCCTGAAGTCGCGCATCGCCGACCCCCAGCGCATCGCGAACTGGAACACGGCTGCGCACTACCAGGTACGTACACACACATAAATTACTACACCTCCCAAACCCCCCAAACCAACTACCAACTCCAAAAAAAAAAAAGGAAATAACCTCTCTCACACATCATCCCCCCAAAATAGCTCATCCACTCGGGCGTCATCCTCCTCGCCTCGGTCGCCGCGCCGCAGAACAAGCTGGCCATGACGCTGCTGACGGCCGGCGTGACCATGTTCTCGGGCTCCATCTACCTGCTCGTCCTCGACCCGGCCCGCTTCAAGGCCCTCGGCCCCGTCACCCCGCTCGGCGGGCTGTGCATGATTGGCGGCTGGGCCGCGCTAGCTTTCGGCCGCGGGAGGGTGCCTATCCCGCCGAGGGCTTAAATAAAAAAGAAAACCAAGGACGAAGAAAAGAAAAGTGAGGTTGAGATGTGCGGTTTACATATAGGTTGTGGGTCAGTCGCATGGAAGGATGGGTTATACATATCTGAGGGTTTCCTTCTTCCTTGTAGATGGCGAAAGTCAGCTGAGGGAGAGTATAAATATGATGGTGCACCCGGGTGGGCGCGGTCACATGCAGTCTTCAGAGGATACAATGTCCTTGTGCATAGGCAGTTTGGTAGAGGTGAGTGCTGATTAGAACCATGCTATTGCAGAAGAAAGGAATCGGACGACTTGTGCTACCGTCACTTCCGCTTCTCCACTCAGTCAAAGTCACAATTGTAAGACTACTTCAGGCAACATTGATATCGTGTAGATATTCTTCATCCATGCTCCGAGAACCCGTTTTTCTAAAACTACAAGAGTAACCAGCCTGCTCAACGAGGAAAAGAAATTGGAGAGAAAAAGAGATATTCTCAAAGGAAAACAGGATGATGAGGTGTGTGCAGTGTGCCAAAAAAAAAAAAGGAAAACTGATTGGAATGCCCTTCAGTAACACGAAAGTGCTCGCGCCTTTAGCGCGTCGGTGTGATAACCCATTTGCTCCAGTAACTTGGTGTTTCCCAGACCGTGCGTTTATCCCATGTGCTCTCCAGGCACGACGCATTCCGCAGCTTTAGCTGCTCAAACTCCAAAGTAGTCAAAGAGATTCCTATGTTCCGGCCGTGAGTGTGAGTCGGGGGGTATTTCGTTATCGAAGGAGAAAAGTGAACGGCGGATAGACACAGTCCACCAGGGTAGACCGTCTGGTAGGACCCTGATATCAGTTCGAATCGAAGATGCTGACGTGCTGAGCGCTTGAACAAAAACCCGCTGATGCAATTGCCGAAAAAAAAAAAAGAAAAACAAAGGCCTTGGACTTTCCATGCCTCTGTCCATAACCACCAACTCCCAGTCTTTTTCTAGGTCGTCTTGACCGATTGAGTAGACTGCCGCCAATCCGAATGCATGACTTAAGGGCTGCTTCGCAAAAACAGAAAACTTCCAAAGATCTGCATGCAATACACATGCATCGCGAAGAATTATGACAACGAAAAGAGAGGAGAAACACTTAGCCCAGCACTTCACTGCCGTCGCCAAAGTCTTCGTCCATCTCTTCGCCAATGGCCGTGGCACCCATCATGGCCGTTACTTGCTGGTGCACATTGACATTGACAACCATGTCGGCCTCGTCGGCATCGTCATACATGGTACCGTCGGTTTCGTATGTGGGGTTGGTGTCTTCCTGGTTGAGGTGGTCGCGCAACCGAGTAACTCCGTTACCGGAGAACACACAAAACACATCGCGTTGGTGCTCGTTGAATTCTGTGCGAACAGTCAGCAGGGGCAACAATATATGAGCGTTTGACTTGGCATACCTGGTGGGGCCTCACGACAGAACACCAAGAGATCCTCGCGCAGGAATGCCTGCACGCCTGTCAAACTCAGGTGAGTCAAGTAAGGGCAGTTGTTGAGCAAAGCGTGGATCCCCTGCAGGTGAAACGTTAGCAAAGTCCTGCGAATTCATGCACGGGCGTCTTACATTTAGCGTCAGCAGCGTGCAGTAGCTGAGATGCACGCGTTCAAGGGAGCACGGGACGGTCTGTCCACTCGCACCCTGGAGTCTTTGCCTGGCAAGCGCCATGATGCTCTTGTCGGTGATGTTGCCGCACTTGACAAGGCCAATCCGCTTGAGCTTGGTGAGCGTCGAGAGCTGTTCAACAGACTTGTCCGTCAGATTCTGACAGCAGGCGAGATCAATGTAGCGGATACGAGTGCACATCCGAATCAATTGCTGGACACCGGTGTCGGTAATCCGCGAACAGTGGCCAAGGTGGATGTAGTGGAGGTTCTTGCCAAGCTTCGTGATCGCCGCAACGGCACGGTCGGTGATCTGACGGCATTTTGCCAGGACGAGGTTACGCAAGCGTGGGGCGGCCGTGATGATCTTCTGAACGCCAACGTCGTTGAGCTCTCCACAATCCGTAAGATCCAGAATGCGGAGGCTCTCGTATGTGGCATCCGCCGGCAAGTTGAGGAAGGCGTGGTCCGTGATGCGGGAGCAGTGCGCTAGGCGGAGTTCCCGGAGGTGGCGGCCCTCTCTGATCAAAGCAGTGACTGAGGCATCCTCCAGGTTCCTGCAGTTTTCCAAGTCTATCTCCAGAATGTAACGGCAGTTGTTTGCGAATGCCATGACAGCATTGTCGGTGATTTGGCTGCAATTGTTGAATTTAAGCTACATATAGCAAATTAGTACGAGCGAATGCAAACAGGGAATGGATGCCTTACCCTCTTCACATTCCTGCAGCTGCGGGCAACGGCCTCCAAAGACTCATCGTTGATCTTCCTGCACCCGCTGATGTTCAATCCCTGGAGCTTCAGACAGTTCTTTGCGAGAGCGAGCATGGTCCGGTCGGTAAGGTTCTCCAACTCGGTCACATCCAAGGCCAGGAGGCTGCGGTTGCCTTCCAGCATAGCCTCAAGACTGAGGTCGGTGAGCTTGACACACTTGGTCAAGGTCAGGCGCTCGATCCTCTTGCAGCTCGAGAAGGGCTGCAGAGTGCCGTCGCTGACCTCAACGCCGAGCGTTGAGAGATTGAGTCTCTTCACCAGGGTTTGGTAGTCAAAGCAGCTGTCGACCTTCCTAATCGCTTGGACGACGGTGTGTACGCTTGGCCATTTGTTGGTCTGTGGGCGATGCCACAATAGGCCTACGCTATTCCGAGCCCAATCCTTGGATACGAGCATGCAGGACTTGAGATCTGCGGGCGACGAGAGCTTTGCGAATATCGAGATCATGAGCTCGGCAGGAAGGCGGCTGATGGGCGAGAGACGGCATCTCTCCTCCATCTCGCGGGCATAGACATCTTCCTCGGAGGTGGAAGGAGCGATGGACGACTGCGAATCGTTGGCCTGCAACATGAAAGAGTCGTTGTCGTCGTCGGGGCAGCGCTCGGGCGAGGTCGAAGCAGAGGATTCGGAACTCGCCCGGCCGCCAGAGAGGCGTTCTTGCCGGCGGGAACGGGTCATTGTGTGGGCGCGTGGGGGAGTAGCGGCGGCGGCGTCAGGGTGGAGGGAGGCGAACAAGGGTGTCGCCCGCCCGCCGGTGGGGGTCGAGCTGGAGGGAGTGCTCGCGAACGACTCCAGGATTGCGGCTGCGTGCTACCGGGCACGCCGTGATGTCGTGGGAGGGGTGGAAGCGTGGAGGCAGAGCGGTCTTCGGGGCGCGCAGGCGATCTCGGACGGGCAGGTCCGACCAAACGGGAGCGAGGGGAATGGGCGTGTCGGCGCTCGGCTGCGAGGGGCACAGGGCGGGCTTTGCGGGGAGGAGTGGCCTTGGGGGCGGTGACTGGAGAGAGAGGTTGTTGGATGGGAGGGCAGGAGGAGGCTATTATCGGGCGGAGGTAGAGGTAGCGCGCGAAGGACCAGTGACATAGGCTGAGGCGTTGAAGGCGTGGCAGGGACTGCGCTAGCTGCAAGGCCGTGCGCGGTCGGGAACGGCGGGCAAACGGGCGTTTCCTGGCGGAAGGCGATGGGATCGGGCGGCTCGAGAGCGGCGAGGTCAATGACGGGGCGGGTCCTGCAGACGCAGGAGAGGTGTTGAGCGGGCTGGGACTGCTGGGATCCCCGCGAGCTGACAGGCGCCGAGCAGGAAAGCTCGATTCGGCGCCAGAGCAGGTGACAGGTGATCGCGCGCGACAACTCACCCGCCGACTGCCCGCCGCCTGGAGGATCACGGCCAGCCTCGCATCACGTCGTCACATTACTACGGTACGCTCCTTCAGTCCCGCCCAGCGTGGCGCTCTGGGCCCCGCGCCGCCCAACGCTCGATCCGCCGCCGCACCACGACTTCTAAAGCCTATCTCAGCCCTTCTAGTTCGTACGAGCTTCATCCGACGACGCGTCTGCGTTTCTTGCTTTTCTCTGCGCTTCGCCTTCGTCGTCATCAGAAAGGCAAAGCCTCCACCATACGTCAGCTGCAGCCCCCGGCTTTTGTGTTCCTCGACCAGCCCCGGCTTCTTCATGGGAAGCTGCTTTTTCTGCGAACTGCCCCTTCGGGCGCCATTGACGTGAAGCGGGACCTGCCTCCGCGAATTGCTGCGTGCTACCGTCACTAAGGTTCGCATCCTCTATTGCAACGTCGTCGCCAAGTCCGTGAGCCTCTCCTCCAGCATTCTCCGCATCGCAAGTGATTCCTCATTGGTCGTCGGGCTGCAAGAGAGCGTCATTTGCTGCTTTCGGTCTCACACATTGCAGGATTGCTGTTTGTGGTAATGTCTCCGGCCTCAGACTACTCTGATGTTTGGTTTCGACTCCTGCGACAGAGGAGTTGCTCCAGCGCTGTCCAGGTATGCGCTGTCAGACATGGGCGGCGGAATGCGGAGCGGTCTCACGTCCGATTCCGACGGTCCCAGACGTGCGCCGCGGCAGTCCATGGCCGCTGCGCGCCTGCAGGAGGCTAAAAAGTTTAGCAGCACGCAGCGACAGTAGGGCTTAGCACGCGTGCCGGATGCCGGGCGTGTCGCTGGTCGGATGGCCACGCCGGGCACGTGTAGGGGCGAGTGACGGGTTTGTAGTCTCCACAGCGCGGCCAGCGTGCTCAGCAGCGGGGCCGTAGGCGGTGGCAGGCGCTGCGAATGGCAGGCCGGCACTGCGCATGACGGGCCCGCGCCGCACAAGGCACGTCGACCAGATCTCCCACAGGGCGGTCTGTCTGTCGGTCAAGCAGTGTTGCCTGCGCACCAGCTCCTGTGGCCGAAGCCCCTTTTCAGTGGCCAAGGCTGATTGGGTGCGGACGGGCTTGGGCGTGCTGCTGGTCCTCGAGCGGGCGATCGTCGCCGAGATCCAACGGTTCCCAAGCACCTCCAGTGGCTGCCCTGCCGCCTCAGCAACACCCAGCTTCCAAGCCAACCCTTTCGCGGCGCTGCAGCTGTGTTGCCCGCGACAGCTCTCTCCCCGGTTCGCCACCGCCCTATGTCTCCTCGCTGATCCGCCTGGCCCTTCCCTCTTGCCGCCGGGCAAGTTACTGCCGTCCCAATGACGTCTCAATACCACCCCTCGACTGTAACCCGCCCTGGCGTCTTCCACGCTCCCCACCACGCCGTCCACCACAATGCCCCGCCCGGCACCTTCGCCCCCGGCACCAAGGTGCAGGTCGGCAACCACCGCGTGGTCATCGAGAAATACCTCTCCGAGGGCGGCTTCGCCCACGTCTACGTCGTGAAGGTGCCCAACAAGGCGGGGGACAGATATGACATCGCCGTGCTCAAGCGCGTCGCCGTGCCGGACAAGGACGCGCTGGCGAACATGCGCACCGAGGTTGAGACCATGAAGAAGCTCAAGGGCCACCGCAAGATCGTGACCTACATCGACTCGCACGCCTCGCAGCTGAAGGCAGGGGGTTACGAGGTCTTCCTGCTCATGGAGTTTTGCGCCGGCGGCGGTCTGATCGATTTCATGAACACCCGCCTCCAGCATCGCTTGACCGAGCCCGAGATCCTGCACATCTTCTCCGACGTCGCCGAGGGTGTTGCCTGCATGCACTACCTGAAGCCCCCGCTTCTGCACCGCGATCTCAAGGTCGAGAACGTCCTGATATCCACCGAGGGCACGTCGCGCGTATACAAGCTCTGCGATTTTGGCTCCACCGCACCTCCGCGCCCAGCTGCGACGAATGCCGCCGAGGGTCGCTTGATCGAGGACGACATCCAGAGGCATACCACAATGCAGTACCGGAGTCCGGAGATGGTCGACGTCTACAGGAGGCTGCCGATCGACGAGAAGAGCGACATCTGGGCGCTGGGCGTCCTTCTGTACAAGCTCTGCTATTACACGACTCCCTTTGAGGAGCAGGGGCAAATGGCTATTTTAAATGCGAGCTACAAGTTCCCGCATTACCCTCCTTTCTCGGATCGCTTGAAGACACTGATAGGTAGCTGTTTTCCCAACACCATGCTATCGTGTCTCGCTAATTTATTCGGGCAGCTTGGATGCTGAAGGAACATCCGCAGCAGAGGCCTAATATTTACCAGGTGGTTAAGGAGGTTTGCGCCATGCGCAACAGGGATTGTCCCATCAAAGACGTGCGTCCCCTAGCAGCCCTCCGGGATCACGCGCTAACAATGCGCAGATATACACCAACCGAACCCAATCGGAAACACGCAAGAATCAGCAGCTGCCGTCGCCTGAGCCCAATATTGGACCCACAATCGGACTTTCCAAGGCTGCGCCTGTCCAGCAGGTCCAAGTTCTTCCAGAGATCACGCCTATGAGGCGGGGAAGGCCAACGGCGCCGGTCCAGCAAAGTACGGCAGCTCACCACAGTCCATCTCCCATGAGGAGTGCGGGTGGTGTGGCTCCCACGAGCGACCCTTTTGCGGCATTAGATTCTACATCGGCGCCTGTGAGGGCTGCCGCTGCTGACGAATTGGCCCAAAGATTTCCCTCGCTGGACGAATTCTCGATTCTTCATGACCGGGGCAACAAATTCCAATTCTCTAGCGATTCCCCAGTGGAACCCAAGGCGGAAGCCGTCCAGAAGCGCGTTGCGGAAGCGTTGGCAGATGAGGCTTTCACGATGCCGAGCCATCCCCAGCCAAGGAGGGAACAGCCAACATCGGCAGCTTCTTCTGCGATACCGTCCAGGTCTGATTCGTTGAGATCGGCTCAGACCATGTCTCCAAATCAAAGGCCAGAGTCTAGGCAAACCCAGGCCTCTCAAATCCATCAGCCTCAGCCTCAGCGCCCTTCAATGGTCTCTACTGGCATTCAGACTTCGCCTCCTGGTTCACCCGCTTTGAAGCCGGAGCCTGCGAAATACGAGGCCCCCAAGTATCCCGATATCAGCCAACGCCCTATTTGGCGAGTACCGCAACAGTCAAGCCACGCCAGGGCTTTGAGCCAGCCAAGGTCCTCGGAAGACAACCCACGCTCGACACCGTCATTATTGAAGTCTGAGCCAAACCCGCCTCTCCCGCAGCGTCCTGGTTATTTGGATATGCATCGATCCAAGTCTCAGACAGCGACATTACAGCTCCCGCAATCGCCTGCATCATCTAGGCCCTCTTTAGAAGGGTCGAGACCATCGGGCCTGGATCTCACGGATCCCATCAACCGATCGAAGTCTGCCAACTCCAGGGCCAGGCCTTCTAGTGTGCACGTAGAATCCAGCTTGGATTTCTTGCGGGATCGGGAGGCCTCGCGGAAGGGCGACAGAGTTGCTAACCTCATCGACACTGAAACGGACCTCAATAGGGTGAAATCTGCTCCTACGACAGAGCCCGAGTTGGAAGAGACAAATATCACGTCAAACGTTGATTTCTTGCGATCTATGGAGGGGGATGATGGATCTAGACGGAGGGAGCATCACCGCACGAGCAGCAACGCAAGCAAGCACTCCAAGAGGACCAGCTTGCCTTCCCTGTCAAACACCAAGAATATCCTTGCCGGAAAGTTCGGAGACGCCTTCCGCCGGTTTGAAAACAACACCAGTCAACGAGAGCCACAGCGCACGCCTAGCCCTGAATTTGATCGGATTAATGCGCAACTTACGCCGATTGCAGGCTCTGAGGTCACGGGGGAGCGAAGTGAAGATGACACTGCGATCGACGAGACGCAAGACCTCCCTCCCGAGGTTCGCCGTGAGCTTGAGCGTCGGAGACTATCACAGGAGGAGAAGCGCGTTGCCGAGGCGGCTGCCGAATATCGCAAGCGCATCGACGAACAAGGAGAGGGTGGCAAGGGCAAGCCTGGTGGTGGCCCATCGAAGGCTTCGACGATTCAAGACCGGGTCAAGAATTTGCTACAGGATACGCAGACGTCCCCCCCGAAGCGAACCGCAGAGGGCTATGGCCGTTACACTGAGCGCGAGATCAGCGAAAAGGGAAAGCCTCCACCACCGGTCGCGAAGAAGCTTCCTTCTCTTCCGTCCGGTGCGCCGCAGTCAGAGCTGACGTACCGACCTGCTCGGCCGCAACAGCCGTCAACCACAGGCCAAGCACAATCGAACAGCGCCTCCAATTCTCCATCATTGTCTCAGGGAAATAAACCCCCTCCGGCGCCGCCGAAGCCAAAGGCGCTGCGTACTGGTGGCCAGTTTGAGTCCCCTAATCCAAACAACTTCCCTCCGTCGCCCGAACACCGGAAGCCTCCGTCGCGAGGAGGTCGCCCAGCGGACGGTGCTCCGGGTCTTGATAACGGCCTAGGAATCAATACCGAAGAATGGGAGGCCAATTTCAGCAAGAGGTACCCGAGTTTGAGCGGGTTGGAGATGGTCGAGACGGAGGTGCCGAATGGGAGTCGTTACCGCGACATATAGACGCGCGGGGAAGAGCAGGATACTATTGCAGTCGGACAACGGAGTTGGGACGATAGACGGTGGATATTAAGGATTTCTCCCCGTATTGACAACACTGGCAAGGCCGTGGGTGCAATCATGTTTGAATAGGTTTTCTTTTCTCAAGCACAGTCAAAGCGTGGAATAGGGAAGCACAGATAGATGGTGCGAGAATACCTTTAAGCGGAGCGATCGCTTGTGGAAATATAAGGTTTACCCATCTTTGGGCCATCTAATTGGACCAGGAAATATGCAAGATGAGAGCGGGGAGAGAGCGGACATGAAGGTGTGGCTTGGCGCCGCGCGCCGCGGAAGTGCTCCGCGGCCATGACGCGGGGCAGATCCAGAAAATCTTGGCTTCCGCACGACACAATCGCACCTACTTCTCTGAGGGTTTGCCGTTCTCTGTACATATTTTGCCAGCTGCGATTGTGAGAAGGTGCGGAATCCTTGTCAGACGGCGGCTCGGGCGAGGCTGGTCAAACACACCGCCTTGATTAGAACCTACGAGAAGTCCGCCGCACCACCGCCGCCGCCATCTCACCACCTCCTCCAGTCGCAGCCTTCACTAGTTTCAATAACACCGCTGTCACGCAAGGCAGCAAGACTGTGTCTTGCAGCCCACTAACCCCCTATTCAGTTCACCACTTCAGTCCCCACAATCGTCACTTGCATTCGGAACGCATCACCCCCGGCCGGCCGCAAACAAGAAATAACTAGAACGCATCCTTCCCCCGGGGGTTACACGAGAACAAGGAGGAGTAGGATCTCACGAACACACATACAACTGAAAAAATAAAGGGGGCAAAGGAGAGGAAAGAAAAAAAGAACCACCATGCTCTCCAGCCTCCTCCGCATCACGCCGCGCACGCCGACCGAGGACCCGGAGGACATTTTCGCGACGGCGCTGGGCACCATCTTCACCGACGACCTGCGCAACCAGCACGGCGACCCGGGCTGCCTGATCACGTACCTGTCGCGGCGGCTGGATGCGGGCATCGACCTGGCCGTGGCGGAGCCGGCGGGAGAGGAGGAGCGCAAGAAGTTCGCCCACTACCTGTGGAACGCCGGCGTGTTGATGGCCGAGCTGTGCGGTGGTCGCCCGCGGTGGGGTGTCGAGGGCACTGAGGCTGGTGAGCGCAGCAGGGTGCTTGGTGGGTTGGAGTGGCGCCTGGATGGGGGACGCAGGCAGTGGTGGGTTGACGAAGGCGAGGAGGGAAGCTGGCGGGTTGAGGGGGAGAAGGTGTTGGAGCTCGGGGCAGGTGGGTGATATTAGAATGCTTGTTTGTAAGGGGGCGGGAACGGTGGTGGTGGTTTTCGTTCTCGGGGTTCTTTTTGAAAATGTGCAGGAAGCGCTGATGGCATCGTTTTTGGAGCATCATAGGCGTGGGACTCGCCGGAATCGTGAGTACGCTGGTCGGTGCAGAGGAGGTGAGCCTTTCCTCGGATTATGTCTTTCTTCATTGCTTCATTGAAGGCTATGCTAACAGTTACGCTTACCGCGCAGGTCGTCATCTCGGACTACCCAGCACCGGAGATCCTGGAAAACCTCAAGAGCAACGTGGAGAGGAATGTTCCGGACAATTTGAAATCGAAGGTCTCGGTCCAAGGCCATCAATGGGGGGACCTGGGCTCTCCGTTTGCAGTGGCCAATGCTGGAAGGTTTACCAGAATATTGGCAGCAGACTGCCTGTGGATGCCCCATGAGCATCGCAGCCTGGCAAAGTCGATGCTCCACTTTCTATCGCCGGATCCACAGGCAAGGGTGTTTGTAATAGCGGGCTTCCATACCGGGCGGGCCAAGATGGCGCCGTTCTTTGAGATAGTCGAGGAAGAAGGCCTGGCGATTGACGATATCTATGAGATGGATGCCGAGGCGAAGCGGAGGGAGTGGGCATCTGAACGGGACGGAGGAAGAGAGGACCACGGAGAGAGGAAGAAGTGGCTTGTTGTTGCTCAACTGAAGCGTAAGCAGTAATGGAGCAGCCTATCTTGTTGGCTCCATGCATAGTCCGTCTCATTCCTCAAGAAAGTCCAATGACTCTTCATGCCGCGGGCTCAATCTTCTTCTTGAAGCACAGGGAGCACACCTTGGAGCCCGATCTGCCGCCAAACGTGAAGCTGGAATACTTGATCTTATCCTCGTACTCCAGCAGACCCCCTTCGACCACAAACCAAGCCTTCAGCTCGTCGGCGGTCCAATTGCAGCTCGTTATCAGCAGCAAGCCGCCGGGTTTGATCAACGGCTCGACCTTCTCCCTGTAGCCCTCAAAAATGCGCCTGCCCTGCGCATCCGTCTCCGCGCTCAGGCTGATGGCATCGAATGTGCCCTTATCCAACACCACATCAAACCCGCCCTGCAGCCACTCCTGCCGCGGCTCCTCGCCCAGGATATCCCACTCCTCAAAATCCACATCCGCCGCAGCCGCCTTCTCCTCCTCCTTGGCCCGCTCGGCCGCGATCCTGCGCGCCAGCTCGACGCTCCTAGCGCTGTAATCGACGCCGACCATGCGGCCGCGCCAGCCCTCGTCGCGCAGCGCGAACAGCAGGTGGCCGTTCCCCGTGCCGAGGTCGAGGAAGCTGGTGCAGTCGCGCTCGGCCTCGGCGGCGCTCTCGTCCTCGAACCCTTCGTCGTCGCCCTTGATCAGCCGCCAGTCGTCGGCCAGGTCGTCCAGGTACGAGACCATGCGCTCCTCGGCGTTGGCGTCGGCGAACCACACCGTGCCTTCGTCCGACGGGTGCTCCGCGTGGTTGGCGATCTCGCGCTCGTAGCACGCGTCCCAGTACGCTTTGGTGCCCAGGTCCGACGGGTCGAGGTGTGTGGGGTGCGCGGTCGTGTCGTCGTGGTCGTCGGGGGCGGTCATTGTGGTGGTCTTTTTTTTTTTTTCCCTTGGTTTGGAGCGCAATTGGAGGGGAGATGATGCTGTGTGGTTTTTGTTGTGGAGGTGGAAGAATCGCGGGGTTGGTGGTGAATTTTTGGGTCCCGCGGGCTATCGATAAGGAGACCGACTAGGGTCTATAAATGGATCAAGCCCATTGCCCTGATCCTTTCCCACCCTAAATCCATCAATTCCTAAGTGGAAAATCCAAGTATTTGACCTAGCCTGTACTGTTTTTTTTTTCCCTTTGTTGCTTCGGGGAGCGTCTTGTCGTTCATCTTTATTCGCACTGTCTAATAGAGCGCCACATAGTCATGCTAATCATCTGTCTTTATTATGAGACACCAGCATTTCTGGGAAACGATACGAAGCCTCATGTACTGTTTCTTATGTTTCCAAGTGTGCATTGATTTCGCAGCTGACAAGCAGATATGCGATCCTCTCACACGCAAAAGTGGCCTTTTCTTGGCCCATTCGGTGTGCAAAAAGGCTTTGTCTAAAGACCTCTGGTCATCAATGGTACACAATGCAACTCGCGAGTTCCTATATTGCTACCCGAGACCCCGCTTATCTGGTGATTTCTAGTTCGAGTACCATGTGATCATATTGCCTGCCAGAGACACTATAAATTCATCTTTAAGTCAATCCGCCCCGAATTTCTTTTGAACCAGCAGTTTTTCTTAGCTCTCTTTTGATACCAAATCCTTGTGGTCGACTTTACTGGTTTTTTGCGTGGATGCCGTCCATGGAAGCCCTAAGACTGAATTCTTTGTAAGAAATCCAGTAAAACCTCATTTCATCGCTCTGAGATCTTCATTAAATTTGAATTTTGCTGTTGCTACTTACTGTTCTGTGATGCATCTCTGCTCCTAGCTTTGATGCTGGTACGTATCGACCTCTGCCAAGAAACATGCTTGAAGCGGACTACAATACCATCTGCATTGCTCGACTGCATTTCTCTTGCAGTCTACACTTTATGGATGCCACAATGTTCTCGCAATCTCACTGCCATTTCACAGTGATGGTGAATATAATGTTTTTTTCTTGCTGCTTCCAATCATGATCCATATCTACAGTCTTTCTCAGTCAAATCACAATTAGGATGTTGGGCGTTTGAGGTCATGATGCCAAGGGTCGCTTTGCAAGTGTCTTGAGGCGGCGTATTTCCACAGTGTAGTACGTTGTATGTGAAGTGCATTTCCACAGCTGGTCCCGTAGTTTGCATCTGCGGAGAGCAATCTCGTTTACTGTCACTTCAGGCCTCAACGGATCAATGCCCACCGTGCTCATCTTTACAATCACATGCCACTCCTCCCTCCACTCTATTGCATTGTTCTACCGTCCAAGCTGGGTCATCACGAGCCTTATCACAGGGTTGACTTGGTGGGATTGTACCTGCCCAACCCATTCCCTTGAATCCACACGCGGCCATGTGGCTCTCATGTGGCTTTCACATGGCCTTCATGTGAATGGACCCCTGTGCCTGATCGGGCACTTGAGGTACCTGAGCGCCTTCCGCAAAACCGTATGTGCCCCGTATGACCTTCCCAAACCTCCCTCCACATGCAAATTTGTGCGATCACGACATCTATCCAGGGTCCGACTGCGCATGCCCGCTTGCCACGAGCGCCCAAGCCGAACCCATGCCACCCACCCCTCCACTCCTCCCTCTACCAAAATATACCCTACCATTGCTGGCCCAGAAGCTCCCTTTTCTTCTCCAGCTCTCTTTGCCTTTTGGCTTAGATCAAGTGTAGTATCTGTTCTTTTTAGTTTAATCTCTAGAACGTCCCTACGGGGGCATTTCTTTTGATTAAACTAGTTTTTGGGACCCGGTTGGTGGCCTCTGGGCTCCGCCTACCGTCACCAACCACAGTGTCGCTCGTATTGCACTGCCTCGGGCTGACGCGAAAACACCTTTTTCGTTGAGCTACTCCACCATGCGTGGGGTCTTGAGGAAGAAGACGACTGTGCTGGATGCTCACCTTGGGCGAGGATCACAGGGTCGAGGACGCCAACTTTCTCCTGCTCGCAGGGGCCTCACATTGACCCACCTCCCAGAACATGTTAACCATGGCAGCAGCGGTGTGACGGGTAGCGTTTTACCGCACCTTCAACCTCAAGTGCTGTCTCAACACTCACTGACTCGTTGGACGATATCACCCCAGGCTTTACTGCGCAAAGGTCTCGGCTAACATGATGGGTTTCGTGCAATGCACTGTTGGAGAGTCACCTCGCCAATTGCCGCACACCGATGGCGGCGAATTGCGATCATTGACTTTGGGACTATTGATACACTGTGCTCATCAGTAGACGATGGAATATCTGGAAGAGCGCTAGGTTCACTTCAAGAGCAGGGATGACTACGTCAAGGCTCTGGCTTGGGGAAAATCGACGCAGGTGGTTTCACTGCCCGAGATTGACGGACGCGGCCATGACCAAGCCAAGTCGGAAAGAATCGGCAGGAGAAATGCTCAAATGGCTATCAAGAGGGACAGAGTTAATGCTCCTATGCGATTTTGGGAAGCATGAGAGCGGCGTTTACCTTGATGCCGCGGCAGGCATCCTCACAGCCTGTGCTCTGACCGCAACTTCAAACGACGTCGGATTTGTGCTCTTCGATATTCCCGTCATTACCCGCTAAAAGGTATTGCGCAAGCTCCTATGTCCGCTCTGAAATGTAGTTATTGTGAAATCTCAGTAATCTTTGCAATCTGCTCACTTGCCGTGCTCAAATGCCACCTCGGCACCCACACTTCTCCACAATTGAATACTGACGCAACGCTTGGACTCCACCTACGACCCGCATGTGAAGACCATTCGGAGTAGCTTTTGATATTGGCTCAAGGATCAAGCAATGCCAACAAGACAGGGAAAGATGACAGTATCCATGCCACGACGTATATCCGACATATCCGCTTAAGCGAAGCAGCAAAGTATGCGGAAGCGTCGGTACAAGCACATGCTCTCTCTTGAGTGAACGAGCGAGTTTGGCGCGGAAACCACGGATTCGCCTCCGGCCGAGAAGCTTCTACGTATTGATCGTGAGTAGACGAGTAGTCTCGGCTGCTACTCACCGTGTCGAATTACAGCCTGAGACCAAAAAAAAAAAAAAAGGGAGGAAAAGGAGAAGGAACTGAAAGTGCATCAACAATTGCAGACAAAAGATCGGCATCGGCAGCTTCTAGTTAGCGAGGGGAAATGGATCCTGCTGACGATGTGTCGTTGTTGTTGTCTCCAGGGGCCCTTTCTCATAGCCGACTTTCAACTGCCGACGTGGGTGAGTCAGCAACCAGCAACGACCACGATAAGGCATTTCAACTACATCATCGCCCGTGGAGCCCGGCAGATGCGACCGGAAGTGCGAGAGAAGACTGTGCGGCGCTACGAATCAGCGGGAAAACACCAAATTGTCATGGTCAAAAGCATTCCATCAAGCAGCAGCCATTATTGGAGGCTGTAAAGGTGCAGTTCAGCGATGTCAGAAAAGAGGAAGGCCAAAGCGAGCCAGCCTAAGGAGGAAAGGGGAGTGAAGGACCAGATCTGGTCGGCGGCGCCCGGATGTTCCCCCGCGTTCCCCATGATCGAGTGTGGGGTACCCATGCAAAGATGCCTTTTACTTTGCTCCACAAATCAGAGTGCGCGGTATTGAGGTTAGGCCTTGGCTGGCGCCACAGCCTGTGACGATTCAGCTTGCAGCTTATGGCCGATGTCCAACTGCCGAACGACCTCATGCGCCCTCAGCCGCCTGCCACGACGGACGCCTATCAGGTTTCATGCTTAGTGCTTAAGCATTTCGGTAGTTCGTCTGATGTGTAGCCACGGCTCTCCTCGGGAGCAACGGCAGTTATGTTGCTTCTGCGATGCTGTTGACCGGCCTTATATATCGTGAGCCGCGCCGCCCCCCTTGAGAGCTTCATCTGAGCTCTTCAACACGCCAGACACCCTTCTACGATGCTGCTCAACGAAGTCGTACCTTTTCTCGTGCAGTACTGGCCTGCCGTGCTCGGCACGGTAGTCGTCATCCACCTCCTCCGAAATAAGTTCAACAAAGGATTGCACAAGTATCCGGGACCTGCTCTTGCGGCGTACACAGACTGGTGGCGGCTGTTTGATGTGTGGGGCCGGAAGACGGAGCAAACGCATATTCACCTTCATGAGAAGTACGGAGACTTTGTCAGGTTGGGCCCGAACGTCATCTCCATCGCGGATCCGAAGGCCATCAAGACCATCTATGGCTTGAACAAGGGCATGACGAAGGTGAGAGGAACCCGTATCCATGACTCGAACTCGAGGCTTACAGATGAGCAGTCCGACTTCTACCCCATCCAACAAGCCACAGCTGGAGGCCACCGCGTTTGGTCTCTCTTCTCCACCAAGGATGAGGACTGGCACGCAAAGTACAGGCGCTGCATCAACGGCGCCTTCGCCATGAGCGCCCTCGTTTCGTACGAACCGCTCGTGGATTCGACCGTCAACTACTTCCTCGACCAGACGGACAAGATCTTCGCATCGACGGGCAACGTGTGCAACTTCAACCGCTGGCTGCAATTCTTCGCCTTCGACGTCATCGGCGAGCTGACGTGGAGCAAGCGTCTCGGCTACGTCGAGAAGAACGAGGACGTCGACGACATCGTCAGCTTCCTGGGCAAGTTCCTGAGCTACTGCGCCGTCGTGGGGCAGCAGCCGTGGCTGGACCTCCTCATCGACAAGAACCCGATCAAGCTGGCGCTCCAGCGCTACGGCATCATCGGCAAGGTCTTCCCCATCACCAAGTTCGCCCTGACCCGCCAAGCCGAGCGTGCCGGCGAGATAGAGAAAATCCGTCAACACGGCCTCGACGAGAAGAAGGGTAGTAGCATCGACCTGCTCAGCAAGTTCACGGGCGCGCTGCACGACCACCCGGAGTTCATGACGGACCGCATGGTGCTGGCGGCGTCGGTCAGCATGGTCTTTGCCGGGTCCGAGACGACGGGCATCAGCCTCAGCGCGGCCTTCTACTACCTGCTGAAGCACCCGCGCGTCTACAAGAAGCTGATGGACGAGCTGGACGAGGCCGTCCGCAACGGCACCATCGTCGACCGCGAGAACGGCGCCGTCACGTGGGCCGAGGCCCAGAAGCTGCCGTACCTCGACGCCGTCGTGCAGGAGACGTTCCGCATGCATCCCGCGGCGGGGCTGATGCTCGAGCGCGTCACGCCCCCGCAAGGCATCAACGTCTGCGGGCGGTTCATCCCGGGTGGCACGATTGTCGGATGCAATGCGTGGGTGCTGCACAGGCGGCCCGAGGTGTTCGGCGAGGATGCGCACACGTATCGGCCGGAGAGGTGGTTGGAGGCCGGCCCGGAGAAGCTGAGGGAGATGAAGGCGACCATGTTCCAGTTCGGCGGCGGGTCGCGGACGTGCCTCGGGAAGAACATCAGCTTGTTGGAGATTTACAAGCTGGTGCCGAGTTTCCTGAGGAGGTTCGAGGTCGAGCTCGAGTACCCCGGCCAGGAGTGGAAGACGCAGAACCACTGGTTCGTCCGCCAGGTCGAGTTCAACACCAAGTTCAGGCCCAGGCCGCTCCACGCTACCGTTTAGACTTGTTACGAATGATGTCTTCACTGCAGCCTCTTCTCAGCCGGCGTTCGCAAGGAGTTATCTTTGGTATTGGGTTAGCAAAATCGCATGGGCGCGGGAGCCCCGTAGTAGTCCAAATGTCAAGTCTCGAACATCTGCATCAGTTTCCACCATGTGACTGACTGATGAAAGCGTGAGTTAGCAGCGCCTTTACGAGCAAACCTTTGGTTCTCTAATATTAGCGGCGGTGGTAGTCATCATGGCGTGCCAAGCCTGGGCGATTGCTGCTCTAAGGCGCACTAGAGAGTTGTTGCGTGGTGGTGTTGATGTAGAAAAGAGATTACGCGGAAATTGGCGGCAGACAGCAGTCATGCTAGTTAGGCCAAGGGCGAGCGGACGGCGCACCCATGGCCGGGGAAATTTCCGCTGTCCGAAAAGGGTGGAATTTCCGGTCATGCGTGAGCATCTTCGATTGTTGAGAGTTTGCAAAACTCTAAAGGGCGGGCTTCCAAGGGGTTTGCATGTCTTCTTGCGTTCGATGAAGTTCTCAACAGCGACAGAGAGGCATGCAATTTCAAGTCCTGGGCTCGGTCGCCGGGGGAAGATGTTGCCGAGCACATGTCGGCGCGCCGGGCTTTCTGCCGGCGATACGCGACTCATCATCAACGTCAACTCTAAGTATGTACACTGTCCTGGCCCAGTGAATCAAGATCATCTGAGAATCTTGTGCATGTTAATGTCTGCGTTCGTTGTTCGAGGCACACTACTTTTCTCAACCTCTCTGAAGACAATGGAAGACTGAGGAAGACCAACCTGTCGAAGCAGCAATTGATGTGACGGCTTGCCGTCTAATGGAAACTGAACCCCACGATATCGGCTTAATCACCCGCGTACATATCATACATATCACAACACATAAACCATCTTTCTCTTCTTCATCAATCTCTTTCGTGAATCATCGAAACCTTCATTAAACATGGTTGCGTCAGTCGAGCCAGTATTGGACCCCAAAGCCGCCGCCGTCCTCCAGGCAGCGCAAGCACGCTTCCTCGAACGCAACCCTACATCCCTGCAAATCCACCAAGATGCTTCTCGAAGCATGCCAGGCGGCAACACCCGTAGCGTCCTGCACACCGCGCCCTTCCCCGTCAGCATGGCCCGCGGCCATGGCTACCAAGTCTTCTCCGAAGACGGGCATACGTACGCACATCATTTCCACCAAGCACCCTTACCTCTTTCCCATTCCAACCCTCCTAACCCCTTTCGAAAACCAACTTACTAACCCCTTCCTCAAACCAGCTACACCGACTTCGTCGGCGAATTCACCGCCGCCCTCTACGGGCACTCGCACCCGACGCTCGTCGCAGCCATCACGACCACGCTGCAGCAGACGGGCCTCAACCTAGGCGCGCAGACGCGCGCCGAAGCGGCGTTCGCTCAACGCATCTGCGCGCGCTTCGGCCTGGCGCGCCTGCGCTTCTGCAACTCGGGCACCGAGGCGAACCTGCACGCGCTGGGCGCCGCGCGTGCTTTCACTAAACGTCGCCGCGTCGTCGTCTTCCGTGGCGGCTACCACGGCGGCGTGCTGTCGTTCGCGCACGGCGTCGCGGCCAACAACGTCGACGTCGATGACTGGGTCGTTGCGCCGTACAACGACGTTGCGGGCGCGCGGAAGGTGATTCTTGACGACGGGGATGGAGTTGCAGCGGTGCTGGTCGAAGCGATGCAGGGCGCCGGCGGGTGCATCCCGGCGACGAAGGAGTTCCTGCTCGCGGTGCGCGCGGCGGCGCGCGAGGTGGGCGCCGTCTTCGTGCTCGACGAGGTTATGACGAGCCGGATGGGCCGCCGCGGCTTGCAGGGCGCCGTCGACGGGCTCGACCCGGATCTCACCACCTTTGGTAAGTGGCTGGGCGGCGGGCTGGCGTTTGGCGCCTTCGGCGGCAGGGAGGACGTCATGGCCGTCTTCGACCCGACCAGGGAGGGCGCGCTGGCGCAGAGCGGCACGTTCAACAACAATTCGCTGGCCATGAGGGCCGGGCTGGTGGGCATGACGGAGGTGTTTACGGAGGAGGTGGCCGACGAGTTCAAGGGGGTTGGAGAGGCGTTCTTGCGGAAGCTGAGGGATGTGACGGTGGGCACTAAGGCGACGTTTACCGGCGTGGGCACTGTGATTAGTCTGCACATTACGGACGCGGGCGTCAGGGATATCGTGCGGATCGATGAGGTGGAGGAAAGAGATGATCTCAAGGACATCTTCTGGATGGAGATGATGGAGGAGGGCTTCTGGATTACGAGGCGTGGCATGATTGCATTGATCTTGGGTACGCCCAAGAGTGAGTTGGATAGATTTGTCGAGTGTGTCAAGGCGTTTCTTGAGAGGCACAAGGATTTGATGGTTCTTTAGCCCTATCAAAGTAGGGAAGGCCGTTAGTGTCCTGCTAGCAGCTACTTGCCTATTCACTGTTAGACTATTTCTATATGGGTAAGCCTCTAGACAAGAACCGGGAGCTAGTAGATAGCCCACACATGATTGCTATCACACATGCCTCGGACTACTTTTTGGCACCTTTCCCTTGTTTTTTTGTGGAGCAGGGCGCCTGAGCTCAGACATCCGATCGACTAGATACGCGGAGGAGACGATATCCTGTAGATAAGGCCGGGTCGGGTTCAACGCTAAAGTCAGCCTTAAAGCGTGGCACTGTTTGCGCAGTGCGAACGAGTGCTGTCGATCATATAGATATCATCTACAGATAGCACGTTCGTATAAACTGAGTTCCCGCTGGGTTATCCATCTTATTATAAGTCAGTGCGCCTCATAAGTCTAATAGGAGAAGCTTGGAAGGATAAACCACTCCATTCAGTGATAAGTGGTAGAGCGCCTCCAAACTGCATCAATTCTCCACAATGTGACAGTAGAGAAGTGTTGGGGGAATTGCTGCTACCGTAAATGGAAAGAAATCTCCGAGCAACGGATTTCGTGCAATTGCTACAACTTGGTTCGGGCGTGACGATGGTAGCATTGGTGTTGTGCTGCGTGGGCATGATCTGCTTTTGAGAGCCCTTTGCGATATATCAGTGTCTGAGAGAATGGTATGTTAGGACCTTCTCAGCCCGCCATGCTGCGCACTCGAAAGTGTGCCAACGTCTACCTTCCCTGAACCACGTTTCATGTGCGGTATAGGGTGCGCCAGCGTGTTTCTTGGTGTGCTTCTCCTCAAGAAAACAACACTACAGCATTCTCCACTGGGACATGATGGCACCGTCCACACGTGCGCAACCCGGGCCAGCTGAAATTAGCTGTTCCCAAAGGAATGGTGGAGGTTAGGTTCCATGCCGTCCTGAGCTTAAAACAACATGGGTTGGGACAGATAAGCCGCACTGCAGGCACCTTCCCGTGGCCCTGGAGCAGCATTGCCGCTGAAGTGTTCTGTGGCAATTCACCATGCCAACCCCGCTCATGACCACGGATCGTCGGCCAGCACAGTACCATAGGTGGAAACGCTTGCACCACAGACCGGGAAGTGGTTCGACACGCTGCGTCAGAGAGGCGGCTCCTCCAGGTTACCGCCATGTTCCCCGCGGACACCACGAGGTGTCTGAGACACCCCACTTTCGGCGCCAAAGGCAATTGACTTGATTGCATCAGTGGCTAAGTTTCGGAACGGCTTCGCCACAAACTCGCGAAGCGCGGCTGTGGAGCAAGTGTCGCAAGTGAGTCTGGCGCGCGCACGCCTGAGAGGGGTTGGCCGCATGCATGGAGGCACGGTCCCGGGTCGTTTTCTGGAAATCAGAATAGAAGCAGGCGGCCCCGGTTATCTCCTCCTGATCTCCAAGCGCGGTGAGGTTGGCGACTGATTAGCGGTGAATGCGACGGACATTTCAGCGTGGATGGTGAGGCGTAGTCCTGCACCAGTGCTCGTGTAAGGCTGCTGCGGTCGGAAGTGCGCGGCAGTCTGCTTGATCAGGGCGTGCGAGGGTCTTTTTCAGGCGCCAAACCCACAGACCATTCGGCGTGGCGCGTTCATGCAAACGAGATATAAAAAGGCAGCGGCAGCGGTTGAGGGATGCCCCCGCCACCGCGCCGCACGATAAAACGGCCAGCTCTGCGGCGCCGCACGGCCGCTGCGGTCAGGCAGACGAGCAGGTGACGTGTTGTGGGTTGGCGGAGAGACGGTGAAGACGCGATGTGGGCGGGCCGGCAGGGAAGGCAGTACCAGCGGCTGAGCGAGGCCTGAGCGGCGCCAGCCAGTCGCTGGTCTCGACTGCACGCATTTGGCGCACGCTCTGGTGCGAGCGGCGCGACGGCGACGATCCCCGGCGGATCACGCAGCCCGCCGTGGGCCGCGCCATCAACACCTCGGGCGGCGCTTGTTGGGTAGAGGCGCCTGTCACTGAGCACAACGGCCGATAGTCTGCAGCGCGGCGAGCGTGGTGCAGCCCCTGGTGAAAAGACACCACAGCAAAACGAAGAAAAAGAGAAATTAAAAGCGCCGTGGTCGCCAATAGCTGGCCGTTATGCGCTCGCACGTCTCGCTTGCGGGCCCCGCCGTCGGGCGTTAGAGGGACGGGCAGGGGTGTGAGTGGCCTGCGGACGCCCGGCCAGGCATGATGCTTCCCAATAACAAGCCCGCCGCCTCGCGCTGCGCTGCAGCTTGAACGCCGCCATTGTCCTCCGCTCGCTGCTCCTCGCCTGCCTGCGACTGCGAGCCTCAGCCCTGCGCTGTCTGCAGAGCCCGCACCAGCCCCCTCGGTCCGACGCGCGCACGTTCCGGACGTCATCTGGAACTCATATCCGCCGCTGAGCCCGCCTCAGCTGCAATTTCGCTGTGCTGCCCCCCCGAGCCGATGCGCCGCCCTCAGCCATCCTCGCCCGTCCCGCTGTCTCTCTAGCCTCCCCGAGCACAGCGGTGCCTGTTGCCTTCACCAGAGACGCATAGCGTGACCGCCTAAGTGGGCTCTGCTTCCTCCTGCGCCGCCGACGAACCTGCATCCCTGTCGCCCTTTGCGCCTGCTGCACCCCCTCAACACCCTCCACCCACTCCCTCTCTTGCCACGCGCCCGCCACCGCAGAGCGGCCCCCCGACCTCTCGCATGGCGATGGTCTCCCACGCGCAGACCGTCACTACCATCACTCCTCCCGCCTCCGCGCATGGCGAACGCAGCTCGTGGGACTTCGCCGTCCCCATAAGCCCTGAGGTGCGTCTCGATCGCCAGCCCTGCGTGTTTGTTGCACTAGCTTGCTCAGGGTCCCCTTGAGCATGCCTCTGCCTCGTTCCTACTAGTCGCACTAACGTCATAGGTCCCACCAGAACGTGACCTTCGATCACTACATTTCTAACGATCTCGCCGGGAAGACTTATTCCCCCCGCCAACCGCTGAACGGCCAACCTAACGGCTACACGCGACCCACCCAGCTCCGTACCAATACGTTTGACTCAGCACGGTCTGGCAAGTCAGGGTATGCTGAACATCACCTTGTCGCCAACCGCGTTGACGCCCTAGCCAGAAAGCCGAGTGGGCAGAGTGAGGCGGATAGTTTGCTCGACATGCAGAAGAACGGTGATAGGCGGAAGGCCCCCAACGGCGTACACTCGAACGAGCAGGACGATATCGAGCGCGACCAGTCGTACTGGATCCACCGCGACAAGCTCGCGCAGATTGAGCGCCACGAGCTGGAAGAGGCAGGGTTCATTCCTCGCAACGGCGGGAGGTCCACGAGCAGAGATAGCAGCAGGTCGAGGGCTACTTCTCGTAAGAGAGGAGACACGTCTACTAGCAGAGATGGCCTGAATCATTTCTCTGGCGACGAGCCGAAGACGCGCATGGTATCCCCAATTCCTGCGGAGGAAGAGCCGGACGAGCACCGCCACTCTAATGTTGTGACCGACTGGCGCTATCCTGACGAGAGAGAAAACCATTCCGCCAAGAAGGATCCCCCAAGGCCTGGCACTTCGAGGATCCCTATCCCCAAGCACACCGCGGCCCCGATCCCCGCGGAAGCCGTTGAGAGAGAAGCCCCGCTGCCGCGCAGCCGGAGCGGAAGCCAGGTGCTGGGTGCCACGCCGGGACCTGATGGCATTGCTTACCGGAGGAGGAGGGGCGGCAGCATCGGAAGCCAGGTGCTTCTGGATGATGCGTCTGACCAAGCAAGCTCGAATGATGGAGACGTCAATTCGAAGAAGGTTTCACCGAAAAATGGATCTCCGAACAAGGCCAAGATGCCTACGAACAAAACGCCAGCCTCGGGGAAGAGGACGCAGAGCAAGCCACGCACTGGCTCGCAAACCAAGTCGAGGACGAACTCGGGCACCAACAACAATGGCCGGCCACGCACTGCCTCACGCCCGACGACGGCTCGCCCCGAGGGAGAGGCGCCTTGGATTGCGACCATGTACAAGCCGGACCCCAGGTTGCCTCCGGAGCAACAGATGCTTCCAACTCACGCAAAGCGTATTGCACAGGAGCAGTGGGAGAAAGATGGAAAGGTTGGGAATATCTACGACAAGGATTTCAAGCTGCTCAACGAGTACGACTTTTCGCAACATCGCCGTTCTACTGGCTCCATGTCCCCGGTACTTCAGGATCCCGAGGCAGAGCAGTTCCAGTCACTGGAGGTGCAGGATATCGAATCAAGGCCCGAGGAGAAGCACGAGGACAAGCAGGAAGAAAGGAAGGTCGAGGCACAGAGGGCAGAAGAGCCGAGCTCCGACTGGCCTTTGAATTCCTCGGAGAAGGTCGAGCAGAATGGCAGACCTCAGACCGCCAACACGGAGCACGCAGGATACAAGATTACTCCCAACGTTGCATCTTCGCCCGTTGTACCCCATATTACTACTACCGTTACGGCCCAGCACAGCCCCAAGCCGGAAGCTATCAGGCTCCCCGATCCTGGAGACAAGGAAGAGGGAAAGCCCAAGAAGAGCGCTTGCTGCTGCGTGGTCATGTAACAGCCCAATCCGCCAGAGTCCCCACGCCACCACCCTTTATATCGTTTAATTTTTTACCAGCACTGCGCCACCTTTCCTTTACCACTTCTGTTTCCCGGATATTTTCTATTACCGTACCATACCCTTGACTCGGGCGCCGACGCCCCTGTACAGCGACGCTTACGTCTCATTTGTGTCTTTTCAATCGGCGTTTGGGAGCGAAAATTATCTCAATACTACCCCCGGAAAGTTTTCATTTGCTCCTTTTCCTTTGGTTGCTTCCTATGATAGCGTTCAGCGGCTCGGTATTTCTTTCCCTTCTCAAGCATAGCGCTCTGACGTATCGAATCCGTCACCGCTCAAAACCAGCCTGCTTTCTTTTCAAGTATTAGAAGTATTTTTCGTGGTGGATTGTAAGGCTTCGTTGAGTGGAGCGTGGTGGAGTTAGCACAAGGCGACAAGACACAGTTGGGACGGCCATTTGCTTTTCTCGGTTCAATAATTTCCTTTCCATTGGCACGGGATTTGGAATAGCGGCAAGGCGCGGGAGGGGATGGTTCTTGGGTGATGTGTCGTTGACACAGGAAATCCAACAGCTGCGATTGAATGGCAGCGTTGAAATTGCTTTTTTTCCTCGTGCATTGCGACAGTCACAGCAATATAACAAATCGATATATTGGATCGAGCAGTGAGGTCACAGTAAGGCGTGCCATCAGCTTGTGGTCATGGCGCAATACGGGTGGGTGTGTGGTGGAGTATAATCACGTGCGAGTGCGAGACCTCCGCTGGCTGCCAAGACCCGGGCCGACTCGCTTCACGGCACATTGAGCTGGATCCGCAAAATCGACCATCGGGAAACTTTTCGACCGTCCGCAACCCACCAAACGAACGACAACCCACAAGTCTCCGTCGCATCTCTTCGAGGAACACCCGACATCTCACACACCAACTTATCACAATGGTAAGGAAGTCCCACGTCTCGCGCCAGCCTCCCAATGAGGCTGTCGACTACCTCACCTATAGCCCCTCCCACCTACCAACTATCTCGTCCTGAGCCTCAGCCTTGTCACCGACACGTCGTCGTCGTCTTCTCTCACACCATGAAGTGACCACGACAAATTTCTTCCATTACGCAGCAATGCTAACGCACGTCGAATAACAGTCGGACGGAGAAGAGCCCACTTCCCCCGTTGAGCAGCAGGAGGTCGAGGTTTCGGCCGATGCCTCCTCTGGCCAGATGTCGGTTCTCGATGCCCTCAAGGGTGTCCTGAAGCTGGCCCTCATCCACGACGGCCTTGCCCGCGGTCTGCGCGAGGCCTCCAAGGCCCTTGACCGCCGCCAGGCTCACATGTGTGTCCTGAACGAGGCGTGCGAGGAGGAGGCCTACAAGAAGCTCGTCGTCGCCCTCTGCTCCGAGCACAAGATCCCTCTCATCAAGGTCCCCGATGGCAAGCAGCTCGGCGAGTGGGCCGGTCTCTGTACGTTTTGGCCCCGCCTGCGACTTTGGTGGTCGCGTTTCCGTACTACGTAGTTGCTGACCGTCTATTACAGGCCAGATCGACCGTGAGGGTAACGCCCGCAAGGTCGTCAACTGCTCTTGCGTCGTCGTCAAGGACTGGGGTGAGGAGTCCCAGGAGCGCAACATCCTCCTCAACTACTTCCAGACCGAGCAGTAAACGTGCTGCCCGTCTTTTTTCTTTCTTGCACATACCCCAAGACGTGCTGCAACGACGCTGCAAGACACGCATGGCCGATACGACATGCTCGAGTTTCATGAGGGGAGACCGGATTGGGATTTGGGTTTGAGCGATGGACATGTGTGGAGCTTTGTGGTGGGAAAAATGAAAAGGGAAATAAAAACGGTCTGGCTGGAATGGAGTAGAGGAAAAAAAAAGCGCACGGATGATGTGGATGTTGACTCCCATGTCGACGGAGAAATCAAAAACATCAATCTGAATGAATACTGCGACCCAGTTGAGTGATCGTGTGTGAATCTATGTGGCCAGCACAACCCCGCCTTCAAACCAGGCACTATGGCCCTATCATGTGCCAGTCCCCCAACATGTCATCCCCGGAGAGAGAGATATCAATGATCAACATACAAAACGCCAACACCAACTAACACCTCCCCTCACGTTCTCCAAGCCTTAATCCAACCTCAACCCAAAACACCAACCACTTCTACTCCACCCTCAGCCCTCAACTGAGTCAACCACCCAGCACTGCCTCCACGAACCACTACAACAACCACCTACTTGGCGCCACTGCCGGCGCCACTGCTCCCCAAAAACGCCGCCGGCGGCGGGGGCAGCGCGCTCTCGACGACCTCTGCCACCTTCTGCTTGACGCCGCGCTCGCGCTCACGCAGCTCTCCCCACTCGCGCCTGATCTGCTCAGCGCGGCGCTCGCTCACGTCGGAGCCCCAGACGTAGTTGCCAGCGCCACCACGGCCGGTGCGGGCGACGGGCGTCTCGACGGTCGTGGCTTGCTGTTGCTGTTGCTGCTGACCACCATCACCGGTGGTGTTTTGGGGACGGGGCGCCGACGCCGTGTTCCACCAGTTGGAGCTGGAGTCGAGGTTGGAGAGCGGGGCGGGCGGCGGCTCGGCGGTCGAAGCGGCGGGGTTGGTGGTGCTGGCGCCGGCGTCGTTGACGAAGGTGCCCGTCGTCGTCAGGGTGCTGGGCGAGTAGTAGTTGCCCGCGCCGCCGCGGCCCATGTGGGCGTATTCTTGCGGAGGCGGCGAGTGAGCCGTGGTGGTGTCGTCCGGCGAGATGGGTGGGTTGGCGGCTTCGAGGTCTTGGGTCTGCGGGAGGGTGGATTGATTGGGTTAGTTGGTTGGTGTGTTCGGGGAGAAGGAAGGGAAGTGATTGGGTGGGAGTTGGGGAGGGGAGCGAGCTGACGGGGTGGACTGCGGTTAGGGCGTGTGTTCGTGTGTGTGCAACTTTCTTGTACGCCCATGTTGGACGGAAGAGGTAACTCGACTGTGCTCAGTACGCAGAGCTGGGTACAGATGTAGAGCTCTGACGTCCCGCCGGCGTCAAGTCACCGTCCACGTCCCTCCACGCTCGTAGCACTGTCCGACACACCACCGCGTGCACTAACATGCCAATACATCACTAGTCGACCCCCAGAAGAGGCTGACGCAACAGAAACGTAGGCAATAGCTAGGCACGGGTCTCGGCTCGTCGTCTGACAGCGCACACCAACGTCACACAGCCACGCAGGCCGAGTCCCAGAACTGGGTACAAGGGCCGCACAGAAAAAAAAACAGACAAGACGAGAATAGAAAAATGGAAGACCGCATGAGGAAAGCCGAGGCGTTTGGGACTCACCTCCGGTGCTCGTTGCTTGCTGGCCTCGACGGCCTGCTGGATGTTACCGGCGCCTCCGCGTCCCCACATCCTTGCTCTGGCTGTTCTTGTTTTTCTGCTATTGGAACGTTTATGTTTTTCCCCTTCTTACGCAGATCGAACGAGGTTTATCGTTCGAAGAACCGCGGATAGTTGCCGATGCCCTAAACACGACAGGGTTGTCCGTAAGGCTCCCTTCCCCGGGCTTACGGCAAGCGAAATGGTGAAGGGTAAATATGGAAAATAGTCGTACAACAACAGCAGGAAAAGAAAATACAAAAGAAAATGCTCTGGGAAGACCAAATCTCCTCGAAACCTAACGTGCCAACTCTCGGCTGATCTCGTCGTCAGGAAGAAGCAACGCTTTGCCCGCGGCACAGACAGACGGTGGAGAGGTGTGGGAAATTAAGCTCCGGCTAGAGTTCTGCTGTTCCTAGAGCTTGTTCTGGCTGTGACGTCGGAGCTGGCAGCGATGTCGCTGGCCGAGTAGATGACCGCGTACGCGCACGGTTTTGCCGCTTGGCGAGTGGTGATATTGGGAGCTGCAGGCGCCAGGCAAACGTTAACCGCAGCGGTGCACAGTCAGCAAGGAACGTGTCGAATGTGAGTTGATGAGTTGGCGGCCTTGTGAAACGGCTTGCAGGCGGGTGATGCGTTCTGTGAAGCAGGATCTGGAGATTCGTCGGAGAGCGTGCCGGCGGACTTCCCCAACGGAGGCAAGAAGCGAAAGGCCTAAAAAATTGGGACCGATGTCGCCTTTGACTCGCTGGCTTCCTGTGCGCAAATGCTTGGGCCAGTCGCGAGGCTTGATAGCGATAGAGGTCACGTTCGTAGATCGGCAGATCGGAGGGCGCGGCAGTTACGATAAACTTGTGGTCAGAGAAGCACCGCGAGCAAAGTCTGGGCGTCGGTGTGGGGTGCGGCGCGGCCATCAGCTCACGTCCGCGCCCGCACCTCGCTTGCCGCTGATGATGTCAACCTCGGCCAAGCCTCTCCCCCCGCCAGCATCTTCCTTCAGCGGAACTCTCGGCATCAGCTCACAGGATCATCGATCCCAGACAGTCACCAGACCCATCATGGTAGAACAATATGACTTTGCCATAGATACCTAACTAGCACGTATCATCAAGACTGCAGCAGTCGCGAAGCAGAAGCCAAGCAAAAAAATCAAAGCCGCCTCGACACAAGCCTGTCCGTAAGAGGCGCCTGCAGAGTTACTCCACTCCACCCAGTTCCGTCCACTCCTGGTTTGACTCCGAAGAAAAGAAATACAAAGGAAAACAAGAATGAACGAGGCTCCTGTCTGCATCGCCTCTGCTCCAGCCGTAGCTTGGAGTCCACAAATCTCATCCACGAGAACTAAGGAAAAGGGAATGCAGTTCCGTTCCGTACCTGAGCATCATAATACACGTAAACTTTTGAGCAACAGCGTCCTTACTCGCTGTCTTGCACAGCTCGTAGGACCGGATACAAACTGCGCTCCTCCTCCGACATGGCAGAGCCGCCGCGTTCTTCCGCGCCCTCTTGCTTGACTTCCGCAGAGTGCTCGTCTTCGTACTCGCCGCGCTCGAGCTTCACCTTGATGAATGCCCGCAGCTCCTCGATCATGCGCATGTTCTGTACCCATGCCTCGTTGTCCTGCTCCGAAGCGCCCTGCTCAGACTGGTGCTCCGAGGCAGCCTCGGAGTGCTCACCAGGAGAGCGGAGCGACGGATCAAGCGGAGGAGGCGACTGGATGGCGAGCTTGTGAACATCCTTGCGGAGACCATCGCGGTCGACCGAGTTGCGGCGCGACGCGCTAGGAGTAGAGTCGTTGTCCGACATGTCCATCGCATCCTCGTCGCGCGACGGGCGGGACTTCTGCAGCTGGTTGCCCGACCACCTCCTGCGACCATCAGAGTCGAAGGGAGCAAGGTTAGGAGCGTTGCTGGTCGCCGGATAGCTGCCTGCGATGTCTGACATGGCGCTGACAGAGGGGAGAGTCGGGTACATCGAGATGTTAGGGCGCGACACGGGCGAGATGGTCTGACCAGAGTGAACAGAGCCGGGGGACTGGCCCGACGTGTACGACATGACGCTCGACGCCGGAGTCAGGGCAGGAGTCTCAGTTGCCGGCGCAGAAAGGGGCGCAAGCGTGGTGGCGTGGGACGACTGGGGCTGCTGAGCGTGAGTGCCCGGTGGCGAGTTGCTCGAGCGGTAGTTGAAGCCAGAATGGAGGTAGTGAGCACCCGGCTGCGCGACGCCAGCGGCCGCAGCCTGCTTAGGGTTCTCGTAGATGGTCGACTGGAGCTGCTCCAGCACCTGATCAACGTCGATCAGGTCGCTCTTAGTCCTGAGGTTAGGCATGCTAGGCATTGGGAGAGAGTACTGGTGCGACGGACTTGGACCGTGACCGGTGGGAGAGACCATGGCAGGCGCAGCATGGTACTCAGGACCGCCGTAGCCAGCCAGGAGCGGGAGCTGGCCCTGGATGCCCATGAGGCGCTGGCCAACGTCGTAGTACGTGGTAGGGTCGATCTCGCGGCGCTTGACGCTGCCGAAAAACTCATTCAGGGCGTCGAAAGTGGCCTTCTTACGGACCTCGTAGTCGCTCTGCAGGGTCTGGTGGTTGACGGCATAGTAGACGGGGCCATAGGCCGAGTTGGTCTGCGAGCCGCCATAGAAGGCACCGCCAGCAGCGGCACCGGGGTGGCCATAAGCAGAGTTGGCACCCATGCCATCCTGGTAGAAGCCGCTCGCTGCTCCAGCAAGCGCCTGCAAGTCAGCGACATCTGCCAGACGTATTAGAACTGAAAAACGGAGAGGGGAGGCGGTCACGGTGCTTCTAGAACATCGCAGCGAGAGATAGACTTACGCTTTCCAGCCTGGCCGGGATAGCCGCCTCCGGCACTTCCGTGAGGGTTGCCGCGGTTGGGTTCGGGCGAGCGCAGAAGGACTGAGTCGTCGGCGTGCGTCTTCACGTGCTTCTTGAGATCCTGCGGGCGCTTGAAGGCCTTGCCGCAGAAGTCGCACTTGTGCGGCTTCAGCGGGACGTGGACGCGGATGTGCGAGGTGATGTGGTCACGCTTGACGGTCGTGGTGCGGCAGTTGCCCCACTGACAAGTCAAGTTGAGATTGTTGGTGCTCTTGCGACCAACGTGACGCTCGCAGACGTGGTCCTGGACGCAGTTAGCTTGCCGGCCGGGCGCAGGCGCAGGCGCGCTGGGGACTCACGTAGAGGAGCTCCGCGGTGCTCAGGCGCTCGCCGCAGTTCTGCCACTGGCAGGTGAGCGAGTCGCCGCCGCCGGCGGTGGTGGGCGTTGCGGGCGCCTGCTGCTGGACAGGCGTCTGTGCCTGGGCGACGGGCTGCTGCGGCTGCTGCTGGGGAGTGCTCGCGGTCTGCGCGGGCGCGGCAGCGGGCGCCGCAGAGGGATTCTCAGCGATGGCCGACATGGCCAAGAGCGCGCGTTGGTGTTGAGTGGGCGTCTCGAGTCTTGGCTTGGCGGAAGCACAGAGCGCGTGGTTGAGCGCTCGAAAAAAAGAGCAAAGAAACTGCAGCGGTGAGGGGGTTGCTAAGGGCGGGCGCTCGTCGCGCTCTTGGACACAGCGGAAATCTGGGGGTTAAGAGTCTCGTGCCGTTGCACGCCGGGCTTGGGAGAGGAGGACTGAGGGCTGGGGCGTGCGGGCGTTTTGAGATTTCTAGGCGTGCCGGGTCAGGCGGGGAGGACTTGGTCCGCTGCTTCTCGGCACAGCTGGGGGCGTTGGCGCAGCGTCGGACCAAGCAGCGCAGCTGGAGCAGGCGCCGGCTAATTATCCATTCGGGCGCCGACGGGCAGCACAGCCCCCTTCTGCGCGCGTTGCGTCGCTTTGCATTACGAGAAGTGGCCGCACCCATGCACCCGTGGGCGCCATGGCTCTTGGCATTCTTGCAACTTGCCTAGCGTGTCGCTCCGCCGGCACGTCGCAGCCTGCATCGCGCCCATTCGCCCACGCGCCCGTATCAGCCCAAGAGGTCTCCAGCCCACGACATCTCGCCCTCGCCCGCCCGGCCCCGCGGCCTCCTCTCCCTCGCCAGCGCCCTCACCGCGCCTGTCGTGCAAGTCGCCGCCGCCCGGCACGACTCAGCGCCAAAAAGCCACGCCAGAACGTGCTCGCAAGCGCCCTGCGTCGCGCACCCGTCTGCCGGCTTGTCGCACCACTGCCAGATGCTTGTCCCGACTCGCCCAGCCATTCTGCGGCCCTTGGCGGCGCCAGAGGCAGCGTCCAAGACTCGCGGGCGAAGCGGAGCACCGGCCACTGAGCGCAATTACTTGGCCGCTGAGCGCGGAACGCTTGACGTCTTCGCGCCGTCTCGAATATCGCGCAGCCGCTCTTGGCCCAGCGGCGGCCCCCGTGGCCAAATAGCAGGGCCCTCCGGCTCCAGTACCTAGCAAGAAGGAGCCCCGACTACCCGAGCAAGCCTCATCTCCCCTTCGTTTACGGCAAGATTGCTCCCCCGCCCGGGGACGCACACCTTGCGCACCACACCCATCCCTTTGCCTCCGCGTGCGTCCAGCCCTCCTCCATCGTGTGCCGCGTCTTTGTCCTCCCGTGAAGGAATGCAGCGCCCTGCATGGCGCCATTTGCCGGATCGACGGCATGGCCTGGCTTCGCCCGCGTGTGCCCACCTAAGACTACTCCACGCCACCAGCCAGCCGGATGACTGAGAGTAGGCGCCCGCAGTAAACTGGCTGGGAAGCGCTATTGTTGTTTTGCGCGTAGTCAGCACTGGCTGCGCCATCCTAATCCTGCTCACGCTATCGCTCCCGCGTCTGCTGTCTGTCCGGAACATGCCAATCATCTCTACCTGGCGCCCCTTGCCCGCCTGCCGGACTTCCAGGAATAGGGATTTCAGGGCTCGATCTGCTTGTCCGCTGCCAGCTTGGCGCTCCGCGCTACAGCAAACAGTCCTGGCCATGCCGATCCGCAGTCACTGAGTTCCAGGCGGCTTGGGAACTGCACTGCGCCTCTGATCGTACGAAATCTTATCTTGCAGAATGACGCGGCCTTTGTGCTGCACTCAGATTGGCCGGAAATGACACTGAAAGCGCGCGGGAGTCGATGGTGTTGCTGTGGGCGCATCAGTGTTTCTTCCTTGCCGCCCTCAGCTGCAGTGCTGGGAGGCTGCGGGCTGAGGATGCCGTCGCCTTTGCCACCAATCCTGCGCGCAAACACACGCCCTCGCTGGTGGAGAGGCTTGATCTCGTCCCAAGTCGACGACCAAGGTGCAGTTAGTCCTGGTGCCAAGCTATTCTTCACGCCAAGCCCTACGACTACTCCTCTCCGCCCTTGCGTCAGCCTCACAATGAAAGACATAACGGCCGGAGATCTGCTCGGTTGCGAGTAGATTCCAGCCGTTCGGTTTCAGACAATCCAGGCACCGCCCAATCGCCGTGCCCCGGCTTTGTCGCTTGCCTCAGGAATGCTGTTCACCCTTTCTTCACGCCAGCGCCGCCACCCTTTCTTCAGGGGCTCTATGCCCTACAGGGCGCTGAATCCGCCTTGCCTCATCGAGCGCGTCTGACTTGTGTATCTGATCTGCACGCCTGCCGTAACACAGTCCATTGTACTCCCGCTAATCGCATCGCACTGCCGGCCAATCCCCCAGAGGGAATGGAAAACAGGACCGGGATGCAGCAGGGACATGGATGAAGGGCCCAAAACTTTGTTCCTTCACAGAGGCGCAGCCGAATGCGTTGTCATTGATCGCGGTGCGGCGCCGATGGCGGCCATGTGTGATCAGACGTATCTACCCGCTTTTGGATAATGAGGGGGCATCCAACCAGCATACCGTAATCGTACTGCGAGCGATTCATACGTCGAGCTATGGACGGAGTGTCAGAATAATCTGGAAAAGGCGCGGGCGGTAATGCAGCCGCTACGCTGAAGTGAGTGTGTGCGCTCTGCCGCCCAGTCCCGCCTCCGCATTCGCAGCCACACCGCTGCTTCCGCTCAGTGCACGTCTCTCAAGGGGGTCCAGTTTCCCCGCGGAGTCCGTTTCCCCGATTCCTTCCGTATTGTTAATTTCCTCTTCGCAGGTGGCTAGGTGTCTAGTCGGCAGGGAACAATCTGGACGCCCTTGCTGAGACAAGCCGGCTCGAGATGGCCCCTTGATGGGGATTCATTGACGATCTGCTGATGGTTGCTTCTTTCTGTCCGGCTGCAGAAATCTGTGACGAATATTGCTTGGAGTGGAGATTCCTGGTTCTGGTCGAGGTGAGTAAGGGAGGCTCTCCAGACCCTGGTCGATGCATCTTTGTACTCCCATCTGCGGCAACTGCCGACTTTTCGTGCGACATCAACCTTTCTTCTGAAGTGTGCGTAAAGACAGGCCTGCCATTGCCGTCGTAGGGGGATTCGAGCTTCCCGCCGTAGTCGAAACGTCTCGTTCGCTCTCGTTGATATCTAGACGCACGCGCGTGCCGCTGAGAAAAGCAACACTATGGACGAGAAAACGACATCCTCTCGCAATATGACCTATCACTTTTCCAAACGCCATCGCGTCTAGCATGATGGCACAGCATTGACTCACGAAACTTTTCATGGTACCATCACACTGTCAAAACCCCAGAAGACAAGCTTGTCTACGACAAGCTTCAGCAGCAACTCTTCTTTGCCGATCGCAAGCACCTCGACCCACCCTACAAGACATCCAAGAGTAATGCGAACCAGGTCTCAACATGCCGTGGACCGACGCTTTTCTCGCCTTTCCGTCCTATTCCCGGCGGTTCGTTCCACTCCGGACGAGATGCCGCTCATGCATGTGAGACCACCCCCATGCTGCCACGACGGCTTGTCAATGTCTTGTTGTAAGACTTTGCCTCATACCGAGCGCAGTTGCCGCCGGCCACAGCCGCGCGCCTGGCGCGCATGCAGACGGTGTGACCAGTCTCAGATGGATGCAGCGTGGTATAGTAGCCTGCACGATCGAACGCATGTGTCTTTGGGGGGACGATGAGCGGTGTGTAAGCATCACTGCTCAGGCGGCTTTGAGCTGGATGTTGTTCGAGGACCTGGCGATGCCCCTCCAGTCGCTGAGGAGAGCGTCAGCATGCTCGATGCTCATAGATGTGGCCTTGAGTTTCCGAGGGAAAGGGGGCTGGTAGTGAATGGTGGCGTGGGAGCACGCCAAGGATGGTACTCCACCGGTCGCGCTGTTCAGCCGTCTGCGCCCCTTAACTCTGCGAACTCGGTATACACGAGAAATCGCGATACAACCCAAGACCAGAGAGAGGCAGGTCCTTCATAAGAGTCTTTCAAATTGGAAGTGTTTCTACAAGTCGAAATTTCACATCGAATCCCAAGTCAAGGCCCCGTAATCATCTCGCAGCCATGGTCTAGTTGATCACAAGCGACGCAGCTACAGCTCGACTCCCCCCCAGAGCACCAACTACAAGATTCGACATTATGAATGCTTGTCTTCCCAAGCAGACGTTCTCATTCCCCGGCAGTCGTACGCCCTGATCCGGCTCTGCTCTTCCTACCCAGCGAACCAGCGCTTCAACGTCTCCTGCAGACAACCAAAGTTCTCTTGCAGCCCGTCCACCCTACCCTCATCAAAGCACGGATAGCCCCGGACCGAACCTCCGCTGCTGCCGACGGGAAACCAGCCGTTGCACCCGCCCATGGCCGAACAGGGGTCTTGTTACCGTGGGTGTCGAGCTGGGGCGCGCAGGAAGCAGCTAGCACTGGCTTCAACGTTATTCGTCGAGAGGTGCTGTCGGCGCGATGGCCGCTGCCGTTGGGACAGTTGGCGCATTCGACCTGCATCAGGCACGGCGCAGGTGGATCTGTCGGCGGACCGCGTTGCACGACTCCTCCTCCTCCTCCTGCATCTCCAAGAAAGCCGGGATGGCCCGGTCAATGCGGTGTCGTGTCGCCCGCACGCGTGGACCCATGTGCAGTTGTTGTAGTAGAGTGTGGTGAAGTTGGGGTACCGCGGCGGGTACGGCGAGTCTCATTCGAGACTTGTGTTGAACCAGTACCATGCTGCAGTTCGGTCCGATTCCCGGCCTCACTTCTTCGTGGGGTTAGCTTCGGTGTCCGGGCTGGTGCCACTGCCTGAGTTTGTCTATTAGGCAATAGTGGTGCCTGCCGGTAGGAGGGCACTGGGAAGAGTGAGGGTGAGCTTTGAGAGCGCCATTAGAGGTTGGTTTCAGGTAAGCAAGAATTGTGATTCCTGACTGGGGGATAGAAATTTACTTGTTATTACTGATAGGGTCATCCACCATTCTGCTGATGATCCATGGTAGAGATGATTTCAGGCTTATCGTCCGCCCCGAATGCATCTCCGACATCCACGCGGCGGTACCCCAACAGGCGCACACCTTTATCAGATACAACAGCATGTATTCTAATCCTCAGGTTCCATGTATCAGTGACAGCTGGGTGCCTCGCCGCCGAAAGACAGTCTCGCCAAATTTCGAAGCATCGGTCCTTTACCGGCGTGTTCGCACAAACGTGCCGTGTCCTAAAAGAAAAAAGCATGGTCGACAGCATCCAATAAGATCGGTCCGGCCCATATTGTAGGAGGAACGAAGGATGATGGGGGCTACGGGTACGTGACGGCCCGTTGGTGGCTGCTTAAATCTGGACGTGCGTGGTTGAACTATTACCAGATTAGGCAATCCCGGGTGGCCCTTTTGTAGATCCGAACGGACCGACCGCAAGTTAGTCTTAAGCCAGCCTCAATTCAAGCTCTCTGATTGCGCTACTTCCTACGGGTAGCCTGCTTCTCATCCTTGCGACCAAGGGAGGTTCCGGTGGTTGTACAAATTGATTAACCTTGTGATAGCACGATAAACAGCTTCATGTGGGTGGAGGGAAAAAACAGGTCAATGGAGACTTTTCATTCAAACACCTGACCAGCAGGACCTAAATACCTAACGCCATTTTATACATATGTATAGATACCCCGTCCCGAAAACGTAGTAGGTCCTGCAGAAAGCCGAAATAAGGTATGAAATCCGAAATGAAGTATGAAGGTTCTAAACAGATGTTGCTCGGCCCGAGTTGAAACGCAAGGAGACAAAAAAGAAATGCAAAGCGTACAACAGCCGAGATTCCCCAACGGTCACCCACTTGAGTACGGCCATAGAGCAAATGTGCTACGAGAGCATGTGCTGGGGGAGTTAGAGGGTGTAGGCGCCCGCTCTCCCGGTCGCAGTTGTCAGTGTGTGATTCAATGGTGGCGTGGAACGGTGAAACGCAGGTAAGAATACCAAACAGAGTAACATATGTATCCGTTATCTAAAGCTGCACTAAATACCATATGTTTTGCAAAGAAACCTCGCGATTCCCACAAATTTGGGAGAATTCCAGCCGACCTTTGTGATTTTTAGCGGGGAATCGATCCGGTCATGACACACTTACCAGTCCTGCTACATGTCTTCATCGCTATTTTCGTCGCTATCTTCATCGCTATCTTCATCGCTGTCTTCATCGATGTCTTCATCGATGTCTTCATCGCTCTCTTCAACAGCGCCCCACCACTTGCCAGTACGATCATAGACTTCAAACGCCGTCCTCTTCTCCTCTTCTGATCTCCAAGGACGCTCGTATTTCTCAACGTCGCGCGTGACGCCAAAAATCTCCTCAAAGTCCGTTCCCGCATCCATGGCACACCTGGCCAAAGTCAGCGCATAGCAGGTAAAGATGAACAAATGTTGCTGGGAACTTTTATCGACAAGGAAAAAGGAACCCTTACCAAATCTCATGAAGCTCCTGATTTTCAATATTCGCTCTTACAACAATGATACCTTCCTTGTACATCTCGAATTTCCTCCGATACTTGGTCTCCTCGTCCAGTGTCTCGTCATTCTTGATAGTCTTCACAAATTCGTCATACTCATTATCATACTCGGGCCCAAGAGGCCGTGTATACCTGCAAAGAAAACGACAGATCAGCTATATCCACCAAATGAGGGAAAAGAAAAGAAAAGAAAGATTACTAACCTTGCGTAAATGACTTGTTTCGTCCGCCACGCCTCCCTATCCACAAATATGCAGGTCATGGCCGGAGTGCGCCTCGAATCCCGCACCCTGCGCCCTTCCTCCCAGCACATGACGGCCAACCTCACCACATCGTCCATGTTCCCGTCCTCGTCGCCTTCCCACGGCACAAAAACGTATGGGGTAATCCTCTTCTGAATCCACTCCTCCGGCTCCGTCATATTCGCATACATCAGGCGCTTCATCTCGTCGACGTCGCACTCGCCACCCTTGCCGTCTCCACGCGTCAAGAAGAAGCACGGATGGGCGTCAGGGTTGCACTCCCAGTCGCCGCCCCGGCGGCGCCAGGGCGGGGGGTCGTGGAAGAAGCGGGCGTCGGGCCCCCTTTCGACGAAGCACTCGAGGGCGGTGGGGGTCGGGAAGGCGGGGTAGTCCGGTTGTCTGCCGTCCCACTCGGCTATGAAGACGCCGAAGGAAGTGTTGCTGTGGAGGTGGGGCCAGAGGGGGATGATGGTGCTGGCGAGGAGCGGCGTTCTGCTGACGAGCAGCGGCGCGGCGTAGCCGGGGCCGTGTTCGGCGAAGATGACGTCGAGGTCTGCGTTCTTCTCCTTCTCCTTCTCTTTCTTCTCCTTCTCCTTCTTTTCCTTCTTCTCCTTTTTCTCCTTCTTCTCATTCTTTTCCTTCTTCTCTTTTTTCTCCTTCTTTTCCTTCTTTTCCTTCTTTTCCTTCTTTTCCTTCTTTTCCTTCTTTTCCTTCTTTTCCTTCTTTTCCTTCTTTTCCTTCTTTTCCTTCTTTT